AATGTTTTGATAATCCAAGTACAACAGAAGTATTTCCCATAAATTGGTGATGAAGTGAGCATTGTGATAGAAGCATTTCTATCAACTCCACACTATTTGCTTGGGCATCATAAGTTGCCTGTTAAGTGTTAAAAGAAGCAAGTTATAGCATATCTATGACTCATACTATAATAGCATTTGAAATCAAGTAAATATAACAAAGTAAGCATCCAATGCGCCCAGATCCTTCTAGCCGTATTGCCAATATAGAACAAGTACAATCTCCAGTATAAAAAATAGTGATCAGTATATAGGCAGTATAACATCCACAAACAAAACCTGGCAAAATGGGTGGGTACATAAGGCAACTACATAATCCCCAATAACTTGTGTTTTTGGAGGGTGATAAACTTTGCAAGGTAAGAATTACTGAGTAAAAAATCATGTCCAAAAAATTAGTTCCTAATCTATTACATAACTCCTAAATCCTAGCAGATGAAAGCTCTATTAAGAGCACAGATATAATGTTTGTTGCTAATTCAGGAAACACGGACAAGTACATGGATTAATCGATACTCTAATTCATAATGAAATAACCAATGTGAGTAAATCTTAGAATATCAATAAACCAGGAAGAATTCCGTTCGAGAAATCAAGCAAATGGGATAAACCAGGAAGAATTCCGTTCGAGAAATCAAGCAAATGGGAGAGAGAGGTACCATTTGAGCATGAGCAAACTTCCTCAATAATACCACATAAGCATCCACCAAGCACTCCACGGAGCTAAGCCAGAGCCGCACTTCCTGAAGAAAAGTAAGCACAAATAAGCTCAAACTCTGTTGATCCCTTTGACAACAAAGTAAAGTAATACTCTAACAAACACACACAAATTCAATTTAGGCACTACAGGATGCAGCAACATTCCTACAATATGATCTATCTACTAATCTCATATTAAACAATACTAAAACATCCAGGAGTTCAGGACTGTTTAAGCATAAGCACTGAGACATCAGACAAGGACAACATACCTCACCATCCCCACGGCCAAAATGCAGCAAGCACTCCGCAAGCAATTTCAGCACCGGGACTGCAGAATCCGGCCTTGCCGCTGCAACAGCCGCTGCGGCCAGTGCGCCAATCAAATCCTTCACGAACGCAGTGTCCCCCTTCCTCACCGCAGCAAACATAACGAATGGCCTCAAAAACCCTACAACCCCGTGTACCCCCTCGGCGACCAACCTGGCCGCCTGCCGCTGCAGCTCCGCGCGCGCGCCATCGGCCCCCGAGGCGAGCGCCTGGACGAACGGGTGATCGTGGGGCGGGAAGCGCGACGCGGCGGAGCCGGAGCGAAGCGCGCAGGAGACGAGCGCGGCGACGGCCTTGACGAAGCAGGAGGCGAGGCGCGGGGACGGGGAGGCGGAGAGGGGCGCGATGAGGAGCGGGAGGGCGAGCTCCGGGGAGAGGAGGTCGGCGCGGGATGCGGCGAGTCGGGCGACGGACGCCGCGGCGTGCGCCGCGACGGCCGGGTGCGGCGACGCGAGGAGCGAGGAGAGCGCGTCGTGCGCCGCGGAGGGGAGTGGCGGGGGCACGGAGGTGAGGAGGTGGCGGAAGAGGGCCGCGACGGCGTGCCGCTGCAGGGTGGGGTCGGGGACGCGGGTGCGGTCGACGAGTCGCCCCAACGCCACCGCCCCCGCCCCCGCCCCCGCCGCCGCCGCGGCGGCGGAGGAGGAGGAGGCCATGGCGATGCGGTGGCCGGAGGCGGAGGCGGAGGCGTCTCTAGTCTACTCTCTCTCTCTCTCTCTCTCTCTCTCTCGCGGACACTGTGGGCTGCGGGGAGAAGAAGAGAACGTGGCCGGAATTGGTTTCTGTAGCGTTCAATTCCGCGTGGCCTTTTAGGGCCCACTTCTAAGTCTCGCAAGCAACTAAGCCCACTAGGCCCAACTCAGGTGGGCCTCTCTTCGGACGCATCAGAGAGCGGAATAAGATCACTTTGACTCCCTCAACTGACCGCCGAATCTAAATCGTATCCCTCAACCGCAATACCAGAAATCTTGACCCCCGAACTTACAAAACCGGTGCAATTTGACTCTCTCGGTGGTTTTGGAGGGTGGTTTCGCTGACGTAGCGCACACGTGGCAGTGTTGAACTAGTCTTTGTACCACGTGGCATTGACGTAGCGCTGATGTGGAATTAACATAAAAAAATATATGCGGGCCCATTTGTCATTCACAAAAAAAAAATCGTGGGACCTATTGGTCCCACGTATCATCATCCCTTATCCCTTCTTCCTCCTCCCTCTCCTCCCTTCTCTATCTGTCCCTCTTTCTCTTCATGCGAGAGCGGCGTCCGGAACGGCGGCGGTGACGGCGGGCGATGGACGGAGCGGCGACGGCGGACAATGCGGCGACGGCGTATAGTGGGGGTCAAACCACCCCACAAGCTTTGGCGAGATTCGGAACACGGCGGAGGAGTTCGCCGTCGCTGAGATGCCGCAGCCGCCGCCGTCGGTGTGCACGAGGAGCGTCACCTCCGTCGCGCTCCCGACGCATGGAGATGGCGGCGGCTGCTGCCGCGTGCTGCTCTCCCCATTCGACGCGTACTGGGTCGCGCTCCTGCTCGTCCGCCCCCACCACCATTCGGAGACGTTGTCCACGCACTCAGGGACTCCCTCGAGGCGTTGCTCCCGGCGTTCTACCGCTTCGCCGGTGCGCTGGTCTACTCGCCGGAGGAGGAGGAGGAGGAGGAGGAGGGGTCGCTGTCCATCGTCGTGGAGGCCGGCGGCGGCGTGGCATTCGTGGAGGCCGAGGCGTTCGTGGCATCGGTGGTGCGCTCGCCGCGGGGGATGATGGCGGCGAGGCTAGGGCCGCGCTTTGCCATGCAGCAGCAGCCGATGGTCTTCGCGTCCCCTCCGCCGCCGCCGCCGCAGTAGCAAGGATTTGGCTTCAGCGGGTCCGGGACTGGAGCGGTGCTAGTGCCACGGGGAGATAGGGATGGTGGCGCCCCGGCGAGAACGTTGCCGCCCCGGCGGCCACCGAGCCTCCTGCTCCTGCCGCCAACTTCCCGAGTCTCTGCGAGGTCGCCGCGAGCGCGGCCGGCGGCAAGTCCAAGAGGAAAAGGGGGCGGTCTCGCGGCGGACGTGGTCGGGGAGGGGGCCCGTGTCGGAGGAGGAGGAGGAGCTCCAGTCGCTGCTCCGCATCATGGCCTGGTCGACGCCGGAGCGCTCGGCCAGTCCGCCGCCGCGCGTTGGGGCGCGCAAGCTATTGCTCCCTTTCCACCGCGGGCACCGCCCACCTTGCCGTCGACGCTGCGGCCGCCGCCCACCTCACTGCCCACGACACAGAGTGGGGACGAGGAGCGGCAGCTGGGAGCGTGCTCCCATCTCCCCCGACGCATTTCGTTGCACGTCGCCCGAGGTCCACCGCCCATTTCAAGGAGGAGCTGCTCCCGTGCTTGTCGCCCGAGGTCCACCGCCCATCGCAGCCACCACTCCGACACCCACTCGCCGATGCCGCCACCGAGCCCCTGCCGCCGGCTCATGTCAAGGGGAGAGAGAGAGAGAAATAAGGGAGAGAGGAGGAAGAAGGGTAGTGAGAGAGAAGATGACATGTGGGACCCACATGTCAGTGGGTCCCACAATTTTTTTTTGTGTGAATGATAAATGGGCCCACATATTTTTTTTATTTTAATGCACGTAAGCGCCACGTCAATGCCACGTGGAACAAAAACCAGGTCAACACTGCCACGTGTGCGCCACGTCAGCGAAACCACCATCCAAAACCACCAAGGAAGTTAAATTGCACCGGTTTTGCAAGTTCAAGGGGTCAAGATTTCTGGTATTGCAGTTGAGGGATACGATTTAGATTCGGTGGTCAGTTGAGGGAGTCAAAGTGATCTTATTCCTCAGAGAGCCTAGGGTTGCCGCAGGCTATGGGCCAAATCTCTTGAGGTGGCCTCTAGCAAAACTGGGCTTTATTTTCTCTTCGAGTTCGAGTCACTCATCTTCTTTTTTTCCATTTTCCTTCATGTGCTACTGAAAGATATCGAAGACTGGACGTGAACTTACGTGATTGATGTAAATAGGTATAGCAACTTACAAATTATTCATTTCGGTAAAAATTAATTGGTTAGTCCGCACGAACCCATGACAAAATAATCCACATAAGCAAAATTGGTCTGACATGGCCTACCCTGATGATGTGGCAGTTTTTATCTTACGAACCATGTTTCGAGAATCTTATCTGGCAGTTTTATCGTAATGACAATGTTTGAATATCTTATTTGGAATCTAAAAAAAGACAAATCAGTTGTACAAAAGTTCATTTTTCATGTTCAGGACAAAGGAGATTCATTTTATGTCTTGGAAAAAACAATGTCCAATGTTCATTTTATGATCAGCACTAAGACAATTTTTTTGTCATACCTTTGTACAAGTAACTCAACTCCTGAAATAGTTCATTTTAATTTTCATGTTCAAATACTCCATTTTCATCAAAAGTTTATTTTCAAGGTTGGGCTTTTTGATCGTTTTGCATTTTTGTCATATATAAAACTTAAAAATACACATTTTGCCAGGCTAAAATTTGTTGTGTAATAATATTACATATCAGTGCACTCATGTTAGATCAATTTTGCTTGTGTTCATCATTTTGGCCCAAGTTCGCATGGACTCGACAAGTTGTATATGAATTAGCGATTTGCAAATTGTTATATTTATTTACACCCATCAACGCAATTTATTTCCATCTAACAGAGAAAACAACTACTCCCTCCGTCCAAAAAAAGACATACCCTGGGTTTTCGTATCCAACGTTTGACTGTCGTCTTATATGAAATTTTTTTATAATTAGTATTTTCATTGTTGTTAGATGATAAAACATGATTAATACTTTATGCGTGACTTGTCTTTTTATTTTTTTTTCATATTTTTTTCAAATAAGACGGACGGTCAAACGTTGGACATGAAAACTCAGGGTTTGTCTTTTTTTGGACAAAGGAAGTACTCGTTGAAACATTAGATCTTCCAAAAAAGGAAGAACAAGAACATTTATTTATTTATTTTCCGTATGTGAAATCACGCAGGCACTGATCTACATTGCAGGCCATTCTTAACCATAAAACACAACATCGAGAAACAAATATTTAAGAGAAAAAGAAAAGCTAGAGAAAAGCAAGCTCCTCTTCTTCTACCTACTACTACTACTGAGAACCTATTTGGCAGGACTTCAACTTACAAATTTAACTTCAAGAGTTGGTTCTAAAGTGTAGCTGTAAAATAGTCTAAATCCAACTCTACATCTCTAGATCATTCTGTGATAGCACTTCAATCAACCTCACTCCCATTTCGAGTAAAGCTGAAACCGTTTGGTTATGCTCTGAAGCTCTACCAAAAAGGCTCTCCAAATACTGATACAGATACACAGTTAACGGTTCTACTCATGCTCTCATGAGTCATGGGCATGCTTTGCTTGCTAGCGCACGGACGAACACGCTGCAGCGTCCTCTCTCTCTCCGCCGTCTTCTTTCACTTGAGCGACGAGAGGCGGTTGATGAAGATGTCGAACGCGTCGTCCCTGTCGAGCATGCTCACCCGCACGTACCTCGCATCCGCCCCGAACTGCGCCCCGCTCCTCGTCAGGATCTTGTGCCCACGGAGAAACCCCGCACAATCCTCCACATCCTCCCTATCGCACCGCAGCCACGCGAACGCTGCAAACCACATCCACACCGGCACACCGCCATTGATACGATGAGCAAAGCCAATGAGATCGAGGTAACATCCACAAAAATAATAAATATAGATGTGGATGTATGATAACTATTTTCAGTTTAATTTATTTTTTTTTCATCTGGTAAAAGCTGAATTTAATCTTACATGTTTATAGAGTGATATATTTCATATTAATTTATATTGTCATTTTTTTAAAAAAATTTTAATAACTATTTAGATGTCATGTAAACAATAGGGGATGCCCTCTTGAGGAATAAAAATCTTATCCATCAAATCATACCAGGGTTGGTCGCGGCGGTCTCCTTGGTGAAGTTGCAGAAGCCGGAGGTCTCCTCCGGGAGGCTGAAGATGCCGGAGGCGGCGGCAGCAGCGCGGAGCATGCTCCACCGCTCCACCATCTTGCGTCGACCAAAGTCGAACAGGCGAAGAGGAGTGGTCATCGTCTCTTTCGTCTGCTCCGGCCGCCGCTCGTAGCCGTCGGAGACGGCGGCGAGCACCTTGGCCGCCCGCATCTGCGAGTCCTTGGACACCCCGATCGTGTTCAGCTCCACAAACTTCGTCATCTTCCTCGCGATCGCCCGGTCCTTCACCAACGCCCACCTTCACACACACACAAAAACATTCAACTCAGTTTACACTACTCAAAACGACCGTGTTTCATGCACCAACCAGTTCGACCGAAAAGCTCTATCTACATACCCGATCCTGGTCCCGGCATGGCCGGTGCTCTTGGAGACGGTGAAGAGCATGATGTCATGGGAAGCACGCTTGGTGATGGGGGTGTACTGAGGCCAGTAGTAGGCCAGGTCATGGACCGTCCTGCCATTGCCGGTCTTTGGATCAAGAACAGCTTCACGGATGGCGCCGTCAGGATTGTTCGGGGAGCAGACCAGCTCAATGTAGGAGTCGCCTTTGAAGGCGTCGGCGTCGCCGGCCCACCGGAAGAGCCCCGACCGGAGGAAGTCCGTCACGGCGGGGTATGACTGCATCCAAGATCAGATCGGATCAGGTCAGTGAAACTGAAACTGAACTTAATCACTGTCAGAGAGTGAAATTCTTCAGAAAATCAAAAGAAGAAAGTCAGAGTGTGCTCTGTTTTTTTTTTCTTTTCTACCAATCATTGGTACAGTTAAAAAAATATATTTGGAACTATAATGCAAAAGGGAATAATAAACTAAGAAGTTAGCACACCGACCTCCCATGAGGGCCATAACTGAACACACATGATCTATCACTAGATATGTCGCGGGGCACATGACAATGGAATCATGAGTTCATGACACGCTACTTCTATGTTTTCTCAGGTTAATCAACTACAGATCGATCAACCAAACCACAAAAAATATAAACTAAAACAAGATTTGAACAAACAGAAATCGCATAAGGCGGCGTGCCGGCCGGCCATGTGTGACCTTATGATCAGATATTCTCATCAGTGATCAGCACATCTGCACATGCAGAGCTTCAGTATATTTTTTATGGTACTAAATAAGCAGAAGTAAGATTCAGACTTGGTTAAGCCTAATTAACAGGCCCTTTGTTAAAGAAACATGTCGGCTACCCTACAAATCGCAGCAAACCATCTATGATCAAAGCTTCCGACCCTACAAAGAAACATGATTTGATTCGATCCCCCAAGCTTGATACTATGAGATTATTCAGAGATGTTTACTAGTAGCATTTAGCGACACATCATATGCTTCATCAATCATCACCAACCATCATATGATAAAGATGGAGAGAGAGAGAGAGGTGACCAATGCAAAGAATTAGGGGGAATTAGGGGGCAGCATCAATGTGCTGCCCCACTCTCTTAATTTCAGCTCTATCACATCATTTTAGTGGGGAATGATATGATTGTGACATTAGGCAAATCCGCTTTTGCTATATATCCTTGTCGCCAAAAACATTTTTCTTTTTCATGCAGTTTGATGCAAAAATTTTGATACACTCGACAACGATGCATCTCATCTGTCACCTCTGTTTGTTGCTGTCTGGTTGAATTAGGCTGCGTTAGCGCGCAGGAGAAAGAGAGAAAGATAGTTTTGTCCTTCCCGAACTATTAAACGGTGTGTTTTTTACAAAAAAATTTATAGGAAAGTTGCTTTAAAAGTCATATTAATCCATTTTTGAAGTTTAAAATAATTAATACTCAATTAATCATGTGCTAATGGCTCACCTCGTTTTGCGTATCTTCCTAATCTCCTCAATCCTCTCCTTCTCAAACACACCCTTAGTATTGTATACTCCCTCCGTCCCAAAACATATAAACCTAATAACGGATCAGACATTTTATAGTACTACGAGTCTGGTCATACTCCTAAAGATTTGTTCTAATCAAATAAAAAGTATCTTAAAGTACTGGTAACTCAGGTTACTAAATCGTTTCTGATTGATAGATCTAACTGGACAGGATAGACATTATTATATCCAACGATAAAAAACGATTTTGTATCGTTAGGTACCGGTACCTCAAGATACTAAGCAATATGTCTATTTTCTGTATAGATTCGTAGTTAATAATACCGGTACTGGGTTTTTATATTTTTGGACGGAGGGAGTAATACTTTATGCGCTTAATTACCGAGTAGTAGGGCGCAGTGGAGACGACGCTGATGGGCTCGCCGGCGGCAGCGGCGGCGGCGTCGGGGGCGAGGGCGTAGAGCGCGGCCATGAAGAGCTGGGTGGAGCCGGTGCCGACGAGGACGTGGTAGCCGTCGACGGCGGCGTTGCCGACGACTCGGTGGAGGCGGCGCACCTGGCGGTCGAGCTCCGGCTCGAGGAACCAGCAGACGTTGGTCACGTCGGAGAAGTAGCTCATCGTCTGCCACCCCGGGATGACGACCTCCGCCGCGTCGCCGGTCTCCCTCCAGAACTCCTCGAACATGGTCGGGTCGCCGCTGCGCAGCACCCAAGAATGTCAGAACTCCATTTTCTATCTATATTTGATATTCAATCGAGTTTAGAGACGAAATTTGAACAAGGTGCATGCATCGAATCAATCGCGCGTAAATCTGGAGAAAATCCGCCATAGATCGGCGTTCGTTGGTTCATTCCTCCTTGACAATGACATGCTTTATTGGGACGAACACCTCGCGCGCGCCCACACATCCACCCATGGCAACTTGCAGATTTTTTTTCTTTGCTTCTCCTTTTCTTTTCTTTTTCTAGTTGATTGATGCCTTGATGGGTAGAACAGCTAAGAAAGGAATAAAAGAGGAGGGAAAGGAGGAGGAGGAACTCACTGGTCAAGGTTGATAACGGAATCCGTCGTCACCGCCGGCTTGCCGGTCGACGGCGCCATCGACGACGCCGTCCTGGCTCGCCGGTGGACGGCGGCGTCGCTGCTGCGAGTGGCGAGTCCGGCGTCGTGGTGGTGGTGGTGGGGAGGAGGAGAGGTGGCGTAGTGGTGGAGGAGGAGTGCGAGGGTGGCGACGTTCAATGCGACGGAGGCGAACACCGCGACGCGCCACAGCGGCATGGCGCCGGCTCGCCGCCGCGGCAGCTTCCACGGCGCCGCCGAGTGGCTGCTCCTCGGCTTCGCTTCCCGGTGCGCCGCGACGAGGCGCGACGACGGCGCCATGCCGCCGCCACCGCCGCCGCCGCCGTTGCTCGCTTGGAACCTCCCTTCCACCGCCCTCGTGCCCACGCGCAATGCCGCCATGGCGGCGACGCCGTGCACCAAGCTTGATTCTTCTTCTTCTTCTTCTTTTTCTGCTGAAAAAGGAAAAATCAGTCATCCTGGATTACAATAAAGAAAACGAGATTGCTTGGAACAGCAAGTGATTTCTTTCAAGCTCACAGAAACCAACCAATATCTCTTCAACCCCGGATCGATCAGCTGACAAGAGCTCGTGTGTTAAGCTTTGTGTTAGCTGAAATGCGACCAAAATCTGTCTTCAAGCTCGAGTCAGCTCAGAAGCTAAGCTGGGGCGCTAATTTTAAGCTGACGATAGCTGCTGGGCGCTCAAGCTGACGAGTGATGAAAGCTCGAAGCTAGTCGTAGTTCGAGAGAATTAAAGGAGGGGGTAATGGTCTAGTACAGAGGTACTAGTGTACTACAGGCTTCACAGGCACATTTATACTACTCGTACCACGAGTCCAGGACCACTCCTGAGTCCTGAGACTATGCCCATTGTTTGTTTTATTCAGTTTGCAAACGAAAATTAATCGGTGAATAAAACTTTTATATACGTGTTCTTAGCGAGTATAGGCTGAAAAATAAACTACGATAAAAAAAACCCAAAATCAACTCCAAATGTAAGGTCGAAAATTCAAATTTTGGCTGGTAAGCAAAACATATGCGAAAAGATGAGGCTGTATGTTCGAACAAAACTAGCTCGGGATACGACACATTCTATCGCTATGAATCTGAGGCTATGTTTAGTTCGGCCCAAAGTTTGAAATTTGGTTGAAATTGGAGACGATGTGACTGAAAAGTTATGTGTATACGAAAGGTTTGATGTGATGGAAAGTTGTAAGTTTGGAAAAAAAAACTTTGGACCTAAACAAGGCCTGAATAGACTTCTATAAAGATTTGTAGTATCAAGATGTGTCACACCTCCTACTAGATTTATTTTTTATAAGACGGGGGAGTAAAGATACATGATTAATTAGTCGTAAATATTGTAAATAATAAATTAATTTTATTTTTAAAGTAATTTTTTAATAAAAAATTATTAAAAATATAATATAGTACTTCGAAAAGCGTACTTAAAAAAATGAATGAGTGGAAGATAGAAAGAGGGACCGTCGAACGCAGACTTGAAGACTCATGTGTCATCTCAGCTACTATCTTCATCTGAAAGATATCAATTTTTACTTATCTCACGCATATCACCGAAAAGACTAATATAATGATTTTTCACATTTTCAAACTCCAAAATGTTTGCATCTCGTACACTGTCCAAATTCACGATACTAGAATATGTCACATCCTGTAATAGGTATATTTATTTTACGACCGAAAGAGTATGATGTATGGTAGCAAATGGCAATGCACTTAGGGTGATGATAGCTAGAATGTTGCACAACGTGCAGTTTAAAAATTTGAGGAAAAATTAAAATTTTGGAAAAGTTGCAAATGTACTTGTAGCCAACACATTAGGGGTCTTGGAGGAGATTGAGGAGAGATTGCTTGGTTCAGTCCGGTTCAACCAAGGTCTGGTTTAGTTCTCAACTTTTTCTTTAAATTTTCAACTTTTCCATCACATCAAAACTTTCTTACACACACAAACTTTCAACTTTTTCATCACATCGTTTTAATTTCACTTAAACTTTCAATTTTGGCGTGAACTAAACACACCCCAAACCAAGTCGAGTAACATGTATTGATTTGAGGGATAAATACATCCGTTTGAGTAGGAAACATCTCTGCCGTACAAGGAGTTGATAGTACTATCTGATAGTGCTCTCGACGCATACTAGTGATGAAATCCAAGTGTGCATACCTATAAACATTACATATGTAACAATGTAACTCAATACGCAGCCGGTACTACATAGGCAGATATTCCCAATAATCAATACTGCCTCTCTTTTTTTTTATATAGACTACAACTTTTATTTTTCAACATAATCTTATTAAAAATTTATGTAATTATTATTTATCTCACTTGTTTTATCATTAACGATATTTTAAGTATAATTTAGATTTTTTTATATATGCATAACTTTATAAATAAGACGAATGATAAAAATATATCTAAAAGTTATCGTTGTTATTTATTGAAAAGACTGAAAATCAATGACATAATCTATTAAAAAGACGGAGGGAGTAGATATCTCCAAGTCTTGAGACGGTGTTGGATGCATGGCGTTCCGAGGTTATCTCCAATGCAAGTGCCCCCATATAGATGCATGCTTATGTGAAGCATGCCAAATACTTCCCATTTACATTAACATTAATATAAATGTGGGAAATGCTAGAATGATTTACATTATGAAACGGAGGGGGTACCGTTTTCTCTTGTAGGATAGGAAGGTGCTAAATTCCTTGTCATGAGCCACCGATGCTTTGATGAAGCATCGATGATTAGTAGGAGCTTATGTTGAAATCTCACCACATTATATTTGTCTGAGAAGACGCTTGCACTGGAGAAGAGATGTGTTTAATTATGTACGACATATATATTTCATTTGGTTTGTCTACTACACACTCTTTTTTTTCTCTCTAAGCACCCTTATATTAGCACATCCTGTTAACGCATATTTCATCTTGTCCAAAAAAATTTTTTTGTCTGTCTAGTACTAGTACACTATACACTCTTTTGATTGCACTACGCCCCCCCCCCCCCCCCACCCCCCAAAAAAAAAGAATTGGACGATGAAAGTTCGCTACATATCAATCAAATCTCCAAATGACTTCAAAAAGTTTCAGTACGATCCATATAAATATTGGTTAGCTTTTTAGGTGAATTTCACTTTTCTCATTAAATGGGCATACAATAATCAACCAGCGCACTAGCCAAATGATTGCTCTGGGTATAAATTAAAGTAGCTAATAAATCCCAATGGGTAAAAGATAAGCTTTTGGCAAAACTTTGCATCTTGATGTTTATATAAAAGGTGCAAGATGATTGTTAAGACTTGAAAAGCCTACCTATCCTAGAACAAGATTACTATCGTTATCATTTTTTTTCCTTCCATTCTCTCCATTTTAAATTACTTATTGTTCTAGTTTTGTCATAAATTAAACATTTCAATATTTGATCATCTTTTTTTAAGAAATTCGTGTAGTCAATAACATATGAATTATATATTACAAAAATATTTTTTTTGTGAATCTAACGACATAAAAATTTTATGTTATTAAACTATATGAATTTTTCAATAAAAGTTAGTAGTTAAAAGATAAAAATGTTTAACTTAGGATAAACCTTGAATAACATGTAATTTAAACTGGAGGGAGTATTTAGCACTGTGTGTGACACAACAAAAGAGTAATGCATGACAAATACAAAAACCGTTCCATTTGATTCTCTTCAAGTAATAAACTGTCAGTGCTTTCAACTTTTTAAAAGTTTGGGATGGCTTTCGCTTTAATTAGTTTATAGTATGAGGGATCGTACAACCAAAGTTTGTTACTGGTGAATAATGTGCTTTGCGAATAAATTAAGGACCGGCCAACTATTAAATAAACACACACCCATCACCCCCTAAAGAAAAGTAATGCATTCAGCAGGTGATACTATAGGTTAGCCACATGTAAAGTTATGGTAACAAGAAATTAATTAAATTGAAACTAAAAAAACGATGATTTTGACTATACAAGCGTAACAACTAACAAGGCCAAGATGAATAAGAAAACGCAAGGTGAAAAAAGTATGTAATGTAGAATCAACCAATGTAAATATGTAATAGTAGTATCAGTGGCGTTAGTGGCGTTTCAACATTTAACAGTTACTGGTAACAGTAGTATCAGTCTGTATGCACATCGCGCAGAGGGCTGGAAATATAACTTTCCATCATCCAAAAATAAACGCGCAGAGGGTTGTGGCTTGACCAACCACTGAAGATTATTTTCAAGCAAAAATAAATAAATATACAATGGCGAAGTAAACACAACTCAACTAGTTAGGTTTATTGTGATGGAATATATCCATCCGAATTCAAGTCATAGATTTGACACTGGTGCTATTATCTACGGCTATTTGTTTTTTAAGTAGTAGGTGGCGTGCCCATCAACAACGAGATATTTGTGGTGACTTCGTCCGTATTAATCTTTCAAAGGTGATCATAGTGATAGGGTGTGCATGTATATGTTCATAGAGGTAAGTATACGCTCACAGCTATATATACGTCATAGAGGGCAAGTGTGTGCATGTTGTGCGCGTTTGCGTTTCTTAAAAATATATATGAAATATGCCATGAAAATATAGTACACTATTTTGATTCAAACATGTATACAGAAGCATGTATATACTATCTTACTATAAAGTTATCCTCCACTAACTTCTTAAGCTTAACATACAAAGATACCACATCATCATTCACTAACAAGATATCACATTATCATCCACTAATTAACAAGATGCCACATCATCATCCACTAATAATCATCACATTTAAACATCATGCAAACATGCTATATCTTTATAGTTTTCATAATTTAACAGCTTTTCAAATACAAATATATTAAATTATCATCCAACATAATTCACATAATATTTCAATGTATATCTTTATTATGTTTTATAATATCCTATATACTTATATAGTTCATCCTCACTTAGTTAGTGTTTAAATGATTAATCTATGGTCCAAATTATTTTTTTCCTTTTATTCTTCTAACTAAGCCATATCACATCAATTATTTTTAGCCTTTAGATGATTAATCTGCGGTACAAACTATCTTCCTACTTTTCTTCTTTCATAAAGTCATACCACCTTACTATTTATGTTTGAATCACCATTCTACATACTATTTAAATTTAAATTATCATAAACCACATTAATTTACTTAATCTGATGTTATCTAGCTATCTTACATGTTATTTTTTTTATTGTTATCATACTAAATTCTCGCAGCAATGCGCGGGGTTTCACCTAGTTACTATAGGTTACAGCCACCAAGCACAAGGAAGTCCGCCAAATTGGCGTAGGAGATTGAATACAGAACTTTAGGGGTTAAAACCACACTCTTTTTATCACTTTACTATCAAGTGCATCTCATCACACTCGCACAGAATAGTGCCGTATAGAAGTAGTATATGCTGTACACCACTTGTGTACTGATTACAGAATGGATTCTCCCTTTGGTAAAAAGCCGCTTAATATTCCCCACCAGAAAAGAAAGTTTAAAAAGGCGCCCTTTGCAATGCGACAACCGACGCAGACCCCAAATATACTTCTTTGTTTATGCAATTCAATTTATGATATCTATCTTAAATTATTGATACTACTTCCTTGCACTTTCGTTTCTGAGTTTCTGTAAGGTGCATATCACCGTTTGCGTTTCGAGGCAGCTTCACTGGACAATTTGTGTGTGTGTAACGAAATAGAGTAGAGAGAAATCAATGGATCATATCATGAGCAGTGTAAGACCCCATACCTGATGATGGGGATGAGCTTAGCCCCAGACACTGACCGACAGAACTGAAAACTCCTTCTGTTGCCATCAAATCGGTCGTAAGATCGAGTAGATGTACATGAGTTGAACTGTTCAAAGCATGGATGCCCGCTAGTTGGAGTGACCTTTTTTTTCTAAAATAATATTGATACTGAAAAATATGATTATATTCCCAGTATCAATAGGTACGTTTGGTGTGATGAACTTTAGTACCGCTGTGAGAATGAGACGGCCTTACACCTTGTAGCCACTTGTAGATACGCCAAGAGAATTTAGCATCTTGTCGCCACTTGGGCGGGCCATCTGCTGCTGGATCCGGTGAATTGGGAGGAAGCCCACTCAATGCAGCAGTGGTGGGAGAACATGGCAAACATGTGCGGTGTTCCGAAGAAGGGACTCAGATCCCTCATCCTGTTAGTTGTCTGGGAGATTTGGAAAGAGAGGAATCGGAGGATCTATGACCATAAAGAGATGGCAACGAGCTTCCTGCTAACAAAAATCAAAGAGGAGGTTGGCCTATGGGTTCTGGCAGGGGCCAAGTGTCTACGAGAGTTCGCCCCGCACCTTGTGTAGTGTACATATTACGTGTAACAGCTTTTCTTTTTATCCTTAGGGGTTGTATTTTCTCCTGCTCTATTCACTGAAAAGGCACTATCTTGTGCCCTTTTCCGTTCAAAAAAAAGATGAACTTTAGTACGGTGGACTATGTGTTGTTAAAAATAATACGACCTCCGTCCCTTCGTTGACCGTCCGTCTTATTTGAGAAATTAATGAAAAAAAATAAAAAAGTTAGACACATAAAGTAATATTCATGTTTTTATCATATAATAACAATAAAAATACTAATCATAAAAAAATTTTAAATAAGACGAACAATCGAACATTTGACATGAACAGTGTAAAACTACACTTATTTTGGGATGGATGGAAAGATAGTATAACGTTCGTTCTGGAATTTTTAAAAATTACAATGTTAATTAGAGAGAAAAGTGTGGTGCTACTAAATAGATTGATCGATATATATTTATACAAAAATAAATTTTATTCGGAGAGAATTTCAGAAAACTACATATGTTTTGACAAAACTATTGAAAAATATTTTAACCATAGTGGACTCACTTTGTCACTCAGAGTAACAGCCCTGTCGCCTAGCCTGATAATGGGATCATGCTATTTGGCTTATTGCAATCTCCATATATACTCTATTGTCGTTACTACTACTTGACACCGTATCTTTAAAAGTAGTAGTACTTGTCTAATGTCACTGATATGTGAGCCAGAAACGACAGATTGCAATGACTTTACAAAAGGATTGCAACGATTTTACAAAAGGACATCTTTACATTTCGGATCAGAAGAGAAAAAGAAGAAAAGGCTTGATCAGAAGAGGAAGAAAAGGTTCATCAAGTGCATTCTTACTGTCCACTGCCCTGATAGAATCTTGTCGGGGCCGAGGTTTTCTCACTTTCTTTTTGTCCTCAATTCCCTGGAATTGTGATAATCCTCTTGGCAAAGTTGCCGGGGTTGTTTGAGATTGCTGGATTGAAGGTACGATGGGATTGTTCATTTTGCTACCATTTTCAATCTTATTTTATTTAGCAATTTTTTTAAAAAAACTAGCTACATTTAGTTTATTGCTAAATTTTAGTAAGTACATATGAAATCTTGCCAAAATTTGGCAATCTTATCAAAATTTTGACAACCTTACCAAAATTTGACAATGCCAAAACTTGGTAAGGTTGATAATAGTAGCAAAGTGAACAAGCCCGATACCTGTCACTGTATGTGGGCCCACTACTTCTTCACCGCGTGCATAAAGGTTTCTCTGAGAGAGAGAGAGAGAGAAAAAAAAAAGCAAGATGCTAGTGCACTGTACTGTGCCAAATTGGCTAGCTAATTGCAGCCATTGATGACCAGAAGATGGAGCTGATGATCCATGTGTTTGTGACTTTGTGGAATTGTTGTGCCAGGAATGAGGGGAACATAACTATTTGGATGATTGCCGTGTTTGTACGTACCTAGAGGCCATATGTTGCTTCCAGGTGTGCTTGTCGGGAGTGCGGACCGCGGAAGCGTTCTTTTTTTCTCCCTCGATGAAATTTTAAACAACTGGAAATTTTTCACAATGTTATTATGACTGGAATTTGAATTTTATGTTATTGTTATATGGCAATTCATAATATTGTTAAGTATACAAACGTATGTAGTGTTTCTAAAATTTGTTTTATCTACACATAGACAACATAGGGGAACGATAATCTTACTCGATGAATAGATGATATGAATAAAAAAAAGTCACATAAGGAGATACTCCATACAATACATTATGATAGCACGTAACCACCAACGGATCAGACCGTTTCTATCGGTAAATTAGGAATAAGAGGGAGGTAGTCTACGACATTGCTACCATTGTAGGAGAAGAAGCAATCAGTAGCCTCAGTCGCCATCTTCTCGCGTGACATTACAGAGTGGTGGCGTGGGTTAGCTACGACGCAAGTAGCAAAGGAGAAGGAAGTGCCCGCTTCGATGGCTCCGCTAATAGATGAATAGAGCGAGGCGGTGGAGGGGAAGACAAGGGCTAGAGAGACTGACATGTAGGTCTCGCCATCATTTTAGAGAGTCTAGATAAAAGGACTCATACAGTAGATATCAAATATGTTAACTAAAATATTTAGAGAGAGAGAGAGAGCCATTTTAGTATATTGAGATAGCTAAATTTGCTAACGAAGGTGCTTTTAAAGGTTTTTTTTTTATATATAAACCAATACATATAACACGTCTGAATGTGGCCGTGTTTAAAAATGGCTGGCTGGATGCAACAGCCAGCGCAGTCGAATAGAGCCTTAAATATAAATAGAAATTATAATAATTTATATATTTAATCTTATAGTGATTCAAAAGCTTTACGCGAATGGAACTAAATTAAAAAGGATAAAGAGCCTCAGTAGCACATGAGGTTCTGGGTTCGACTCCCCATGGAAGCGAATTTTTTAGGATTTAACGGCGTTATGCTTTTAGTGGTAGTTGACGTGCCCGTCGACAGCGAAGCGCCTATGGTGACTTCGTCAATCTCTCCAGAATTTGCCGGTTCAGTTTTCGAAGATACTCATATGGGTAGGATTTATGTGTGTGTGTTCATAGGGGTGAGTGTGCGTGTATTGTGAGTGTCTGCGTTGTACCGTGTAATTTTTAAATTAAAAAGGAAAAATCTTGAGTTTGGAGTAGTTTAAAACTAGAATCGGCTATTCGGCTACAACCACGACTGTATAAACAACAGTCCCTTGTTGACGTGTATCGTTTCGAAGAAAGCACCAAGCGCGAACACACACATCCTTTGAGGTTTGTGGTAACATATATGCCCTTTGTTAATTCTCTACAGGGAAAAAGCAATGATGCGCACGCCATTCCACACGCCTCATCACCACCACCACCACGACGCTGGCCCAAGGTCACACATGACAGTCGTGCGGGCGCGTGTGCTTTCACTGTACCCGGCGTCTGCGCCCATGGCTGGCTGGCCGGACCCGGACGGGAGGGAGGGACCATCGATCGGAGCGAGAGCTGCAGCGAGGATTTATAAAACCGCACTATTATCGTGTTTATCATTAAAAAAATAATATTTAGAGGATGAAACGATTCTCCAACAACTTTTCTTTAAAAGAAAATTATAAGTGTATTAGGATTAAACACGAAATCTTAGAGTTGAAACTATACACTACTGTACTATCAAGTGCATATCTATCACGGGTATCATATACAATAGCTTTATCAGTTTTTAAACTCGAAGAATATCTCATGATAATAACATGATGTTCATGATAACGTTAAAGCGTAGGTAGCGATAATCCTACCAATACCGATTTGGTAAACCCCGACGACCCACAGCGCACACGCACCGGATCCGCGCGTATCGATCGGCAGCAGCGTGTCGTCGCCATCACGGCGACGCGGCTGTGTCCCCGTCCCCCCCGTCGGCTGCTCGCACGCAGAGGCAGGCAACGCAGCACATGGCTGGCACGCTGCCTGCCTGTTTGCGTCGCGTGGCGCACTGTGTCTGCGCAAAGTACACACATCCGCATCGATCCGGCTTGCAGCGTGCAGACAGGTGGTGGGTCAGGCAGACACAAAGCCGGGGTTTTTTAAGCTTTTGAGCTCGAGTCGGCAGAAATGCTTATAAACCATTTTCTTTTTCTTGATCAGAACAGTAGGGTCAGAAACCAGAAACGACAAGGACGGCCAGCTTGGATGGTGGTAAAGTTGGGCCACCAGTCCTCGCGGCCCAACTGGGAGACGGGCCTGTGCCTACATTGTGGACCTAGTTGGGCCTGTGCCTACATTGTGGGGAGGCTTTGATGGATTGCAACTTGTGTATTAGTGCATGTCACCCTAGTATGACACCTTGGCACAGTTTTGCCACCTTCAAATTTGGAGATCATATATTCATATGTTCAGGCGACATCTTGAAGGTGAACAGAAATCACATCGTGCTGATCAACTTGATTGATAACAGTTGGTTGACAGTACGGATTTGAAGGACACAAATGGGGCTCAGCAATATGCTCAAGATGGTTTTATTGACAGAACACAGGAAAGCCATGGTTATGATTTAATATACCGTCATTACATGTATATAATAGATTTATAGAAAAGAACAAGGGTATCCAGAGAGACACTACCAAACTCATTAACAACACCTGTTGACTGTAGTTGCATGTTTTCACCAAGGGTAAGCAACTGAGGGCAGGCAGCAAACCAACCTATAATTGCCTGTTCAGTTCTTCCAGTTCCAGGCCATATAAAAATCTGAAGAATTCCGAGGTTGTGCGCAAGCAAGCATATTCAATAGTATTATACACAGACTGAGAAATGAGAACATCGAGCACCAATGATGCGCATCACAACTTATCGACCGAACCATCCTTTCTGGGGCTGCTGTACATCGCTGTCGTTCATCAGCTTGTCGAGCACCACGTTCAGATCCACATTCTGCCCATTCTCGGTCAGCCTCCGCACAGTTGCCCTCACTTGCTCTCTTGAGAATCCCATTGTTGCAACCTTCTCAACTACATCATCAACCGGCACCCTGTTGCCAGAGGAACCACTTGGGCTGGAATTGATAGGCACTGCTTGTGGTAGTATTTGGGCTGTGGGGAGCCTGCCATAGTTGCCACTTCCCCCAGATGATGGCCCTGAGGGAGCAAAAGGTGAGGGTGACGACTTCATCCCTGCATTGCCACGGTGTGAAGGGGATCCGCTGTAACCATATGATTCAGAGAAACCACTTCCTCCCTGTGGCCCGTACCCGCCAGCACCATAGGACGGTGGTGGGCCAGAGTTTGGCCTGCCCACAGGAGGTTCATACATGCTTTGGTTTTGCCCATAGAAAGGAGGGGCAGGTCCACTAGGCGGTGGCATATAAGGTGAAGGAGGGCGGACATTTGGTGGATAGCTCTGTGGAGGTGCATACGACATGGCTTCTTCTGGCTGCTGGGGTGCAGCGGGTGGGAGTGGGGTCGAAGGGTTAACCATTCCAGACTGAGGCGGTTGTGAATATTGAGGAAATTGGGGTGGGGTTTGGTACTGCTGAGGCGGCGCTGGGGGTGCCTGTGGCTGTGGAACTGGAGGGGCCTGATACTGCTGGTGCATGGTTTCAGTCGGCTGAGCAGGTGGAGCATAGTAGGGATCCCGTGGTAAAGCTGGCACCGAAGGAACTGGAGCAGAAGGAGGAACCGGTGGTACTTGTGAATGTGGCAGATGGCCTGGATACTGTGATGGAGGTTGGCTTTGAAGCGTTGGAGGTGGAGGAGGCGCATTTGGAGCAGGAAGGGCAGGAAGTGCTAGTGGTTGTGAAGAGGTGAGGGCTTGATGCTGTGGTTGAATGGCTGCCTGCTGTGGAGCTACTGCATGCTGGTGCGAATCTGTCTGAGAAGATCCAACATTATCTGATGCCAGGGCATCAGACTTGGGTGGCTGGAGCTTCGCAAGATGGAGCTGTGTCTCAACAATTTCCTGTTTGTCACGCAAAATCTGCACACCAGCTTGGACCTGCATGTGATGCAAAAAAATAATTATAGTGCAACAGAGTAAACCTCATAGCAGTGTGGACAGAACTATTACAAACCACTGTATATAACTCTATACATCAAATAACTCTGTTAGTACTTATATAAAAAAAATACGAGTGTCATAGTATAGCCAGGATACTAGATTAACGGTGCAGCATTAAGACCAAGTAAAAATGAAAAGGAAGGTTGAGATGTAAGTAATTATGTATGCATTTAGCCATAGCAAGGCACCTAAGTAGACCGATAAGCCCCAAAAATAGTGAAGTATTTTAGCATAGGTCGTAAAAAACTAACATAAAGCATCACGCAATATAGATGGTATTTCCTCCGTTTCACAATGTAAGACTTTCTAGCATTACCAACATTCATATATATACAAATGAATCTAGATTCATTTGTATATATATGAATGTTGGTAATGCTAGAAAGTCTTACATTGTGAAATGGAGGACTTTCAACTCAGTCCTTCAAGTATGCTAGTATATCATGGCATATCTATTCAAACAGTGACCAATTGCCATCTTGTGAATTATCTCCTGCCAACAACCACATAATAGGACAGACCACATGAAAATATATGCATCTCTACTATTATAAAATTTGAAGATGTTTTTACCGGTATTTTGGTACGTCATCCGTGTATGAGTCGGTTTTTAAGATCGTTCACTTTTGGTAATACAGAAGGAATCATATAAGAAATATGTTTAAAAAAACTCGCATGCTAACTTGAGACGATCGGACTCCTAACTATAGCTCATGATTTTCTAAAAATATATATATCCAAGCGAACTCCTATAGTGAATTTCATCTTAACTAAACCATATAACAATAATAATATTAAAATAGACTTCACCCGTTGCAACGCACGGGTATTTTTTCTAGTTAAATAAGAAATTTGGCATATACAAATAAGTCAGATAGGCAAAAGTTATCCAGGTAGACTACTCAGCTATGCCACCACGAGGGTTTGATGAGTCACAGATTTAATGAATACCAAGATCTTTGTTCGTTTTTAGCTATATCATTCATAATATATGGGGGGTAGAAGCTAATAAATAGAAAGGTACTAGTATATGTGCAACAGGAGAAGATATGATGTTTCCCCTTTACATAAAATACACTTATTTCAATATGGCCTCAGTTGCTTTGTATAAACATTGTCAGAGAGAAAGGGAGAGAGAAGCATACCTCCCTCAGCATGTTCTCGAGCTGCCTTAGTTTTCCATCAGTGCTGCCATTATAGTTGCCGATTGTTATCTTCAAATCGTCAACAGAATTTTCAAGATGGTGTGTTCTACCCTCCAGCTGTGAAAGCCTTGAACTTACACCTTCCAGTGCATGCAATAGGTTATCAGAATATTTCTTCATGGTTCGATCAATGTCTGCCATGGTAACCGTGCCGAAATTACTCCTGTCCTCCTCGTGGCTAACTTTCTTTAGCACATGGGGCTCCAATACGCCAGCACTCTTCCCCACATAAGAAAATTAATGAGTATGGGTATTGATGTCATTAAACACAGCCATCAATCACGAACAGTTGATTAAGAAAACTATGAAGAAACTCGCATGAAAAATTGAGGGGGAAAAGGGAGAAACTCATATCCATACACATGAATAGTTTGTTGACAAACAGCAGTAGTCACATACACACATGATGCTAACTAATTAAGAGCAATTAAATACAACAAATTATGGTTGATAATAGTGCAAACGAACTAGCAAATGGGACATATGGAGCACTATAAATTTGCATAGTTTGGATGCCAGATGTGCTCAATATAGTTCAGTCATAGCTTAAAAATACCTAATAGTAGTATATCATATACGTCAAAACACAATAGTCATCGTCACATTCACATACCTGTATGGTCTTTGCATAAGATCCTAAGCAATAAGTTTCACAGCAAAAAACATAATTAGACTAGCAACATAAGAAGACCTGGCTATAAAAATGTGCATGAACAGAGAGTCTCATGCGAATTCGGCTACTAAAAATGTGCATCTCAGTTAACAGTTGACATAGTTACAGTGTAAGTATATACTAGCACCCTCAGAGAATTGCAAGTGTGAGTATAAAAAAAACACATATAGAAGTTCCAAACATCTTTTATCATCGACAAAATTCTCTTGTAGCTTATTATTACCAAGTGATTATGCGTCTCAGCACGGTGCACAAGCCCAGTTCGCAAACAAAATTCTTCTTCTTACTAATGTAGGGTTGAGTTGTAGATGCTCATCTACACGAAAAAGGTTTTCGCGATAGATTTACTGATGCAAAATCATGAAACGCAGATAGATCGACAGATCTAGCGGTGGGGAGACCATACCACGATCGAAACAATAATTAAGTATACCTTCAAGTTGTAGGACGCGGAGGCGGCCTTGGAGCCGGAGTCGAGGGACCCCCACGAGGCCGGCGCGGCGGAGGCGGAGGCGGCGGCGGAGGGGGCGGTGGTGCGGATGGGCTGGAAGTCGTAGCTGGGCAGCACGTCGTCGGCGCTGCCGTTGGAGGAGCTGTGGCGGCGGCGGAGGCGGTCCTCGCCCTCCTCCTGCGGGTTGGGGCTCATCAGATCGAGGAGCTCCGGTCCCCCGCCACCGACGCCGACGCCGGAGGAGGTGGAGGCGGAGGCCGCGAGGCCGAGGATCTGCTTGTCCATGAACTGCGACGTGTTCATCGGCGCAGCTCCGCCTCGGCGGCGGGCGGCGAGGTGGGGCGGCGGTTGGTTGGTGGAGCTTGGGAAGGGAAGCGAGCTGGGAAATGATGGCGAGGTTGGAGGAGAAGAGGGAGGGATCCAGATGGGGACGACGACGACGAGTGCGAGTCGGTTGGGTTTGCCTGCCTCCTCTTAATTGGGCCTGATCTGAGTGGGCCTTGATGGGCCCGGAATTAGCGGGCTCAATTCAAGGCCCATCCTATACCTGAATTTATTTTTATTTGGAATAAGTTCATTTCGTGATTCTCAAAAGTGATCGAAATCTAATCCGTGACCCTAAACCACAAAACCGGATATCTCGACCCCCTAACTCTTAAAACCGGTACAATTTGACTCCCTCGGCGGGTTTGGAGGGCGGTTTCGCTGACGTGGCGCGCTACGTGGCAGTATTGACTCGGTCTTCTGTCCAGGTAGCGTTGACGTGGCACTTACGTGTCATTAGAAATAAAAAATATGGGTGGGACCTATTTGTCATTCACCAAAAGTACGGGTGGGACCCACTGACATGTGGGGCCCACATATTATCCTCTCTCCTCTTCATCCTCCTCCCTTTCTCTCCCTTCTCTCTCTTCCCTTCCCTTCGCACATCTGCAGGGATGGGAGCTGGAGCGCCGGTGGAGGGGAGCGCTCGAGGGCCGGCGGTGGGGAGCACTGGAGGCTCGCGCGAGGCTCCCGTCCCTCGCGTCCCCCTCCTCCATGGCCGCGCCATCGTCCAAGCGAATCTGCTGCTCTGCTTGCCTATCTGCAGCTTTGCTCGGTCGGTCATCCCTTTGCTTGTTGGCTTGTCGCTTGATGTTAGTACACACATGCACTGCTTGTTGCTACCGCTTGCTAGCCGTAGCCCTCATATCTCGCCCCTTGCCGATTGTCTCGGCAACCAGCAGGAGAATGCTTGACGCAGATGCCTCCTAACTCCTATGTGGTCATGCCGTTGTCGGCTGGCTCGGCATGCTAACCACGCCCATCGGTGGTACCACCGCCTTCCCCGCCCGTGCTGCTCCTCCCTCCTTCAACGCCGCCGCCGTAGGTGCAGAAGAAGCCACCGCCGGATGCCGCCATCTTCGAGAGGATGCCGACGTGAGTCGCGGTGGCGAGATGCAGGTGGCCCTTACGTGTTCGTGGGCGCAGCGGGAGAACTGCGGAGGCAGGTGCATCGTGGCCGGCAGAGAGGGCGTGGAGCGCAGCGGTGGATAGTGCGGTGGCGGTGCCGAGGATGGCGAGAACGCGGTCGTTCTCGTGGCCTGTTTTCTTCCTTCCGACGGCCAACCTTCCACGGCGGCCTCGATCTCCGCCACCGCTGCCGCTCTGGCCTTTGCGCGCACGTCGCTGTCGCCGCTCCAGTGCCACTCCCGGGTCTCCACCGCTTGCGGGCCGCCGCACCGCCGCCGCGGGAAGGGGGGAGGAGGCTGTGGATGGGGTTGGAGGAGGCGTTAGCCACTGCCGCTGGCTCCCGTCCAACGCTCGCGAAGAGAAAGAGAGGGGGATGATATGATTTATGTGGGCCCCACATGTCAGTGGGTCCCACCCATATTTTTTATTTCTAATGACACGTAAGTGCCACGTCAACGCCACGTGGACAGAAGACCGAGTCAATAATGTCACGTAGGCGCCACGTCAGCGAAACCACCCTCCAAAACCGCCGAGGGAGTTAAATTGCACTGGTTTTAAGAGTTGGGGGTCGAGATATCCGGTTTTGTGGTTTAGGGTCACGGATTAGATTTCGATCACTTTTGAGGGTCACGAAGTGAACTTATTCCTTTATTTTTAGACACACGGCGCGGGTGTTTACAAATCTTAATATTAACAAAATCACTGTAGACGTTATCGATGAAGCCCACCACAAAAAATAAATAGACGATCGATGAAGCCCACCAAAAAAAATAAATAGATAAATACAAGTATCTATATCAAGTCTGAATGTGAATGAGCAGCATGTTTCATCGTAAGAAGCTTCTCATTTCCCCTATTATCCGGGAGAGATTTTTCTTGCTTGTTTTAACACGTAAAGGGGATGAAGTTTCGAATTACTACAACACTATTGTGGAATTCTTTGGTGAATGATACTTCATGTTTCCATTTGGTTTATTCTCGAAAAAATTGGCATTGCAAAAATTTTGGCAACCAGAACCAAGTAAAGCACCAACAATTCAAAAAGATAGCAACAAACCAAATACTCAACTTCACCAAAATGTTGGCAACACCTATATCTTGCCAATGCAAAAGCTTTGGTAAAGATTGCATTTGACCACAGACCAAACAGGACTTGTATCGAACCATTTTTTTTTCTAATTTCAAGGGGGAAACAATTTTGCAAAGGTTCTGTAGTCTGTATAGTGCAAAAAGCCAAAGACAATATGAATTCAGAGAAAGCAAAACAAGCCCATCCGCGCAAACGAGGAGATTGATAAAGTAACACTTGCATAGTTGCATTAATTCACATTAACCAGCGTTTAAAACCCGTAACAATGATAATCCAACCGAAACCAACCAGAGCTAAGCAACTTACAAAGCTCTCACACACTCAAATTATTTTCCGACCTAAGTAAAATAAAAAATAAAAAGACCGAAAATTTTGTCTTAGTCTCTTTCCAGCATTGAACCACACTAGTAAAAGTACTCGACACGCGACAGCTTCTTCGACGACCCGGTCCACGGCACATCGACGGTGACGATGCCGTCCTCGTACTTGAACTCCGCATCCTGGCCGTTCACCTTGCACAGCCTAGGCCTCGCCGACGAGTACGCCACCATCTCCCCGGCGCCCTTCACCGCCACCTCCGCCGCCACGTCGCCGTCCTTCCTCGCCGCCTCGAAGCCCTGCACGGCGCCGCCGGCGTTCAGCATGTTGGCGAGCCCGATGGGCGCGAAGCCGATCCCCAGCTCCGGCGAGACGATGGCCCGCACGGGCGCCACCACGAGGAGCTCGTAGGTGAACGGCTCGAGCGTGAGCTCGACGGACTCGTCGCGGCGGAGCAGCTGCAGCTTCCGCGCCTCGACGAAGTAGACGGCGAAGCGGTCGCCGCCGCCGCCGCCGTGGCTCCACTCGACGTCGGCGGGGGAGGCGCGCGCGGTGACGGGGACGGAGAACCCCGCGGCGCACATGTTCCGCCGCGCCTCGCGGCTCCACCCGCCGCCCTGGCAGTTGAACGCGCCGAGCACGCCGGAGAACTTGTTCACGTTCCAGATCTTGAGCATCGTCTTCCCGTCATGGAGCGGGTCGGCGAACAGGCAGTCGCGCGTCGGCAGCGCGTAGCGCTCGCACCGGAGTATGGTCCCATCCGGCAGCGCGAGGCGGCGGAGCAGGTCGAAGTCGTGGCACCCCACGGCGTCGCTGACGTAGACGGGGCCGCCGGAGACGGCGCGGGAGGCGGCGTGGAAGGCGGCGCAGGGGTGGGTGGACTGGAACATGTCCCAGTCCGGGTGGATGAAGGCGCCCATCCACAGAGAGTTGTAGGCGCAGTGCACCATGTGGCAGCCCTGCAGCCAGAAGGTGCCGTCGGGGTCGCCGGAGGGGTCGGTGCACCAGAAGTCGTCGCCGACGCGGCCCAGCGCCACCGCCTCCGTGCCCAGCAGCATGAAGTCGTTGCAGTGCTCCATGCTCGCGATCACGCCGTTGCCGTTGAAGTGGCGCCGCACCGACTCCGTCAGCCCAGCGAAGTAGGCCTTCGCGAGCTCCACCCGACCGCCGTACTCCTCGCACACCATCTCCAGCAGCTGCAACAACACACAATCTTTCAGTCGCATTATCTCCGATTTTAACCAAAATCTTTCAGTCGCATTATCTTTGATTTTAACCAAAATCCAAACTTTGCGCTGAACTAAACACAGCCTAATTATTTTTAAGATTTTTAAACTAAATAATTAATTGATCGTAATCGTTCCGCTTTGTCGTGCCTAATGATTAATTCCTAACCACCTTAATTGATGTTTCTTACTGTTCCCCTCCCGTCCAATTCTGTCAAAATCTACGTGTCTTTCATGTACTAATTAAAGATCAATAAAATAAATAATGACGAAAAAAAATGTTTTTTTCTGGTTCCAAGTGGATTGATGTGTGGTGCTGCGAGATGGAAAACGTGGTGTCGAGATGTCAAATGTATGTGGATTTCCCTGCTCTTCAGGTCGCTGACTATCGACAGTAGAAAAGGGCTACCTAATGAATTGACGTGCAGATTTTAATAGCTGAAATAAGAATTCATGACCGTACTAAATTTGCAATCCAATCATTTTCAGGAATCGAAGACTGAAAAATGATGCAATTTCAGGCATAAAAAGCGATCTTTACCTGACATGCTAAAAGGCTGAAGTTACGAGCAGTGACGAGATATCAATCATGTGATGACTATTATGCATATTACTTAATACAATCAAGACCAAATTTTACTAACAAAATCCATCTTAGGTAGAACAAGAATATCACAAACTAGCAGCTTCCCGTTTCATCCGGTTAATCAGGAAACCTCGAGAACACGAACAAGCTTTGCTCTGCCTCGCCACGTGCACCGCCGCTTTGAGCTCCTCTACACGATCTAGTAGTAAACGGAGTGCACAAAAGTAGTTGGGAGACTTACATGGATGACGTCGACCTTGACACCGTCGATGCCGGAGGCCTGGAGGTGGGAGTGGAGCCCCTCGTAGAGCTCCCGCGCGCGGCGCGGGTCGACGAGCCCGACGCCGTTGTTGACGATCTTGTCGACGGCGAGGTCCTCCATGGTGCGCTGCAAGCCCGGCGAGAGCCTCGGCGCGACGACCTTCGCCGGCGGCAAGCCCGGCGCGCCGGGGCGGAGGCCGCCCCAGTACCCGCACAGCGCGTGCCACACGTACACCTGCTCCACCGTCGGGAACGCCGCCTTCATCTCCCTCACGAAGCCGCCCATGCCGCCCTTGTACTCCCTGAACTTGTAGTTCTCCTGGAACTTGATCAGCCTGCACGGCATCTGCTCGCCGGCCGACGTGCGGTTCATCCCCTCGGCGCCGCTGCCCAGGTCGTCGTCGTCGTGGCAGATCGACTGCCAGCCGTCGTCGATCAGCACCAGCCCCGGCGGGCACCCGCCGTCGGCGAGCCGCCGCACGCCCTCCCACACCCCCTCCGGGTGCACCTTGAGGTAGAACGCGTCCCACGTGCACCACCCGAACTTGTCGACGATCGGCGGCGGCGTCTTCTCCTCCATGAGGCGGAACGTGCCGAGGTGGGCACGGACCACCCTCATGGCGTCCTTGACCAGGTCAAACGGGTCGTCCCCCGCGTGCAGGTACACAGCGCTCCGGAACACGGAGCCCCTGACTGTGGACGACCCGCTCTCGAGGACCATGTGCACGTAGTCCTCCGCCTTCCCGGACTCGAGGCAGGCCCGGAAGGGCCCCTCGACGATCGGGAGGAGGAGGACGTAGGGCCGAGGGCCGGTCGGCGAGGACTTCGTCCCCGACTGGTCTAGGATCATCATCTGGGTCTCGTTCTCCACGTCCCTGCCGTTTGTACCCACCCAGTGGGTCGTCCACCACACCTTGAAACGGAAGATGCTCATGAACCTCGTGTCGCGGAGCTTACCGATGGGCACCACGTGGCGGTCCTTGGCCGCCGGCGCGTCGAAGCCGAGGAAGCTGCCGGCGGCGGCGGCGGGGACGTCGGAGTTGGGCACGAGGGTGGACGCCGGGGTGAGGCGGATGTTGGCCGGCACGTCGAGGAGGAACGGGTGGCCGTCCACGGCGAGGTCCTTGCCCTTGAGCGTGAACCGCGGCGGCTTGATCAGCCCGTCGACGGCGACCACGTCGCCGATCAGGTCGTCCTTGGCCTTGCTGAGGTTGGGCGCCATGGCGAGGCTGGCCTTGAGTTTCCTGGAGGCTTGGAGATCTTTGAACTGGAAGAAGAGATGGAAGCTTTGGTTTGCTTGTGTTTTGCTAAGCCTGGGGCTTTGCTGAAGAGATGGGAGGCTAATTTGCGCCCAATTTATAGAGGTTTTTGTGTGGGAGCCACAACAACTCATTCCTTTTATAAATTAAATTATATTTTTTGTCAGTTTATTTCTCTTACTGTCCTTTGATAGCCATGGAATGCCCCTGTATCTTTCCGTTTCCTTTTCGATGCTGTATGGGCTATGGCGAACCTTCCGGTGGTAATTTTTTTTTTATAATTACACAGTAAAATTCGCGTCCTTTCATGAGTTAATCCTGCAAGTAAAGTTTTATCCGCTAATTATCTTCTTCAGATCAGATTCCTTCTTTCCCTGACGAAAAAGTACAGCATCAGTAATCCAGGGGTCCATTTCCATTTGGTGATTATACATGCATCAATGGATTGTTTTCAGCAAATTACTAGCCGACGATACCGTAGCATTCTCGTAATTAATGACAGAGATTTTGTAGTGTCGCCGATGGATTCTACAGTGGACACTATCATGATCATATTGTACTTATCATGGTAATTAATATTCCTGATAATTTCCCCTGCGAAAACATCAGATCGCCTTCTCTCCTGTCGTCGTTGGATTGCTGTAAATTGCAAACGGTCGTTCAGAAAATTGTCTGGTTTCCTAGTATTTTGCCGTAAGAGGATACTAGAATTGACTAAACTGGCCAAGTCAAACTTCAAACTGTACTGATCATACCAAAATTTTGGGAGGTGCCTACTCGGACGAGCCTCTTGTGCCACGTCAACCCGGGAGGAGCACGTGGCGGCGCGAGGGCGCGCGGTGTGGCTCCACAATAGTCGGCGTGCCTCGGTAACCCATCCTCTAATCGCGTGTGAATCGATTAAATTAACCTGTAAACCCCTCCTAATCCTCCTGGTTTTGGGCAGGAGCGACCAACTCCACCGGCCGCGGCAGCAAAGCTGTCCAGGGATTTCCAGAAGAGCCCTCCTCGTCCTCCACGATTCTGGAACCCCAGCCCGTGGGCCACGTGGGCCCACCACCGAGATTTTTTTTTCTTTTTTTTTTAGTTTTTTAATAACGAGTACAAATCAATTGTAAGCATATGTGAATCAGAGAAGGGAAGAGAGAAAAGAAAATTAGGCTACATATTTATAGGGCTTGCTCGGCAAGCTGGTTGCGGCTGCACCATGTGTGTGCAGCACTGTTGGTGCTGGCTGCGCCGCAGGCCGCAGCCATAGCACATGTAGCCGAACAGGCCCATAGTCAGCTACAGTAGGGCCCATAACCAGCTACAGTACGGATTTCAATACGTTATATGCCTATAAGAGATGAAACCATATATTATATGATGTACTCTCTCCATCCCGTCGTTGACTTTTTTAAACGTGTTTGATCTTCGCCTTATTCAAAAACTTTTATAAATATTATTAAAAACTTGAGTAGTAGTATATTTAACAATGAATCAAATTATATGAAAACAATTAATAATTACTTAATTTTTTTAATAAGATGAATGATCAAACATATTTAAAAAAGTCAACGGCGCTAAATATTTAGGGACGGAGGGAGTACTAAATGTTTATATGTAACTACTATATGAATAAGCTATTAGATTGACTATAAATAATTTGGAGTTAGTAGTTGGCTATACTTGCTCTAACCTGAGTTGGTTATTGGCAGTTGGGAAACGAAGGCCGTGTTTAGTTCACCCCTAACTACCCTAAACTTTCAACTTTCCATCACATCTAAAACTTTCCTACACACATAAACTTTCAACTTTTTTTTCAAACTTCTAACTTTTCCCAAACTTTTAACTTTTTTCAACAACTAAACACAGCCGAAGAAGCCCAACTGAAACCAACAGTGGAAGATGGAGGAACTTTTCAACGGCGCCTGTCTTACGTGGCCATCTATCCTGCGCTGCTTGCTCCAGGAGATCAATCAGGTTAATTGTCAGGTATATACGCTAACGTAAACCTTGCTGAATACTGACACCAAAACACCGCGGCAAGATAGCACTTGATAATGCACACCGACCACTTGACGCCGACCCGGCCGGATACGGTGCAGATAATTTAAAACCGTCGTTATCCCCGGTGCCCCAGTCAAAGATCGTACGAGAGCGCTGCTGATCGCCGATTAATCCAATTTCTCTGTAAAACAATCAACAGACTATAAATCCCATATATAAACATGCATGACACGGTTGCAGACTGGATAAAGTGTGGGGCCCATAGCGTGGCGGTCGGTACGCGTACTCGGTAGGAGTACGTGGCCGGCTCGTGGCCCGACGCGAGAACGCGGTTTGTCAATGCAACATAGACCACGCAGGATTGAGAAAAAAGAGTAATAGAAAAAACATAGAAATTAAATATCACACTTATTGGATTCGTATGGGATTTTAAAACACAGGAAAGTCTTCAAACTGTCGTTTAATTAGCGCACAGGAAAAACACAGGAACCTCAGACACATGAAGAGGATAACATGAGGTAAGACCTCATGCTTATTTTCCTCCAAAATTGCTCTAGTAAGGTTCATTCCATAGGAATTTCAAAGAAATTGATAGGAAACAATCCTTTTTTCAAATGACTCTATAGAATTATTTCCCATAGGATAAAATTCTCTAGAATTCCTATGGTTTTTTCTTTGATTCAAATGGGGCCTTAGTTCAACCTAACTGCCTTAAACTTTCAACTTTTTATCACATCACATCACATCCAAAACTTTTTTACACACATAAGTTTTCAATTTTTTTCCCAAACTTTCAACTTTTTTCAAACTTCTAACTATTTTTCCAGGAACTAAACACACCCGTAATGTATTACGTGTGTGCACGTTCCACTTCCAGCAGGTGGCCGGTGAGCGCGTACGTTTGGGCCAATGCAGGAGGTGGGGGAGGGACAGAAGCTTCAGTTCGATCATCTCGACGGGTGTGCGCCTTTACGTACGTGCACATATATCGTTGAAGACATGCATCACGACAGTGAAAAAAGTAATTATATATTACATCTGTTTTAGACTTCCATAATGTAGTCTAAAAGTGGTTCATAAGCAATATAATATTTGTTTCAGCCACCTAGCAATACTGGAATTAGTTCATAACAAAGAAATAACAAAAGCTACACATAAGCATTTGAGCTGTCCATAGAGAATAAAATATATTATTTGCCTCAATCTCTTCTCTCCTCCTAATACTATTTGCTATCCATATACATTGTGAATGTTACAATAGTTAAAGTTTATATAAGTGGGTCCTATTTATATGGACTACTTTTGCTATATATACTGTTGTTGCCCTCATAATATGAGGTTCGCAGAATTAAACACACGTATTAAAAAAGAAATATAATTAAATGTGAGAATGTGATGATTGGTCAAGAAGTGAAGATATGGTAAAAAGGAGAACATTGGTGTAAAAATTATTATGTTTTGGGATAAATCTTAAATACTGGAAATTACTTTCTCTATCCCAAATTGATCATATAACCAAATGACACAAAGACTAGGAACACCAAGACATCCTCATTATGAAATTAATACTCATCAATCAAGGTACTCCATAGATCGCTTCGTGTCCGGTAAAAAATTCACACTTTAAATGTTGTATGGGTTGAACCAATGAAAATTACACTCGATTGGTTACATACATGCATGCAATGCATTTTACGATGTAAATTTACTCTTTGCACGAATAAGTAAAAAACACTTTGCTAAATCATGATCATTTTGGAAATCTCAAAAAAATTACGTGATAATCAAATTGGGATGGGATGGGATAGAGTGAGTATATTTCAGAACGGGAAACGTATTTGACTAATTAAGTGACTAACCATCACCATCAGATCGTACGTACGTGTCCTTACTAGTGTTTTACTAGCTGAAGAAACTTTGCTGGTAACTATAACGAACGGTTTGTATCTGTGTATAGATGATATCTAAGACCGTTACTTCGGTGCGCTGTTGGATGTGACGAATGGTTGAACACGTCGGTGGTTGGTGTCGTCGGTCTAGCGTGTATCGGTGTATGGCCGGTGTGCGTGTGGTGCGGTTAGCTCTAGGAATGGGCGAGGACTACTTGCAGCTGCTGCTGGATTAGACCTCCTCCTTGGACGGTCGAGCTCACCCAAGAGGAGTCATCCATGTATTATGAGTCGCATCCATCTCTGTTTCGATCGAGAAAGGGACACGTACCAACTAACAACCGATCGATGCCAAATATATACTCCTACGTTGTTGGCCACAAAGTGAAAAAAAAAAGAGAGAGAAGAAAATCTCTGCACAACTCAGCTGCCAAGTAGAAGTAGAACTACCGGCAGAACAACCAGGCTATTGGAATTTGGAGGTCCATACGACCCGTGAGAGCATCAAATCTTCGCCCGTTCAAACAGTATACACCCTAGCTCTACATTTCAATACATAGCCAAGCAAAAATTCTTGTACATAGAACGCAGTATTTTGTTTTTCTTGTTTTGTTTTTGTTTTCAGGTGGGCAGGGTGGCTTCCAGATTGCCATGCAGTTCCAGCTGCGATTGGTCCGGAGGCAAAATCAAACAGGTGACACATTGTTGGCTGCGTGCATGCATGTACACGCGCTGGATTCAGCCTGCCTGAATAACACGCATATCCAACTCTTATCCATATATTGTATTATGCTTGCGTGCATATACCATTCGACCAAAAAAATATTATACACGAATTTATATAATAGAGACTATATATCTAAAAGTTCACAAATGGTATTCAATAAGTTTGTGCTTTATTTGTTTCTATTGGTGTTAGTGCCGGCGTGCGTATCTGCCGGTTCGGAACTTTTCTTATATATTGTTTTAGTGCCTGTTCGCTCTGACGAAAAAAAATTATCAAAACTTTAGCATAGTTGCCAAAATTTTAGTAAAATTTCTTATAGTTACCACAATTTGATAGTAAACTAAATGTAGCTACTTTTTTAACAACTTTACCAAAATTTGGTAAGGTTGAAAATGACATCAAAGTGAACAGGCCCTTAAGCTATGATTGTGTTTGGATTTTTTTTTAATAATTGGCTGTAGCCTATGAGCAAAGGCTGGATTCTATTCCGTTATAAAAAAAACTAAATTTATGAGAGAGAGAGAGAGAGTGAGAGTCTGTGGCTTGGGATCTCGGGTTTGGATCGATCGATCGAACTGCGGTGCAGAATCTAGGATCAAATTCAGATCTGCAATTGATCGAGCATGCATGCGGTAGCATAGTACTAGCATGCAGGTAGAACAATCCAGATACGTACAGGTCCAAGGCAGAGCTCTCCAATCGTCCAGAACACACTCAGCCATGCATGCCATGCAGCATGATGCTACGTACGGCAGTTCTCGATCGATCTGCTCTTCTTTAGGCCCAGTTTAGTGCCCAAACAAAACCTTTTTACTTGTCACATTGAATATTTAAACACAAAATATAGATGAAAAAAACTATTTACATATATTGCGTGTAAATTACGAGATGAATCTTTTAAACCTAATTGCACTATGATTTAATAATGTGATGCTACGGATATTTGCTAATGATGAATTAATTAGGCTTAATAAATTCATCTCACAGTTTATGGGCGGAATCTGTAATTTATTTTGTTATAAGACTACGTTTAATACTTTAAATGTATGTCCGTATATTCGATATGACACATACTTTTCACCCCTAAAAACTAAACAGGGCCTTAATTGTCTCTCGGACTTTAGTAGCCTGTGCGCACCGTTCTGCATTTCTTCTTTCCCAGCGGCGTGCGAGGTGCATTCAGGCATATGGCGCGCCAAGCTTGTCAAAGTTAGGCAGCACAATTTGCTGTGCACGCCCGACGACTGATCTCGGCTCTACCTGCTAGCTCCATCTCTTTCAGCCAAGTTCATCGATGGAGATACAGATCGATCAACTAATTAATCTCTAGAAGGTAATAATTACTAATCAACTTGGTCGATTGTTCTGAACATCTGGATTGTTCAGAGACTGAAGGAGGCCGGCAGCATCAGACATTCAGACCTGCCTGCTGAATCTGGCGCATCACGCAGGATATCGCATTTTGCCGCTTCAGGCCTGGGGAAATTTTTTCTTGTTTGATTGTCCTATCGGATATATAGACACACATTTAAAATATTAAATATAGTCTAATAATAAAATAAATTACAAATTTCGTCAGGAAACTACGAGACGAATTTATTAAGCTTAATTAATTCGTCATTAGCAAATATTTACTGTAGCACCACATTGTCAAATCATGGCTCAATTAGGCTTAAAATATTCGTCTCGTAATTTACACGCAATCTATGTAATTGTTTTTTTACCTATATTTAATACTCCATGCATATGCCCAAACATTCGATGTGACAATTTACTATAGCACCACATTGCCAAATTATAGCTCAATTACGCTTAAAAGACTGGTCTCGTAATTTACTCACAATCTATGTAATTGTTTTTTTACCTATATTTAATATTCCATGCATATGTCCAAATATTCGATGTGACAGCGTGAAAATTTTTGTTTTTTTTAACTAAACAGGGCCTCAGTTTTCTGCATTTGTACGCAGAGCATTTATACGTAGGTACACAGTACATGCTGATGAACTTGGGGCAAAGCTAGAGGCAGACGTACGACGGTCAAAAGATACGAACATCAAGAGAAGAAGCTTCAGGGCGTACCTACATTGTACACGTTCAATTTTATTCATCCTTTGTTATTCTGAAGAAAAGAATAATAAAGGCAGGAATGTTCAAGATGCATCACCCTCTTGTGATTCCTCTGCCTCCCCCTTTGTTCTCTCCGCGCATTCTTTTTTGCTCTCTTGTGATTCGTATTGTTTTGGATATATTGCTGCGATCAATATTTGAATTACACGTCAAAAAGTATAGTTCACAAAAAAGACGACCACCGCTTTGATATATCTCAACTCTTTGAATCTCCCCTATTTTTTTTTCATTTCCAGCTTGTTCGTGTACATAATACATGGTTGTTTGTCCATTTGGGTGACACCTTTCATTAGGAAAAATCTACTCTCTCCTAAGGATTCCTATCTTTAAAATAATAACAAAAAAAGCCTTTCCAGGTTCTCCTAACTCAGTTTTTTTTTAAGTTTACCAGTTTTACTTTGTTTTTGGGAGGATTGTTCACCAAAAGGGCAGTATATTTATGGCACCACATGTTTTATGGAAAAAGAGGTCAATTTTTTATACACAATAAACTACATATATTTACACCGATTTTTTTTCTAAAAAAATACACTGTAAACTTACATTGTATTTTTTTTCTTATACACATTATATAAAAGAATTTAAAACTATTGATTACCTACTTGAAAGTGGAGATAAAAGAGATGGAAAAATACTTACATATAAAAGGGAGGTATCAATCACATAGGAAAAACTAACTAAAAATCAAGAAAAAAAATGCGGCGACATATTTTCATAAAAAAAATGTTCGCGAAATGTTCAATCTGGCCATATAAATTCCCAGAAAGAAAAGCTGATATCTACTTCGGCCCAAAGAAAGAACCCGACTTAATCATTGGGCCACCAAGAACTATACGTGAGCCCATGTGAATCAGCCTTAATCCTTCGCCTTCGGAATAAGTTCACTTGAGGTCCCTTAACTTGTCAATGAATCCGATTTTCGTCAAGTGAACTTATTCCTTCGCCTTCCGGTGCCCCAACAATTCTTGAGGCCCAATCTATCCGGCCCACCTAAACCTCCTCCGGCGACAGCGTTGGCGAGTGGAGAAGGGCACGGCGGCCGTGTAGCCTGGAATCTCCGGTGCTCCTCCGGCGAGCGGCGGCGATGGACGGGGGCGGCGGCGATGCCGTGGACGGGGAGGCGAGCGGCGCCCGGTTCGAGTGGGACGAGGACTCGCAGCTCTACTACCACGCCAGGTACCCCAAGTGCCCCCCCTTTGCCGCTTGTCTTCTCGCCTCCAGGGCTCCGATGCTTCGCTCTTCGACTTTGGGTTGGGCGTTGCGAGGGGTTGCTGCTGCTCGAACCCTAGATTGCACGCCCGGTTGTTTAGGCGATCGGCTGATGGGGAACGTGGTTTGCTTGCGCATACGGCACGATGCCTAATTTTTGTTACTGAACAAACCCTAGTAGCTCTGATGTGGGAACTGGGAAATAAGTAACTAACAATTTTGGGAACAGCGATTGTTGCATGATGCCTAATTTTTGTGAATTTTTTTGGTATAATTGTTCGTTAACTCTCTCTTGCTTTCGTGGTTCATACTTGAACCCATACAGGCATATAACGAGTTAGGGAGTTGAAGTGCTCAATTAACCAATAAATTTTTAAGTAGTTACAGTATGTTCTTTCATCAGTTGTATCGGTAACTAGCAGTGCTTTGTTTCAAGTTCTACTTATGATATTTACTTGAACGTTGACTGTATCACTTTCAGTACTGGGTTTTACCATGACCCCGTCGCTGGATGGTACTATAGCGGTAGAGATGGTCAGTACTACATCTATGACAATGGAAATTACGTGCCATGGACACCAGATGCGGTAAGTGGGACTTCAGCTGGTTTTGCCAATTTTATTTGCTTGTCATTGGCTCTGCAATTTCTATGATCTTACATCCATATTCACAGGGCAATGAACCCAAAACACATAATCCATGCGATGAATCTAATCAAGATTTCCTGGAACCCTCATGTATGTTTTGTTATTTGAACATGCCACAACTTTTGATTTCAGGACATATGTGTTCAGCTTTCCTAGCTTCGACCTCTTTTATTTTGTTATCCATCTCTTCAAAATTTTGAAACAGTAATGTGCAACCTTGCAATTCATATCAAATTATCAATGATAGTAATTATATGTCATAGTTGTGAAAAGAAACCTGTAATGTGAAGAGTTATTTTTACCTTGATAGAAAATGGGCTGTCCTACCATTTTGGGAACAAATTGTGGAAAAGAGAACTTTTATATAGTTGGATTTGGGGAAAAAAATAATGTGAGTGCTTTTCATGTTATAGCAGGATTGGAACAAGATATACCAGATAACCAGAATGAAACACAACGGCCACCATCAGAATGGTTATTGCACAAAAATTCTATGCTCTTGTTTGATGAATTTTCTTTTTGTAGGTCTTCTGATGTTTTGTGTTTGCGTTTTGCATACAGGATGGAGGAAACATTAATCAATATGTTCTTGTCGGGCTATTCTAATGCAGAGGTCAATGCTGATATTTCACTTGGAGACTCACAAATAAATGGTTGGTATATTCCTTTTCTCCACTTAGTTTTCTTGTTTTGGAATTTTCTTAACTTTGTATTGTAAAACCCTAACTGAAATATGGTCTCCAGACGGAGATAGTAGTGAGACAGCTGAAAATAAACCTGGTAACTTCGCCTCGGAAAATGCACCATCCTCTCCATGTGATGCTTCCTTGCACCAAACAGAAGATGAATTGCAAAATGAGAATTCGACAGCCGTGCATGAATCTCTGAGTGAAGGTGAGAGGCCACTATGTCACCATTGTCATTTTCAAGGTGTATTGTTTCAAAAGTTGATGCAACCAGGAAATGCTTAGCGAGTCCTGGACACTGATGCAAGTTGATGCATGTTCTCTTCAGTCTGATATTTGGTTTTGCATAATGTTCCCAGAGGAAGAGAAATGGCTTGCTCAGTATGGTCAGGTAGAGCAAGAAATTGATGATCAACCATTATTTCCGAGCATCGATCTCTGGGATTGGGATATGGTCAAAGAATCAGTTAGTAAAGGTCAACCCATGGCCAGGCTTGTGGGACGTTTAGTTAAGGGTTCTAGTAAGCCTCATCCTTCTCTGCCTGCTCGTGGTGGCCTTCTAAGAACTGCCCCTGTGCATGAAGTTCATCTTGATCTTGTGCGTGTTTCATCAGGTAAGACTATAGGCTCAGCATAGATAAGAAATGCATAATCTTTGAATACTAAGAAACATTTTATTTTACCGGTAAATAAAACTTCCTTCTGCTGTCAAACACCATTGTTTGAGCTAAAACAATTTGATTTTCCTTATTTTAATTTTAATTTTGAAAGGTGGAATATTGTTAAGAGAAGCTCCCATTGTTTTTTTGTGGTTTTACGTTTTGATTGACAATTTGGGGCTACGATGTATTGCTTACAATTATGCACTTGTCGTGTCATCAGGAAAAATATACAGGCTAAGGAACCCTAGCAGGAAATACTTAGCCTCTTTATCATCATATGACTCGTCCAACCCAACAAAAGACTGGGGTTTTCCCAACATATATGCCAATTCCGACAATGATTTGGATAAACAGTCATCAGCACAGTGCCAATCGGAAGTCATGGATGTATTTTCTATGAAGGGTGTTTCAGCTGCTAGTGCCAAGGTAAGTAAAGAAGAACTGATTGGACTCATTATCATTTGCTAAAGTAGTGCTCAGAACACTGCTAGTATTTTCTATGTTTATAATATTTTCTACAAAAATGTCATATCTCTAGGATTTTAAAGTATGCATTTTTTTTTGCCATTTTCTTGGTCGTTAATGTTCTTAACATTAGTGATATTTTCATATGTTCTTGATATTCCTAGGAGCACAAGATAAATGCTTATAGGGACAGAGCTGCTGAGAGAAGGATCCTACACCGTGGTATAGGGATAGGACCTGGACAGAAACAAAGTAGCAGCACCAATTTTTATGAACATGAGGAAACAAGTGAGGGCATGGATCTGATGGGAGGTGCATCAGTAGATATGAACTTCCGTTCCAGTGGCTTGAATTCTGCCAAGAAAATGATGGAGAACATGGGCTGGAAGGAAGTATGTTTCTATCTTATGTCCACTTGTTGGTGTTGGTGAATGCCTTTGCTTCTAGGATGTTGGCAAAATTGCTTCCAGCACTTAATGCCGAACTCTGTGGAATATAAATATAAATATATTTTTGGAAAGAACACATTCAACTTAGTTTAGTGCAAATACCAGCTCCCACAAATTTTAGTGCCATGTGGAGGTCAGGGCAGCCATATCCTGCAGATATTTATCAACTTAGATTGCATACATTACAGGCAGTTATTTTTATCATTTGATTCAATGTATATGTTTTGTCAAAAATATTCTTTTTGAACCAAGAGTAGCTAGGAGTAAAGAAATATAATGTTTTGTGAAAATGTTTGTTATTTATTCAGGTTTTGTGGAACACAAGTAAAACCAATGGTCAGATTTATATTTCTGAATATGTATTTGACTCTCCCATTGATTTTCTTTTGTCCTGACAAATTTTTTAGGGCGAAGCCCTTGGGAAGAGCACAAAGGGTATGGTAGAACCCATACAGCCTACTGTCAACAAACATGGTGCTGGTTTGGGGTGGAAGCAAACCCGCTAAGATGTTTGTAATCGCTGAACTTTGGTGATTTCAGGTACATGTTTTGTGGCTTGAGGTACATCTATATTGCATCACATATGACAGAAAGGACATTGTATTAAACTTATATCTTTCTTCATTAGCTTTTGCAGCCTATCTTATGCAATTTAAAAATGAGCATGCTACTTAATAAGAAATTTGTATGTTATGCCTAATTTTCCACATGAGTGGGAATGTGCACGATTTTAACTAGCATATGTTAACAAGCTGCCTTTTTTTTTGCGTTGTTGATTCAGGTATGAATTCTTCTACAAAAGAAATGATGTAACTGAGACTGTTCATCTCAGAAATTCGCACCCTTCTTGGAGGACGCTGTGTTTAGTACTACAGGCAGTAAAGGTTGTGCTTCCTACTTATGTCTGGTTTGCGACATACTGTATCTAGGAAGTTTGTTAGTTCTCTGGGTTAAAATTGGGCATGATGATTTGTTGTTATTGGATAGATGAACTAACATTACTAGTTACTAGTTTGTGCCGTACTGCATCTAGGAAGTTTGTTGCTTGACTGATGTTCTCTTGGTTAAAATTGGGTAGAACATCATTGACATTGGATAACATTACGAGAAAGAAACAACAACGTATTGAAAACTTTATCAACAAAATTGTTGAAGAAAAAGCTATCTTGACTTCAATTTTGTCTCCTTTTTGACCTAAAATACTGGCATAATTTTAGTACTGTTCAAGTGTAAACACCACCATAGTTTTGGTTTTCCCTGTTGTGCAATTGATAAAAGTGCAGTCTAATGCTACTTGCAATGCTTACATTCAAATTATACTTTTCATATTCATAAATCTTGATACCTGGACAAATGCTTTGCAATTTGTTGTGCCTATTATCTATTCCCTCTGACTGTGGAAGTGAGAAATGTTTTACAAACATGAGATGAGTTGGAGCTGCTATTTGTAACTCGTCCTATATATTTACGTATCTGTAAAAGGGTATAAATGCACTTAAGCTTGTCGTTCTTTAATCATGAGTACTTAGGTGTGCTTTAGACACCATTATTTTCTACTGTCAAGATGCTAGTATACTACTGCATGTAGGTATTTGTTTAGAAAGTATAACAATACTTTGGATTTCAGCATTGTTATCTTATTTGATACCATGCATTGACCATTGCACCTACCTAACTTCTTTCTAGCAAATTATATCAATTTGTTTGCTTATTTTGATGATGACTCATTGCATGTCGCATAAGTGTGATGACCATGTCGTAAAATTAACGTAGGACAGTAATTGAGCTTCACAAGAATCTGGAAAGGTACTATTTTGATGTCGTGTTGTTTCAACATTAGTGCAAGAGCATTTGGGACCTCCTAGGATTAGTCATCTTGCACTTCATGTTGTACTCCCTCCATCCCTAAATGTTTGACGCCGTTGACTTTTTTAAACATGTTTGACCGTTCGTCTTATTTAAAAAAAATTAAGTAATTATTAATTTTTTTTATATCATTTGATTTATTGTTAAATATATTTTTGTGTATACATATAGTTTTATATATTTCACAAAAGTTTTTGAATAAGACGAATGGACAAACATGTTTAAAAAAGTCAACGGCGTCAAACATTTAAGAAAGGAGGAAATATGAATTAGTACCTTCGACAACAAGTCTGTTTCAGCGGAATAGAATTATAGCAAAAAGAAAAGGCTAGTCTTCCTCGGGAGTAATTAACAACCCAAGAATTTTATGCAGAGGCTGAAACTGCTGATTGTGAGCAAGTAAGGTATATATACTCTAGACTGATTGAAGATGATGAGATCACAAGGAAAAGAGAGAGGACGAAGGTGGTTAGGACTGTTTTTTATGCGTACTTTTGGCCTAATTGCTTTTTAGGGCGGAAAGAAATAAAGGTCTAAGTTCCACCCCCTCAAATCCCGGGCACTGCTCCCAATATGGTTCTCTAAAGAACAGTGGTCTTGTTGTACTAATCACTAAAGACGTGGCTTCATCTGCTCAAGTGTGAATTTGACCCTCAGCCATCTCTGTACTCCATATTTGAATGATGATTTCACATTAGTGCATAATTGAACATGAGTTGTCAATTCCTCCTGATTTGATTATCAGCAACTCGGTGGCTTTTGCTTTGAGTTTTTTTTTCAGAGACTTTGAGTAATTTTTTGATTGTAAGATTCACCAAAGTTTATACGTTGGGACCCTTGCGGTTGCAGGAACCTGCGGAATTGCGGAAAGCTGGTAACTGAAGAGCGGGAGAAGATTGTGAATATTCCTGACGGAAGTAATTGACTTAGTTTCTGTTCACCCTTTCAAGTTATTATCCTGCGTTGCATGTATAAATCTTTTCCCCTTTTGAGACTCTAATTCACAAGCTCCGTTAATGTTGGAACCTATTTGACAACAATGCTCATCCTTTATTATATGGTGCAGTCTATGGATCCTTTCTAAAGAAAGTGAATACCGAATGGATTTTCTCTGAACTAAAATCATAAATGTACTCCGATTAACATCTGTTTAGTGTGGATTCTAGCCCTCAAGTTTGTTGTGCTGGAATGGATGAAAGATAAATGAACTTATTATTTTTCATACAGCAGAAGAGTAAAAAAAAAAAAGGAACTGTTTATTTTTCAGCTGACAGAAGAGTTAAAGATTAATGGAGCATGCAAGCCTGCAGCAACCGTTCTATGACTTCCATCCATCTGCTAAGGCTCACCATTAGGTACGCCAAAGGCAGCCAAACTTTTGTCCCGTCCAAGTTGTTTGTTTTTTTGTCATTAGTATCTACTATGCGGTGCCTTCAATTTTTCATTTTGATCAGTATAAGTTGTAGCTTTTACTGTAAGGGATGTGCAGTGCCTGAAATCAAAGCAAGACTATATAGGAGTATGCATGTATATAGGATTGATCGGTTTCAGTTCTTATCAGTTAGTAACACTCCTAGCACTTCATCTTAAGAAAACACCTAGCACTATGTGATTAGCTATTACTTCCTCTGTCCCAAAATGTAAGCATTTTTGAGGTTGACATGGGTATTAAGAAAATATGTGAGAATGATTGAAAAAGGTGTGTGATTGGTTGAAAAGAGAAAGTAGGTGAAAAAGAATGGTTGTGATTGGTTGACAGGAGAAGGTAGGTAAAAAAATAGTTTTATTTTGAGACAAAGTACTGAGCTAGAAATAGCTATATTTTAGGACGGATGTAGTAACTACCAGTAACAACTACTACTAACCAGTACCAATTGGTTAGATGCCTTCAACCTTTAACTGCATAATTAGACTTTTAACTGATAACCAGCACCAACCATTACGGTTAGCTCCCTCGATAGCACCAAGCCTGCATGGAACCTGACGAACACTGCAACACGACCCAGATAGCGAGATAGAGAGCCTGTTGCTTCCATTGGGAACTTCACATTTAGACGTGTCAAATCATTGGCACTGTTTGGGCAGGAAAAAGGTGCATCACGATTCTTATGAACAATCCCAGCCGTGAGACGACAGGTGCTGCTTGTTCGTGTCCTCGCAAAAAAAGACGACCTAATTTGGTCCGGTCGAGAGGGCGCAAGTCCCGATCCAACGGAATTAATTGGCAAGCAGCAAACTTAAGCTCATATAGGGATGAAAACGGAGCGGAAAGTTTCCGTCCGCTCCGGACAAAGACGGATACGGATACCTTTCAGATCGGATAATTCTCGGATATTTCGGATACGGATATGAATACGGATATTTTCTCCCGGATACGAATACGAATATGGTATCAGGGTTTCCGTCGGATACGGATAATAATTCGGATATCCGGTGAACAGTGCTATTCGGATATCCGCAGGACCCATGAGACATACCCCATTTCTTTCTAACTCTATAACCTTCAATATACCTTTATACATTTTAATAGTAGTTTATCTCTTAACACTAGTCCATACTATTAATATTATTTAAATTTTAAAAAATATTTATAAATTATACCTCATTTTATATAAAATAAGCTAATTATATATGTTGATATTTATTTCTATTAGAAGTTGAGTTGGTTTTCGTGTTCCGAGAAAAATTTGTTTCCGTATTCGTGTCCGATCATATTCGATTCTTATTCGTATTCGAGATAATCCGTATTTGTTTCCGTATTCGAGCTATCCGTATTCGTTTTCGTATCCGGTAAAAAATATAAAAACGAATATGGTATGAGCATTATCCGTCCGTATCCGCTCCGTTTTCATCCCTAAGCTCATGGTCGAGCCGAGGGCACTACCAACACCCAATCAAACCCTATCTTAGATCCAAGCCATTGGCCTTTGTTGTGTGAAGCTCAAGTGAGGTTGCTGCCTTCTCTTCTTTTCATATTGTGCAGCATGGTTTTGTGGTCTGCCTTGGCCACAGCAACAAGTAGTAGATGAAATTGCACATCAGGAGACAGTAGTAGGAGCACACCACACCACCATGCAGATAAAACTGCACATCAGTAGCACTAGCAGCAGTAATGGTCCATGACTCCTCTTGATTGTTCCTTGTTCATTACTCCGTATTTCACTAGTTTGGAGTACACTGATGATGCTTGTTTGTGTGGCTAATGCATGCTCTTAATTGCATGGGGTTAAACAAATGGACACCTAGTAGAAGTAGTCACCACTCGCTAATGCTGTAGTGTTATACTCGCACATCTTACTCACATGATGCCTACTGCCTATCCCTGTCCTTGTGACTTGTATTCTTCTTGTCTTCAGCCCATCCATGTGCCCCCTCCCTCCCTCACCCCCTCATGCCTAGATTCTCTTCTTGGCACCGATCTTTTTCATACACGCCTTCGATCTCTTACCGACACCAATTTAATAAAGCAATCTTTGCTCCTATAATTGTTGCTTGCAAGTTTTTTCCTTCGCTTATTGATAGTACACAACATACACAATTACTTTCCTCATTTTCATAATCTTATTTGAAATATTTGTAGTGTGTATGGATGGACTCATTGAAAAATTGTTGACTTGCTATTTTTATGTTAATAATGTAACCTAGCTGGAATCATGCTTGATTCTGTTCAATAGTTTAAGTTATTTCTCCATGCTTATAGTAGGGCTACTATTATAAAATAAATACTAATTTTGCTGATACTTCCATTCCTCTGGAGAATGGAATCAATTGATGCCAGGGTTTATCTTCTTTCTGCATCATCCATTTCATGCATGCCGCTTTTTCTCATTTCAGATTATGTAGGGGCTTTATGTACAGCCTTTTAAGATCGAAGTACCTGTCAATCCATATCTTCAGGTATTTCTGCTTCAAAGATGCGCTTATACTGCAAAAGATTCCAGCTAATATCACATCATTTATACTAAATCCACAAGTTTGTACAAACAAATGGATTAGCCATCATGGAATGGAAAATTATTAAGGAGATACGCTCACGCGCCAAGCAACCCAAGAGTCCACTGTCTCACGTGATCCATTGATCACTTTAACTTGTTCATCTTTTCTTTTATTTAAAAGATGAGAAGAAATATATTGCGATTCGTCTCAGCAATGCCATTATATTAACTAGGTCCTACCGATCGACTTGATTTCAATCATTCTTAATTTACCATTGCCAGTTGCATGCCAAACTTCAAATCTCAGCATTTGGTCAAAATAATTTCATGTACTATATGCATGCTAGTACAAACAAAGTAGAACTAGACTTAACTGGATAATTAATTTAAGAATCTGGTAGTCTGGTAGATCTACTCTCTAGAGTATAGTGTGGTGAAAATTTTCGGGACTACTGTGCATGGGTAAATGTTTTATTATAGTCCCTTAATGCATATGCTATCAGCTTGTCACAGCATATAGCTAGGCAGGTAATTATGGCTTGCGAGGATCTCTCTTTCTTTCTCCATTCCTTTCATCATCCATATGTAAAAAACTGACCAGCTTTTCATAACAGTTACCAGCTTTGTGCTTCCTTGCATGCTGATGTATCATTACTCCACATTTGCTCTACCAACATACTTGTGAACTAAGCTTGCCAACAGTATATTTTTCTGCTCCAGCTTAGCTGAATCAACCTGCAGGCGTTTTTACCGCTTTACCAGTAAAGTTATCTGAAATTTGCCCCTTAATCTATCTCATTATCTGCATAGTAAGTGTGTAGTAACCCGGTTTTCTTAACCGAGGAACAGAAAAGTGTGCTGTTTTTTATGGGGGTAATACAACTTACAATGCCTGCCTGCCCCAAATGGAAGCCCTAATTCCAATGTAAATACTCTGTAAGTTCTACTCATTGGAATTATCTTCTACGGGATTAGAGGTGCTGTGTCCTGGTTAATTAGGACTGCTCATTTACCAATGGGAATTTGGAGTGGGGGGTAGATCTAGATCTGTGAGCCTGCAAAATTTTCAGTACATAGCGAGTAATTTTTAACTGCTGCTAATGGCGGCTTCCTCGCAATTAACACAAAGTACAAGAAAGGCAGGGTAATAAACTAGTTTATTACTGCTACTTGGCAATGAAAAGGATGAGCTATGTAGCAGTAGATCTCATCTAACCTAGAACATGTGCTGCCCTCCATTTAGGTCTGTAGATCTAATCCTTTTGTTTAACCCTGCATCGCTGACAGCCACTGTAAGAAAGAACTGTACTATATGCAATACAATACGATTGTTACTGCATGGAATGAACTGTTCTTGCGTGTCATGTGTGTGTTACCACTTAACCCACCAAGAGGGCCAGCTGTGTTGTCTCCCTTTTCACCTTTCATTTCAACTCTATGAGATTCTTGCTTCAGTTGGTTTTTTTCACCCTGCAATGCCCATGATCACTAACACCAGTCCTTACCAACTCTTTTACACTATGACAAAGGCCTCAAGCAATATCTTGCTGTCTGCTAATCCTGTTCTAGATTAATTGTTACATTTCCAAGATATTATTGGCTTCTTTTTTTTTAATGGAAGTTCTTGGCTTCTTTCACACAGAACCGCTTTATCAACTGCAATTGAAATTTGGCACCTGTCAATTCTAAATTCATTTTGTGTTCAGAAAATTAAACCTATTACTGCATGGTGGGTTGCAGCTAGTGAAATGCATCAAATCAGAGTAATTAATCTGCAGCTCTTACTTACCTTATTTTATCTTATCATCCATGTCACAGGCTTTCCATGAAGTTACCTGACCTCCTGATGCAACGGAACAGCTGCCTGTGGCCTTGATGCACCACCATCTTTCCCTGAGGACCAAAGCTGTTGCAGCAGTTAAAAAAACACCATCACGGCACCACCTCTCCCCTCTCTGTCAACTCCAGTTTTGCCAAAGCAAAAGCACTTAGGCAGCGTTCGTTCCAGTGAGTTTGAGGAAGAAAGCACGTCGTTTTCCACGTGCACGCTTCCCAAACTACTAAATGGTGCGTTTTTTGTAAAAATTTTCTATAGGAAAGTTCTTTTAAAAAATCACATTAATCCATTTTTAAAATTTAAAATAGTTAATAATCAATTAATCATGAGCTAATGACTCACTTCGTTTTACGTATCTTCCCAATCTACTCAATCCTTTTCTCCTCAAACACACCCTTAGTCGTTGGTGATGAGTAACCCTATCTCTCTCTCCTCCCTTCAAAATTTTAAACCCAAATCAAGCCCTCCATTACTGCCATGATCAGCCATAGATAACATGATGAGCACTGCACTGGAACTGAATGCATCATATCATCAGCATGCATTGGATTGCAATAAACAAGTACAAGAGGAGGGGACAGGGGTGCGGTGTGTCCTGACCCAACCGGTGGCCTTGGATCCGGAGATTCTGCAGACACACATGACACACCTCTCCTCTCTTTTAACATTGTCAGCTGCTTAAACCTCTCCATTAATCTAATCAAGCACAACTCCAGTTCCTGCTTACTGCCACCTAATCTGCCATTTTCTTTTTGATTGTTTGCTAGTATCTCTTTCCATGGAGACATAAGAATTGCACCTCCTCCTTGGCCATGGTATGTCTCTCCCCTATCTCTCTCTACTAAAACCTCTCACCTCACCACCAATCCACCTACTAGTCTTGCAGAGTTGCAAGCAAACTACTATCTTGTCTCTCACTTAGCCTTCCAACACAAGCAAGAACCGAGATTATCTGCATGTGACACGCCAACATTTCAAGCTGATTCTACAATTCTACAGCATCCATCAGCTCAGCTCAGCTGAGCTCAGCTTTCAGTTTTGTTGCAGCAGTGTACTTTCAGACAGTACAGTGTCAAAACTGTCAAGTGTGTGTGGTTTCAGTGACTTGATTGGTTCGTAGAGTAGAGAGAGATGCCTCCTGGTCTGAGCAGGAGGAGGCGGCCGGACGCGGCGGCGTTGCTGTGCTGCGTGGTCGCCGTCGTGGCGGCGTGCATGGTCGGCGGCGCCCTCGCCGCCGACGCCCAGGGCGCGGCGCTGCTCGCGTGGAAGCGCACGCTGCGCGGCGGCGACACGGCCTTGCCTGACTGGAACCCCGCCGACGCGTCGCCGTGCCGGTGGACGGGCGTGAGGTGCAATGCCAATGGGCGAGTCACCGAGCTGAGCCTCCAGCAAGTTGACCTGCTCGGCGGCGTGCCGGACAACCTGTCCGCCGCCATGGGCACCACGCTGGAGCGGCTGGTGCTCGCCGGCGCCAACCTGTCCGGCCCGATCCCGGCGCAGCTCGGCGACCTGCCGGCGCTGACCCACCTCGACCTCAGCAACAATGCGCTCACCGGCTCGATCCCGGCGAGCCTGTGCCGGCCGGGGAGCAAGCTGGAGAGCCTGTACGTGAACTCGAACCACCTGGAGGGCGCCATCCCGGACGCCATTGGCAACCTCACGGCGCTCCGCGAGCTCATCATCTTCGACAACCAGCTCGACGGCGCCATCCCGGCGTCCATCGGGCAGATGGCCAGCCTCGAGGTGCTCCGCGGCGGCGGCAACAAGAACCTCCAGGGCGCGCTCCCGCCGGAGATCGGCAACTGCTCCAAGCTCACCATGCTCGGCCTCGCCGAGACCAGCATCTCCGGCCCGCTCCCGGCGACCCTCGGCCAGCTCAAGAACCTCAACACGCTCGCCATCTACACGGCGCTGCTCTCCGGCCCAATCCCGCCGGAGCTCGGCCGGTGCACCAGCCTGGAGAACATCTACCTGTACGAGAACGCGCTGTCCGGCTCCATCCCGGCGCAGCTCGGCGGCCTCGCCAACCTCAAGAACCTCCTCCTGTGGCAGAACAACCTCGTCGGCGTCATCCCGCCGGAGCTCGGCGCGTGCACGGGCCTCGCCGTCGTCGACCTGTCCATGAACGGCCTCACCGGCCACATCCCGGCGTCGCTCGGCAACCTCTCGTCGCTGCAGGAGCTCCAGCTCAGCGTCAACAAGGTGTCCGGCCCCATCCCGGCCGAGCTGTCGCGGTGCACCAACCTCACCGACCTCGAGCTCGACAACAACCAGATCTCCGGCGCCATACCGGCCGAGCTCGGCAAGCTCACGGCGCTCCGCATGCTCTACCTCTGGGCCAACCAGCTCACCGGCACCATCCCGCCGGAGATCGGCGGCTGCGCCGGCCTCGAGTCGCTCGACCTGTCGCAGAACGCGCTCACCGGGCCCATCCCCCGCTCCCTCTTCCGGCTGCCGCGGCTGTCCAAGCTGCTGCTCATCGACAACACCCTCTCCGGCGAGATACCGCCGGAGATCGGCAACTGCACGTCGCTGGTCCGGTTCAGGGCGAGCGGCAACCACCTCGCCGGCGACATACCTCCCGAGGTCGGTAAGCTTGGCAGCCTCAGCTTCCTCGACCTCAGCACCAACAGGCTCTCCGGCGCCATCCCGCCGGAGATCGCCGGCTGCCGGAACCTCACGTTCGTCGACCTCCACGGCAATGCCATCGCCGGCGTGCTGCCGCCGGGACTTTTCCAGGGCACGCCGTCGCTGCAGTATCTTGACCTCTCGTACAACGCCATCGGCGGCGCGATCCCGGCGAACATCGGGATGCTCGGGTCACTCACCAAGCTTGTTCTCGGCGGGAACCGGCTCTCCGGCCAGATACCGCCGGAGATTGGGTCGTGCTCGCGGCTCCAGCTGCTTGACCTCAGCGGCAACTCGCTCACCGGCGCGATTCCGGCGAGCATCGGCAAGATTCCCGGGCTGGAGATCGCTCTCAACCTCAGCTGCAACGGCTTGTCCGGCGCGATACCCAAGGGGTTCGCCGGGCTGGCGCGGCTCGGCGTGCTCGACGTGTCGCACAACCAGCTCACCGGCGACCTCCAGCCGCTGTCCGCGCTCCAGAACCTCGTCGCGCTCAACATCTCGTACAACAACTTCACCGGCCGCGCGCCGGAGACGGCGTTCTTCGCGAGGCTGCCGGCGAGCGACGTGGAGGGCAACCCGGGGCTGTGCCTCTCGCGGTGCCCCGGCGACGCCAGCGACCGGGAGCGCGCGGCGCGGCGCGCCGCCCGCGTCGCGACCGCCGTGCTCCTCTCCGCGCTCGTCGCCCTCCTCGCCGCCGCGGCGTTCGTCCTCTTCGGCCGGCGCCGGCAGCCGCTGTTCGGCCGCGGGTCGACGAGCCCCGCCGACGGCGACGGCAAGGACGCCGACATGCTGCCGCCGTGGGACGTCACGCTCTACCAGAAGCTGGAGATCAGCGTGGGCGACGTGGCGCGCAGCCTCACGCCGGCGAACGTCATCGGTCAGGGCTGGTCCGGGGCGGTGTACCGCGCGAGCATCCCGTCCACCGGCGTCGCCATCGCCGTCAAGAAGTTCCGGTCCTCTGACGAGGCGTCCGTCGACGCGTTCGCCTGCGAGGTCGGCGTGCTGCCGCGCGTGCGCCACCGCAACATCGTGCGCCTCCTCGGCTGGGCGGCCAACCGCCGGACACGCCTCCTCTTCTACGACTACCTCCCAAACGGCACCCTCGGCGGCCTCCTCCACGGCGGCGGCGCCGCCATTGGCGCCGCCGTGGTGGAGTGGGAGGTGCGGCTCTCGATCGCCGTCGGCGTGGCCGAGGGCCTCGCCTACCTCCACCACGACTCTGTGCCGGCGATCCTCCACCGCGACGTCAAGTCCGACAACATCCTCCTCGGTGAGCGCTACGAGGCGTGCCTCGCTGACTTCGGCCTCGCCAGAGTCGCCGACGACGGCGCCAACTCGTCGCCGCCGCCGTTCGCCGGATCGTACGGATACATCGCTCCTGGTACGTTCGACCTTACCTTACTTCCGATCAGTAGCGGTTAAGTTGGTTACAAGGAGCACCGTCCGATTCCATCTCGAGCTACACTAACGGCTGTGATTGAATCCTCTGATCTGTGTGCAGAGTACGGGTGTATGACCAAGATCACGACCAAGAGCGACGTGTACAGCTTCGGAGTCGTGCTACTAGAGATAATCACCGGCCGCCGACCGATAGAAGCAGCTTTCGGCGAGGGCCAAACTGTGGTGCAATGGGTACGCGAGCACCTCCACCGGAAACGTGATCCCGCGGAGGTGATCGACTCGCGGCTACAGGGCCGATCGGATACCCAAGTCCAAGAGATGTTACAAGCTCTCGGAATCGCCCTACTATGTGCTAGCACCCGCCCCGAGGACCGGCCGACCATGAAGGATGTGGCAGCATTGTTACGTGGCCTTCGACACGATGACAGCGCCGAGGCCCAAAAGGCCGGGTCTGGGTCGGCCATAAAGTGGGCCGATCCAAGACAGCCCGGCTCACCAACTAAGCCGATGGCCCAAGCCCAGGCCCATTCCCACACCAGCTCACTGGCCTACTCAACAACCGGGAGTGTGTAGTGTAAGTCTAATCCAGAAGGGATCAGCCAAACAAAGCACTGTGATGTCTGTGGCAATGTGATGGTGACTGTGTCGTCGTTGAGCTCACCTCGGCCGGGCGGCGCTCGCCGCCGGCGACAAGCCGGCGTGGACAAGCTGGGGTCGGTGGAGTGGATCGGAGGAGGCAAAGGTGGGGAAGAAGAATATGAGGAAGACGCCACCTTGCATGAAACAAATTAAGCAGCAATAATTCCTCCTCGTGTACTGTACCATACATAGCAGTAGCTGGTGCAATGCATCTGGTATTCTGTTGTATTTATGTATATTAACCCAGGGTAATTAATATCTTGGTAATCTATGATCAAATGATTGTGTTCCGGGACTTTCTCCATTGTCGCGTCGCGTTAGTTTTGGCTGTGCCTGGCGTGTGGCTCGAGCTAGCACTACTGTACACTGTACTGCTCTGTCGAGCTAGGTGATGATTTGTACTAGTTGCCTGCACCTAGCCCTGCAGAAAAACAGACCTAAGTTTGACTATCAGCTTTTAGAATTCTAGTTTTACATCATACGATTTACTATATGTTTTTAGATTTACCCTGAGTAGTACTACATAGTAATATACATAAATCATGTATTGTTAAAATATACTCCCTCCGTCCCAAAAAAAGACAAACCCTGGTTTCCGTGTCCAACGTTTGACCGTCCGTCTTATTTAAAAAATTATGAAAAAAATTAAAAAGATAAGTCACACATAAAATATTAATCATGTTTTATCATATAACAACAATGAAAATACGAATTATAAAAAAATTTCATATAAGACGGACAGTCAAAGTTGGACACGGAAACCTCAGCCTGGGCATTTTTTAGCCGCAAACCGCAAACCGAACCGAACCGCACCGAACCGAACTGAATTGTTGGTTTTTTCGGTTTTCGGTTGTCAGTTCGGTTTCTGTTTTTGTGCTATTCGGTGTACGGCTTCGGCTTCGGTTTTATAGAGAAACCGAACCGAACAACCGATTAAACCGACATATCCCGCGGCGGCGGTTTTATAGAGAAACCGAACCGAACAACCAATTAAACCGACATATCCCGCGGCGGCGCAGCCCACGGCCCACCAGTTCGCAGCCCATCAGGCCATCAAGGGCAAGGCCAACCCTACGCCACGCCCCTGACTCGTCAGTCGTCACGCCCCCGACTCGTCACTCGGCGCAGCCGCTAGCCCGGCCGCCAGCCGCGCAGGGTGCCGCCGCAGCGCTGCCGCTGCCCTACCTCGCCATCGCGGGCTCGAGGCGGCACGCCGCACGGCCGCAGCGCCACACTCCCCTCCCCTGAGCAGCAGCTGTAGGCCCCGGCGAGCCGCCCGCGAGCACACCGCCCCCTGCGCCCAAAGACCCAAACCCTAACTCGGCGGCCGGCAAACGGGCTGCTGGCGGCGGGCCGGCAACACCCTCGTGGAGTTCTCCGACCAAGACAACGGCGGCGCGGACCGAGCAGTCCTCCTATGTAAGTTCTTCACTTCTTGTTCGTTTGTTCTAGTTGAGTCCATGTTGAGTGAATGAGTGTTGTATTGCTGTTCTATGTTGGTAAGTTCTGATTTAGTGATTTGAAACATTTGATCTAGATGGGGGACACAGATGAAACTGTTGCTTGTGAGATTAATCACACTCAATCTCAAGACACTGAAACCGGAGTGTCAACTACTGGAGTGGTAGATGCAAGCAAGGACAAGGAGGAGCAGCAGCAGTCCAAGGATGGAGAGAAAGTTGATGAAGAATCCAGAAAAAGAAAACCAATGGCTCTAAGATCTGATGTATGGGAAAGTTTCAGCAAGGTCAAACTTGCTAATGGGGACGAGAGGGCCAAGTGCAAGTGATGTACCAAGTTATTTCATTGCGGCTCAAGAACAAATGGTACGTCATCCTTGAAAGCTCATCTGAAGATTTGCAAAAAGAATCCTAACAAACCAGTAGTTGATAATCAAGGAACTTTGCAACTGACACCATGTGATGGCAATAGTACTCTTGGTACTGTGACCACTTGGAAATTTGATCCAGATAAACTTAGAAGGTGTTTTGCTGAGATGATAATTGAAGATGAACAACCATTTGTCCTATCTGAGCGTTCTGGTCTTAGGAAATTTATGACTTTAGCATGTCCATGATTTGTTCTGCCATCTAGAAGAACAATCACTAGAGCTTGTGTTAAAGTATATGAAGATGAGAAAGAAAAGCTTAAGAAATTTTTTAAGGACAATTGTGTAAGAGTTTGCCTCACTACTGATACATGGACTGCTAAGAACAGCCAAAACTTCATGTGTGTTACAGCCCATTTCATTGACAATGAGTGGAACCTACAGAAGAAAATTATTGGTTTTTTTTGGTTAAGGGACATAGAGGGGAGGACATTGGAAAATCATTAGAGAACTGCTTGGCTGAGTGGGGCATTGACAAGGTTTTTACAATAACAGTAGACAATGCTAGTGCAAACAATAATGCAATTAAGTATATGAGAAGGGTCTTGAATGAGTCAAAAGGTTGTGTTGCTGAAGGAGAGTACATTCATATGCGCTGTGCTGCTCATATTATCAACCTAATAGTAGGTGATGGCTTGAAGGAAATTGGTACATCAATTCAACGTGTCCGTGCTGCTGTTAAGTTTATCAGATGTGGAACATCTAGGTTGGTAAAATTTAAGAAATGTGCTGAGTTAGCCAAGGTACAGAGCAAAGCATTTCTAAACTTAGATATTTGCACTAGATGGAACTCAACCTATCTTATGTTAAATGCTGCAGAGAAGTACCAAAAAGCATTTGAAAGATATAGTGATGAAGACCCATACTACAAATTAGAATTAGAAGGAGAGAATGGTCCAGGGGTACCAACAAGAGCAGATTGGGAGAAGGCTAGGAAGATGGCTGATTTTCTTGAACACTTTTATGACCTCACTCTCCGTGTTTCTGTACAAAGTCGTACAACATCTCACACTTATTTCCATGAGATTGCTGATGTATTACTTCTGTTGAGAGAATGGTCTCATAGTGAAGACAAGTTGAGCAAGGAAATGGGTACAAGAATGCTAATGAAGTACTACAAGTATTGGGGAGAGAAGTATGGTGAGAGGCAGGGGGACAGAGAGAAGAGAGGAGAGAAAGATAAGGGGGATCAACTACTCAACTTCACTGTCTTCTTCTGTGTTGCTATTGATCCTAGATACAAACTATCAAATTGCATTAGAATGGGAATTAAGGTGATGTTTGGGGATACAGTAGGAGAAAAAGTATGGGAAACAGTGAATACCTATTTTCGTGCTTTGTTTGAAGAGTACAAGGAAATGTATACCCCAAAAGATAAGGCACCGCAACCTACTGAATCTGAATCTACAGCTGAAACCAGCAAAAGAGTGAGTTGTAGGTGGATGTCAGTAATTACTCAGCAACTTAACAGTGAGGGTGGAAGTGGAACTATCAAATCTGAGGTAGACAAGTATCTATCAGAAGATAATGAGCCGGACACACCAAAATTTGACATTCTAAAGTGGTGGAAGGCCAATTCAACAAGATTCCCAATATTATCTCATTTGGCCCGTGATCTTTTGGCAATTCCTATCACCTCAGTTGCCTCTGAATCAGCCTTCAGTGCTGGTGGGCGAACTCTAGATGACTTTAGGACCTCACTAACCCCAAGAATGGTTGAGCGTCTTGTTTGTGCTAATGATTGGCTTCGTGGAGGAAACTATGTTAGTGTTGAAGAGGACAGCGAACAAATGGCTTTGCTTGAGGAAGGTAACATAGAAAATTTTTATTTCCTTCCAAATTCTAATGTGCTTCATGATTCATACACTATTGACTGTTCTAACTAAGATCATCTATTATTTTAGAACTTGGTGACCTATCTATTTCCAAGGAAGATACTCCAGCTGCAACTCAGTAATTCAGTCCTGATCAGTGATCATTTGGAGTCTTGGACACTTGGTTTGGTGTATGCAATGCTGTTGTTGCCTGTTGGGTGCCTGCTACGGTGCTACCTGGGACTTTATATTTCTCTATTTGAATAATGAAGAACTCTTGAATCTATGTAACTGTACTCTTGAGACATGTTGATTTGTGTACTGTGTGACTACTTTGTGTAATTCTATGCAGCTGTGCTGCTGGTTATTGCTTGCTTAAGGATTTGATATATCTATAATATCATATATGCTGTTGCTTGTGTTCATTTTTATGTAATTCTGTATTGTTGTGGCTGGTGGTAGTAACTTTTGGTTAATTCGGCTAAAACCGAAAACCAAAATTAAAAAATCGAAACCGAATTTTGCGGTTTTCAGTTTTTTGGAGAACCGATCGGGTGGTGAAGCCTGTAAACCGAATTTTATAGCAACCGAATAAACCGAACCGAATTGTCGGTTTAAACCGAACGCCCAGGTTGACGGAAACCCAGGGTTTGCCTTTTTTTTTGGAGAGAGGGAGTACTCCATGTATTCCATTTTGATCATTCTTTAAGGTTTTCGAGGTTTTCTCAAAATGATCATCATATAACAAGTGTATCTTTATTTATTTGTGCAAAGAGTAAACGTGTAAAATTGAATATGTTGCACGCAACAAACCAAGATTAATTTCTATTGATGCAATGACATGCAATATTTAAAACATGAGTAATCTACCGGATACGAAGCGATGAAACACTTTAACCGATGAGAATTAATTTGAGATGATAAATATTTTGGTGTTCTTGGTCTTGGTGTCATTTGCTTAGGGGATGATCAAAGTCGGATTGAGGGAAATGTTGGTAGTCAAAGTTAGGAATATTTCACTTAAAACAAAACTAAAATGACAAGTAATTTAAAACGGGGAGTATAAAAGTTCTTCTCTTCAAATAGGTTTTTATACAGTTCAGACCAATCAACCACCCCTGCATTATTCGCAAAGTCCCTGCACAAATCTTGACGCACTTTATATAGATGGGATAAAAGAAGTTTTGGCATGAGGAGATCCATTTGGCCGTGGGTCAGGCAGGCCGTCAGGCTGCCGGCCTGATGATAAAGTTGCCGAGAATGAAAAGGACGCACTACCGAATGCCGGTAAGAGGGGTACTCAGTCTCAGTGCCGATCGACGAAACGCTCTTTTCACTGCAACAAGATCGGCAAGCTTCCAAATGTTCAGGTCACCTGCTTAATTACTGTTTGCTTCTTCTGAACATGGGAGAGGAGTTAAGACCCTCTTTGTCAGGGAATGGACAGATGGAATGTTCAGAGATATGTGGGGCTTCCAACACTAATGACTCTCCTACTACCTGCTGGATTAATTCATTCATGGTTCATGGATGAATTATGCAGTTGCAGTCTTGCAGATCTGCAGTAGTTGGAGTGAAATCGGGTGTGTTTAGTTTACGCCAAAATTAGAAGTTTGTTTGAAATTGAAACGATGTGATGGAAAAATTGAAAGTTTATGTGTATAAAAAAGTTTTGATGTGATGAAAAAGTTAAAAGTTTGAAGAAAAAGTTTGGAACTAAACAAGGCCCTACTATACATTGATTTCAGGTTGCATGCATGCACTTCAGCTCCTCCAATGGACGTCTCTTCTACACAAAAAAGCGAAATTTCTAAAGCTTTATTTGGAATTCAGGATTCTTTTGCGGAGAATTTTGAAACTGTTTAATGTACAGTTCTTTGAATGACATCTTGGCTTTGGTATCTTTGTCTACAGGGTATGCAAGCGGATGCGGTTGAACGGTGCATATCCAGCCAAGCGGAGAGCGACGGCTACTGTGCTTGTTTCAAGGGATTACAGCGAATGTATCAGGGAGGTTTGTCCATGTCATTCTAAGCTTTCCCTGGCCTCCTTGTGCTTGATGGCTTCTTCCTCTTGTCCAGAAATGGAGATTGGACAAAGAACAGCCCACCGTCCTGTGTGCACCATGCATGTTCACCGTATGTTGATGATCACTTGTTGATCGAATCAATCATCCTAGTAGGCCCATCAGCCCATGCACTAATACTACATGCGCCGATTCTAGAGATGAACTTGATAGTGCAGTTGCCAGGTATGTATGATTTCAATCCCGAGGTAACGAGGTCGATCTCGTGCTCAATCCTCAGCACATTTACAATTTCTTCTTAAAACAAATATTTGGGGGGACGTCTTTCCCTCCAAATCTCGAAAAAACTACATGCGTCGATTTTACAATATTTTTCATAGCTATATATAAACCTAACATTAATTATTAATTTCTATATGTTACAACATATCTCAATAATATCTATTAGATGTGATGGGCTAGAAATGTAATTGATTTCTAATTTGGACAAGATGCTTTCAAGCAATCATATCATCAGCCGAGAATTGATCATACACGAGTAAAAATAGTGCAATATTTTAAAATAAAATACAACGCAAATAGGGGGGAATCACTAGATGTGTGTGGTGCTAAGACTCCACTTACCAAGGTTCAAATCCTTGTCCTACCAGCTAGTGTCCGCAATTACGCCAACGCGAGGGTGCTTTTAGTATGGTACAAAAATGTATTGTTGTGCATTGGTCTTCTCTTGAATGTTTATCAAAGAAAAAGAGTACTCGTGAAAGTGTGAGCATCGTGTGTGCACATTTTCCGTGTAATCAACGGCAGAGACAAGCCTAGGATAGTTTGGGCTTGAGCACTAAGCTTGTCTCCATAATCATGCTTAAATTCTTTTCAACCAATCATGTAATTTTTTGAGAAAATTACTATCTCAGTTGAGCCTACTCGATCCTTAGGTTTAGATAATTTCTTGCTCCACCATTGCGTGTAATCTAAAAAATGCAACACATAAGTATGGCTCTGATTGTCTGATCTATGACTAATAAACCGTTAAAAAGTAAACTAAGCAATAAAAATAATTTACAGTAAAACTTCCATATCATTGCTTTTAGTTCAAAAGCCAATAAAAATAAAAACCTCAAAATCAACTTAAAATCAAGTTTTAGAATTTAAATTTTGGCTCTCGCTAGATAACAAGCAAACGAGATTACGGGCATGTTCAGATTATAGCCAAAATAAATCTTACCAAGTTTTGGCAATGCCAAAATTTTAGCAAGATGGCCATATTGCCAAAATTTTGGCAGGATTTCTTATGTATTGACTAAATTTGGCAACAAACTAAACGTATACATTTTTTTTGACAACTTTTTAAAAAAATGGTATGGTTAAAAATGACATCAAAGTGAACATGCCTGCATGAATCACATCCATATAATCATCAGTCGTCCTCCTTTCTTACTTTCAAGGAGCAAAGAGATTTGCTACTGTACGCAAAACCAAATACAGTAAATCAGTAATACTTTTGTTGTTTTAATTCCCGACCTTTCAGTGAGAACACAAACGTACGGAAGCCGCCGCTGCTCCAGTTGTCTGGGCCAGGTAGTGTCTGTCGACTCGATCCAGAGACATGATGCTCGTGGGCCACATTTGCATTGGCAGCAGCTAAGCTTGATGTAAACTCAACATGCATGTGATTTATTGCAATGAGATAAGATTAATCCATTCACTTCTCCGCAAAAGAGAGAGAAGGAAGAGTAATCCATCTCCATACTCTAGACGATTTGGGCCGGGGTATTTGGCCTCAAAGAAACGAGATATATAGAACTTTCAATGGCACGTACAAAACGATTCTGCATGTGGTTAACTCCATCACCGCTATATGCAAAGTGTACGACGAAGTCCAGTTTGATTGGATGATTGATCGCCGGATTTTGATGCTAGTAGCTTTGCACTTTCTTCTCAAAATTCTTGTAACTCTTAATGTCCTTCTCTGTGACACCTTTATGAGGTGAACATTGCAATTTTCTCTCCTTCCCTGTCGCCAACACTGCTTTCTTAGCGTATAGGTCGTTTGGTCGTTTCATTATAATCGCGAGAATAGGCTTAAGTCCTCGTTTTCCTCTTTTTAGTTTTTCCACATTTTCTTCCCAAACCCACATTCTTTTTTTGTTTGCCGTCAGTGTAAATTTTATTTCTCTTAATAAAAGGTGCACAATCCTTTTCCGTATTCCCAAAGAAAAAAAAATATTGGCAGAGCGGCCTCATTCCCTCGAAAAAAATATCTCCACGCTCTCATGACGCGAGTGAATTACGAGAGAGAGAGAGAGAGAGTTCATAAATTAGGCCTCTATTGATGGGCTTTTACTTGGACCGGTTCTTACAAATTGAGGCCCATATTTCAACCAAACATATAAAGACCCATGAGTTTTATCGAATCGACGTCTCGCTCTTATCCAATTTTTACAACGTCATGTTTAGAAATGCCAGCCGAGTGTTTGATCGAAGTAAACAAAATCAACTGAAAATTTAAAGGTCGCATCGATAATTCAAACGCATGGCAAAAAACACTCTTGATGCCACGCTATATATACATATGGTGATCATAACACTCCCCTATCAATTTCTTCATGTATACATAAGTAACATAACTCAAGAAAATTAAGCTAAACAACCCCCTAAAAAGACAGAAAAAAAAAATCAAAAGGAAGCCTCGTATCAACTCAAAAACTTTTGGCGCCATCACTCTTCCTTGGCTGCTTGACACACTCATCATCAGTAACCACTACTATAGCTATCTAGCTAATTAATTACTACTTAGAAAACTACTCATTCCATCCTAAAATATAAGATATTTTGACTGGATTTCAATTACCTAAGATATATCCAATCCGATCAAAATCCCTTATATTCTGTGACGAGTAGAGTAATTAATAAGATCGAGATGGTGTTGCATGTAATTGGTTGGTAATGATCAGTAATACCCCCTTAATAATCATCGTCGTCTTCCTCGTCTCTGGCGGCTTAATTAATTGGGTGGTGGCTCTAGGGGCAACGGACGTTGCGCCCGGGGCCGCCGTAGTAGAAGTAGTTGCCCCAGGCGCGGTTGTAGCCGCCCTGGATGTCGTAGCAGGAGGGGTGGTCGGCGACGAGGCGGAGGGCGGCGGCGGGGAGGAGGTTGTTGTCCCAGTCGACGACCTGGAGGTTGCGGAAGTAGGCGGCGCGGTTGAATCCCTCGCGGGGGAAGTGGCCGCTCCCCATCTGCGTCGGGGTGTGCGACCCCGACGGCCGCGTGTTCACCACCTCGCCGCCGAACTGCACCATGTTGGCGTGGCCGCCCAGGTGGGTGAAGAGGGACGACGGCCAGTACCCCACCAGTGGGCCCGACCCCAGCTGCAGCCACCAGTGCCCCCGACGTGGGTCCTACACACCGGCCAAATTCGTTGAAATTTAATTAGTATAAATCTTTTCATCCAAAGTTTCAGATTTTTTTTCTGTTAATTTTCTGAATTTCAGTTCAGTCATCTCTCCTAAAATTTGTTGTCTGCTTGTTGGCTTATCAGTTCGTAGCTAAACTTTGAATTTTGAAAACTTAATTTCAGAGTTCATTCTAAGGTTTGTACGTCGATCGTACTCTATTTTTTCCAGCCTTGGGTTTTTTTTTATCACGATTATACGAATATGAAAGTTTTACTCATAAATTATTTAAACTCAAACTGGTCAGATCATGAATTTCATATGAAATAGTTCATTCAGTTCACTTTGCAGTTCAAGCTAGTACGTATATGAGTATTACCTTCCAGATGAGAAGGCTGATGTCGAACTGGCGGCCATTGTAAACGGAGGTGGGGGAGATGGCGGCGCCAATGGCGATGCGGTTGTTGGTCTGCACGAAGCCGGAGCAGTGGAGGTTGTAGCACCCGGTCGCCTGGTACGCGTCAGTCTGCATGCCATCGCAACAGTTTAGACATCTCATCGTGCCAATATTGCATTGCAACACATGCATCTTTCTTCTCTTCCCGTTTCTTTATACTTTTTACTCACTTCAAGAACTAGTAGGATTCAGTACTTGGGAACTTGTTGCATTCAATGTGAGCACTGACATTGCTATTAGTTCTATCCACTACACTTGCTGCTACCTGTTGTAGTATTAAGTACTGTTGTTTCTTGCAGGTTTTCAATGGCAAAATGTCAAAATCCAGATACCGGTAAGAAAAACTGAGTGTAAACTGAACATGTATTTTTTTCCAGCTGATGAATTATTCGTTGTTCTATGTTTATCCTAGGTCAAAAATTCTAATCTTTGATGATTTCTGTAAACTCACATCTTAAGATTTATTTTTTTAGATTTACCATGAGAAATACTTTTATAATATATAATTCATACATTATTAATGGATTTCTAAAAATTAATGGTTAAAGATAGACATGCTTATCTTATGACAAATCTAGAACAGCAAGTAAATTAAAATGGAGGGAGCAGTGGGATTGGTGCAGAAGAGAGGACTTACTGTCCAGTATGTGAAGAACCTTGGGTTGTTATCTCCATACAGTTCAGGGCTCACCTGAATAAAGAACAAAGAGTTCAGAAAGTTAAGCAGTGTCTCTCCACTCCAGCCAGCAGATCGATCAGCTTTGACTGCTCAACCACCATTTTTATTAAGTAATCAAGTCAATGGGGGCGCACATTTCTAATCAGAATCATACTGTCAGCAAGCATGCATCGTGCTTCGATCGAATCTATTTAATGTGCCTCATCAGTTTCATGATTTCATCTCTTTTAATATTACCAAGTCAGTATGCAACCACATGCCAAGAAGAATCGAAGGATCCAAATCCCCTATTAGTTGAACTACCACAAGCACGGTTAATTCAGGACTTAAAAAAAATCTGAAATGTGAACAATCTGAAGAAGATATCAGCGTCATTTTGATCGACGATTTCTCACCCAGTTTGGAACACCGAGAGATTCAGATTTTGTTAAGCTGTAGAGCCTAGACAAAAAAAACTTTTGTTTACTGTTTGCTGATCATTTGATCAGGCTGGAAAGGAATCAAAACAAAGTCCTGAAAAAGCTCTGACCAGCTGCTGCTTGATCGCTCGCCATGCAGTTCGCCACATTTACTCGTGTCACCAACCAGGCTGCAGCCTGAAGAAGGCCTCTGCAAAGTCTGGCTTCCATTAACTGGCTAGCTCGATCCATGGCCTTTTCTCCTACTAGCTGATGCATGTATATGTGAAAGCTAGCTAGCTGCAGCTGGACTACGTGTCCTAGTAGTAGCTACTATCAACTCATCACTCTCTGAATTCGATCGAGAGAAAAAAGGGGACACTCCGGCCAGTCCACTGAATGCTACTTCACCAGCTAAGCCAAAACTCCTTAAATAGTTCCACGCCAAAATTAGAAGTTTGAAGAAAAAAATTTGGGTCGAATTTAGGCCCTGTTTAGTTCACACCAAACTTCCCCCCAACTCCTAACTTTCCATCACATCATATCACATCCAAAACTTTCCTACACACATAAACTCTCAACTTTTTTTCCAAACTACCAACTTTTCCCAAACTTCTCCCCAATTTCAAGAACTAAACATAGCCTTAGTTTCAAACTTTTTCTTCAAATTTCCAACTTTTCTATCACATCAAAACTTTCCTACACACAAACTTCCATCTTTTCCGTCACATCGTTCCAATTTCAACCAAACTTCCAATTTTGACGTGAACTAAACACACCCTTGATGTGATGGAAAAGTTGAAAGTTTGTGTGTGGCCTTGTTTAGTTCCCAACTTTTTTCTTCAAACTTTCAATATTTCCGTCACATCAAACTCCCCCCCACACACACACATAAACTTCCAATTTTTCCGTTACATCAAACTTTTTTCAACAAAACTTCCAAATTTAGCATGGAATTAAACACAACGAAAGTTTGATGTGAGTTTGATGTGACAGAAAAGTTGGAAGTTTAAAGAAAAAAGTTGAGAACTAAGGCCTGGTTTAGTTCCAAACTTTTTCTTCAAACTTCCAACTTTTCTATCACATCAAAACTTTCCTACACATACAAACTTCCAACTTTTCCGTCACATCGTTCCAATTTCAACCAAATTTTCAATTTTGGCGTGAACCAAACACACCCTAAACAAGGCCCAAGTCAAACAACTCCAGGGTCAGATTGTACTAGCAATAGTATAATGCAGCATTCTTTAGACTTAACATTGTAGACTTAACAGGTTGATGTGATGGAAAAAAGTTGGAAGTTTGGATTCAAAGTTTGGATCTAAACACAGCCCTAGTATTCTTCAGAGGCTGTATTTAGATCCAAACTTTGGATCCAAACTTCCAACTTTTTTCATCATATCAACCTGCCATACACACAACTTTTCAGTCACATCATACCAATTTCAACCTAAACTTCTAACTTTGGAAGAAACTAAACACAGTCACATCGTACCAATTTCAACCTAAACTTCCAATTTTGGAAGAAACTAAACACAGCCAGAGTTAACATTGTACCAGTATTCTTCAGAGTTAACATTCTATCAGTATTCTTCAGAGTTAGCAAGAAATGTTCAGAGTTCTTGCATGCATGCAACATGCATGAGTGTACATATGATTATATTGATATAGGGCAGATTAATGCATGAGAGATTAGATTAGATTAGACTAGATTACCTGCCATCCGGCTTCGATGGTGTTGAGGTCATTGCCGAAGGAGCCGGAGATGACCCAGATCTGAGAGAGGCTGAACTCCGCCGCCGTCGCCACCCTCGCCGACCACACGTTCAGGCTCGCCTTCGCCCCGTAGAACTGATCCCCCGTCACGTACCCCACCGCATGCTGCATCATCATTTTCATCAGCTCATCAACAATCTCAGCTAATTAATTACACTCTTAATTAAAGTTCGTTGCCAACTCGCCATCGCCATTGTCGCCATTGTTGCCGCACCAGCAGCTGTGCAGCACAACGTATACTGTACTACTCGATCATTTCATCATGCAGTAACTTATTCAAACAAGTACTAGCAAATTAAACCATGCAATTACTCTACATAATGGTGCATTACTAGTACTAGCAGTACTAATTATAGTAGTAACCACCACTGGTAGTAACTGCTAAACTTGAGAGGAAGCCGGTTTCTTTGTTGTAGTAGGAGCAGTGGTTTGAACTTTGAACTCCAAGTTTTGAACTGTACCAGCAATGGCGCTAATTGCACTGTTTCCCTAACTAATCTTTCGGATTAGTGATCTGGTATTAATGATAGTAGCACAGTACAGCAGCATTAACTAGCCGTGTGTGCATGCATCGATCTGCTTCCTCTCTGAATTTTCTTCAGTTTTTTCCTACTCGTGTGGTTTATATGAGTTTTCTTTTCCTGACGCGTTTTGCAATACCAATAATGATGAATTGATGATGCAGAATGATATACATGGAGGGCGAGCTTGCCGACGGCGAGCTCGCCGGTGACCGGCGAGTTGGTTGACTGACTGACCTCGTGGCCGTCGCTGGTGGAGTCGCGGCGGACGACGCCGGCGGCGCGTGGCTGCTTCATCCCGAACCGGACGGCGGAGCTAGACCTGAGCACGTCGCGCCTCCTCGTCCGCCGCACCGGGACCGTCTTCTCCGGGCACGACTCGCCGCCGTCCGTCCACGCCTGCGGGAACACGGCCTCCTCCTCCGCCTCCGCCGCCGCGGCGCCGCCGACCTTGGGCCTCTCCTCCGGCTCAGCCTGCACACACACGCGCACAAACACGATCAAGAACCAGGCGCCGACGGAGACAGAGACAGAAACGATCACTGCAAAATCAAAACCAAAAGGAAAAATCAAGAACAACGGATTGATCGGTCACCTCGGGCTTCTGTCCTCGCAGCTTCGGGTGCTCGAACGCCGGCTGCAGGTGCGCCGGCACGCAGTCGATGACATCGCCGTCGGGGCTCTGCATGCACACAAACACCACAGCACCATCAGCTCAGCTACTCCTAGCAAGCTAGCTAGTGAGAGAAGCAAAGAAGAAGAAGAAGAAGAAGAAGAAGAAGAAGAAATTGCCTGGATCGTCTTGACAGAAGCCTTCTTCAACCTGGCAACCTGCGCCATGATCTTCCTGTACCTGCGCAGCTCATCCTTGCCATGGAACGGCACCGTCGTCGTCGTGCCATTGCCCCTGTGCTTCGCGGATGCCAAGCAAGAAGAAGAAGCCAGCAGCAGCAACGCAACGACAATGGTTTGTCGCAACCGATTGCTGCTGCATCCCGAAGAAGCCATCGTCAACGACGTGGACCTATCTCTCTCGTATCTTTCTTGGATTTCTCTGAACTTTGTAGGCTTGGAGTTGGAGGAGGAAGAGGAGATCAGCTCAGTTTGGATGCTTGCGGGTTGGAGTTGGAGTGGGTTGTCCTCTTCCTCCCTTGAACTCCTTGACTTGAGGCTATAAATATAGTGGAGATAGCAATGCAAAGCTCTCTGCCTCCACATGGTCAAGGACAAAGTAGTTCGATTTAGACTAGACTCTCAACCACACCAAAATAAATACAGCAATACCGTGTATATATTTACGGACATGTTCGACCTATACTAAACCATACCGGCATAAATATGGCAGCACAGTGTATATACGAACATGTCCGATACCATACCGGCATAAATATAGTGATCACAGTGTGTACAAGGGTTGTTGATTTGTTACCTTACAAAATACTGTTATTATTGTATAAATATTTTGCGATGATAAAGGTTTGATTCGGTTATACAGTGTTACTGAAATTCACACATAGTAGAAACTTTAGGCCATGTACATCTATTCTAGAGGCCGGGTTTTTAATATATTATTTATAAAAAAGATTGATATAGTAGAAACTTTACCGAAATGTGGTGATAATTTAGTAAGGCGTCCGAAATTTCTCCCCATTTTGGTTTGCCTGGCTGACAGACGAAAATGCTGGATTGAATCGACGAATTCCAGCTCGGAATTCGGCAGTTGAGCTCACTTTGCTGCAGCTGCTGTTGCTGCCGAGGCAGCACGGTAGAATGAGGACCATCACCAGTTCACGCCATGCCTTTTGCAAAACACATCATCAGCTATCTCAGTTTTTATATATATCATCAGCTCCTGTCTCCCTCCCCACATTCCCTTCTCCCCATGAACCAAAGAAAAAGGTAGCCATGCCATCACCAGCAGCTGGACTGCAACACCAACATGCATCAGCATGCAGCTCAGCTGGTGTTAGTGGGGCTCTCAGTTAACTTTGCTTTGCTTTGCTCCATCATCCCAGTGCACTAGAGAAATAAATAAACAAAGCAACCAACCTCATGAGAGAGAGAATGAGAAAGAGAGGGAATCATAGTGTGGGTCTCTGTGTACCTGAGGTGAGTGTGCATTGCACCGAGGAGAGAAGATCGATCATGAGGAGACTAGTAGCATTTCTTGATTCTTTTGCTTTGCAAAGCTTTGCTTTTCTTCAGGCAAAGACAGGCAGAGAGAGGGTGCTCACCATGTGCCAGGGAGAGATAGAGGGGGGGCTAAGCAATTCAGGGCCCCTTTGAATCGTAGGATTGAAAGAACAGAGGAATAGGAAAAATATAGGATTCTGATAAGAATGCAAGTATAAAACAGAGGATTGCAAAACACAGGAAAAACACAGGAATGGCCGTTTGATTGGACCACAGGAAAAACGCAGGATTCAGATGAAAGAGATAGACTCAAGGGAAGTTTTCCAAGAAGTTGGAGTGGATGTTAAATTTCCTACGTTTTTCCTCTAGAATCGTAGGAAAAGGAAAGTTTCCTACGTTTTTCCTTTTCTCATTCCTACAAATCAGGTATGAATATTGTAGGATTTCAATTCCTTTGTTTTTCCTCCATTTATCCTCCAATTCAAATGGGGCCTCAGCATGCACTTGAGCAGTGGTGGTGGTGTTCAGCTGGTACAATCATGAGCTTCACCCTCATTGACATGAGGGAAAAATGGCTTCCTTGTAGCCTTCTCCTTGGAGCAACTCCTCTCACCAACTGTTTCAGCTTAGCACACTGTAGAACATCAGTACATTTCCTATCTGCATCTTTGGGCCTCCCCTTTTTCTTCTAGGAATTCTTCTTTGGCAGATGTGGGGGAAGCTCTGAGATCACATATGAACACAGATTTCACCTTTGCCCTTTGTTGCTGCTCATGCTTTGCTTTACCTGATCAGATTAAAGAGACTGATTCCTTTCTTTTCAGTTAAATGACTCAGACTAATTGTCATTACACAAGAGGAAAGAGTAATTCATGTGGACAAGTGACATCCATTTGGACTGTGTTTACCATTGATTTGGAAAATAATTAGTTACTGAACATCTAACTAGAGCCCATTTGCAGTTTACTGAGTTGGCATGCACTGCACTGCTGGCCACCAGAAGCTAGTGAGGCTCCCATTGCTTGCACATGCTGGGCAAAGAACTCTTTGGGGCATCCCTAGTCTCTCTTTTGCTCCCTTTTCTTAAGAAAAAGAAAACCATGTCATTATGTCATGGAATTGCAATGCAACCTCCAGAACACAAATTAATTCATATCTTCCTTGGTTGTTGGTTGACTCTCCTGTTCCAGTACCACAATGATCATTACTACATGTCCCATAACAAAATAGTAAGTGGTAGTAGTACCATCAGTACCATGGGCAACATATTATGGGGCTGAATGGATTTCACTGCAAGAGAAAGACAGGTATGAATGAAGTAGGTCCATGCATGCATCGGAGAGTAGAGCACCTTAAATAGTCAAGTATGCCTTAATTTCTTGAGTACTACTCTCTCTCCCCACACTCTGTTTGCCACCAAGCATCTTAATCCTTTGGCATCTCTCTTGCACCTAACAAGGCTACACAACCACTGCTCAGGCAGTCAGGCTGCAATGCATTGTTCATCAAAAGGGTTAGGTCCACATGAGTGATGAGGCCACTGTCTGTTGCTGCCTTTTGCACACAGAGAGAGTTGTGGGGGAAAGAGTAAAATAGTACCCCCTCTGTCTCGAAATATAAACATTTCTGTGAGTTTTAGCAGAAATGAATACTAAGGTGATAAACAGTTGTGATCGGATGAGATGAGGAAGTACGTGAAGAAATTAAATAAGAGATGATTGTGGTTGGTTGAGACAAGGAAGTAGTTAGATAAAATTGCTAAGTTGCTTTCTTTTGAGACAAATTTTGACCGCTGAAAGTTGCTATATTTTGAGACGGAAGGAGCATCTCAGTGGGAGGAGCAAATGCTGTTGCTGTTGGCAGTGTGGGAGCTGTGTTGAGTGTGCACCAGTGGATTGATTCTGCACAAGATAAAAATCAGGGAAATCAATGGCTTAGATGTTAGTGCACACCTAGCCTCTATTTGCCATTCTATTCCTTTGTTCTTTAGAATAGGAAGTTTACACTTCTTTTCATGGTCACAATGGCTGGCTGGCTGGCTGGCTGGCTGGCAACTATTCCTTCATGGCATGCTCCCCTCCTTTTCTCTGAGGTAGGATGGCATGCTTGTTCCCTTGCCTAACATCTTTCATGCAGAGCACTAACTAGGATTTAACCTGGCCAGACTGTGTGCTTGCTGACCACTGAAATGCTTATATCATTTTGTTCATCTTTATAGCTTCAGCTTTTCCATTGTGTACCACTGAATTATTCATTGTGTACTAGGAATGCCCATAATTACAATTAATACTGTTGGTTAACAAGAGGCTTTGGTATGACCAGAAGGTGTTTGTGCGGATACATAGGCGCATAGCACGGCTTGTCGTAGTACCGTGCGAAGTAGTAGTAATTAACCAGCACATGCAGTCACATACTCAAATCATGATGGGAACTGGAGATATAATAACTCTGGTAAACTGCTGATCTGAATCTAGGTTACTACATAATTGCTTAAAAGAACGAGAAAAAAAGTGCACGCTCACCTCGGCGACTTCCATCTCAGCGAATTGCCGGTCATTGTTATGACAGTAGTACAGTTTGAATTCCTTTTTGAACGAAGGCAGTACAGTTTGAATTCAAACAACGGAAGTTAAGGTAAGATCAATGGTCAGAAGATGAGATTAATGTTGGTGATCCGATGGTCAGAAGAAGAGATTAATGTGGCAACCGATTCAGTAGCAGCAACAGTGTGCCGCATTTGCTTCGACAGCCTGCACAATATTTGATGGAATTGAATGCAGATATCTAATCAGTTCAATAGCTAGAGATCTCCCTCGTCTGAATGCCATCAGCAATCTCATGATCAAGGACCAGTGCTCCAGGCTTTCTTGAAGGCGGACAGTTGTAACAGTTCAGTGAACAAGTGCAGTGCTAGCTGCTTGCAAGGATTCAGGCTTCAGTGTGGAGGCTCTCGAGATGAACAGCAAAGAACACTCACCCTCATAAATCCTCTCATAATAGTGTCCTAACAATCGCCACTTGGTGCAGATGAAGTAGAGTAGTTGAGAAGAAACGTAGCACCTCGATCTGATTGGCATGGACCATGAACACAACTGGAGCAATGAGCAGTCACCAGTGTTGCCAATGGACAGTGGCACAGTGTTCTTGAGCCTGTCGGTGGCAGCCTGTTTGTTTCTTGCCTCTGAATTCAGAAGTGAAGATCACACCGTGATTCCTTCAGAAGATTGCCGTGTATAATTCTGTTTTCGTTTTCACCATGGAAGATCACTGTAATTCCTTTCCATTTTCACCATCGTACAATCCACACGACAGCAAGGACGGTGATGCCAACGACAGCACAAACCGGAGAAGGACCTGAAAGTCTGAAAACTATCACTGTCAGTTTGAACAATCCATAACCGTTTCTGTTCATCCTTTTTTCCTCTTCTTTTCCTCGCAGTGGCACCACAACATTACAATTCTTGCACTGCAGCCAACCGTGCGAGGAAAATGCGACACCCAAAAACAACATACCAGGCACGTAGCAAACAGGCCAAGCTGCTTCAGAATTACCCAGACAGCTAGGAGCAGCCAGGCAATCAGTCATGCTGCAGTAGCATCACACTGTGCCAGGAGGATTTCACCAAAGAATGCAATGATCCTACGTGGCACACTCAATGGCTTCGGTGGCAGACACGCTGGCGCCAGTCCACGCGCCATGTCAGCAAGGAGCCTGATGACAATGGCGCGTTGTCAATTACAAGGAGAGTCGAGGCGGACATCCTCTCGATAGATTAGAATCCTCTACGGACTGTATCGAGGGATGATTGATCGCGACCGTGTGCACACACACATTAGTACTATAGAAGGTACAGTGTAATGAGGGGACAACATCATCAGTGGCGGTGGCAGTCAGATGGGCTCGATCATTGCAGCTGCTCGTCCGGGCCGGAATATCTCGCTGCTGCAAAAGTGACAGATCATAAATCGACGATTTGCTTTCAGAAAGCTCAGTGCAAACAATGGGGGAAGAAGATCTTGATGTATCGTTGGGCATGGCCTACCTACCCAGATGATCCCACATTTCTGAAACTATGAACAATTCTGCGTGACAATGACAGAGCTCCTGCAGATCTGAAACCACACTAGAGCAAAAAAACAAAAAAAAAAGTTGAGGTTTCTCACTGTAATCTAACAGCAGGAGCAGGGAATCGCGGCTTATCAAAGCAAGGAGGAGAGGAGAAGAGATTGAGCCAAGAACCTCTCCAACTGATACAGTGATGATACCTGACACTGTCAGGAAAGGAAAGCCACGCTTGTCGTCTTCGTCGAGAGGATCACCGTGAGCAAGAGGAGGTCGATCTCCGCCGCGGCGCTCGTCGGAGATCCGGCGGCCACGCCGGCGGCGGCGCGAGCGCGACCCTGACGCGCCCAGGCAGCAGCAAACTAGGTCCAACCTAGTGAAGCAGAAGCAACAATCCCTCTCATGGGCCGACCAAGCCCATATCTACACATGGGCCAGGTAGGCCGAAAGGACCAAAGCAAACCAATGATGGGCTTACAAAGCCCAAATTAGTTATGGGCTATTGAAGGCCAAAATTTGTTATGGGCTTTTTAAGTCTTAAATTTAAGGGTTATTAGATGGATCCATGTCACTACAAATATGCCATCTTAGATAAATACTATTACTATTCACGATATCGGAATTTAGGGAAATTATAACCATGCCACTCTGTCGTGTTTTCCGTCAAAAATATCAGTTAATCTCAATTGCACATGGGAAACAAAGAAGAGGGAGGATGAAACTGACATGTGGGGTCTCATGTCTAGGGGTCTGACGGAAAACGCGTCGGAGTGGCACGGTTTCAACTTCCCCAAACTCCAGTGACATATATCCAATATCATGAATAGTAGTGCATCTTAGAGTTTAGTTCACATCAAAATTGGAAGTTTGGTTGAAATTGAAACGATGTGACGGAAAAGTTGAAAGTTTGTGTGTGTAGGAAAGTTTTGATGTGATAGAAAAGTTGGAAGTTTGAAGAAAAAGTTTGGAACTAAACTCGGCCTAAAATGATACTCCCTCCGTTTCGCAAAATAAGACTCATTGCCCACATTCATATATATGTTAATGAATTTAGACATAATATATATCTAGATTCATTAGCATCTATGTGAATATGAGCAATGCTAGAAAATCTTGCATTATGAAACGGAGAAAGTACATATTCGTAGTGTTATGGTTCCAGTTAACCCTAAATTTAATGGGCCAACCGGGGCCCAAATCTTGAGGAAAACGGAACGGAGTCGGCAGCGAGGAGCAGCAAGCAAACCAACGGCACTCCTAAAGGCGAGAGCTCTTCTCCGTTTCCTCCGTTTTCTCCGTTCGTCTTCCTCCGCTTCCGAAGAGACAAGGTGAGAGAGGAGGGTTTAAGCCGAGAGAGAGAGGACGCGAAGGCGACGATGGCGTGGAGGGGGCTAGCGAGGGATGCGGCGGCGGCGTATCTCCGGCGGGGCGGCGCTCCCGCGCACGTCTTCTCCGCGGCCTCCCGCGCTCCGGGCCCCGTTGTCGCCAACCCTGGCGGTGAGCTCCGCGCGTTCGGGTTGTTCCGGTCGCCGATGGCCAGGCGCGCCGATGCCTTCGAGGTCCCTTCGGCTGCTGGGAGGCACGGGGCGCAGGGCGTGTGGTCGCGCAGCTCGGTTCCGGCGTTGGTTCGGGCTGGTGCCCCCAACTCCAGAGCTCTCCCTTTCCTCGTGGGGAGAGTGGTTCGTGGATTCTATCCGCAGCTGTCAGGTATATAGTATTAGGGTTGTGCGCTGTGTTTATCATCGTAGAGGAGAGCAATTTGATTCTGATTCACTCCTAATTTTGTTGAGTATAATTTATTGCACTAGTTTAGTGATGATTTTACTCACTTTGTGGCAAATACTATGTCCGGTGCAGAAATTATGTCAGGTAGCGATGTTTTATCCTACAATGCAAATTATATAGCTCAATTTTACTGATGTTTAAGTATCTTGTTTAGGTCACAAGCTGGTAAAGGGACTTGGGATGGGCTCCACCCTTGCTGCGACGTTTTGTTCACAGAAGGTTGCATATGCTGAAGAAGGTAATTTTCTGCCTCCAAACACAAGAGACATAAAAAAGTTTATGGTTTCGCCCTAGTGTCCCCCAGGAAGAACCAGAGAAAACATTGAAAAGTATGACAATAGTCTGTACATGTTAATGAAACTGGGCAATAGCATTTCTTTTTACCGAGAAGATCGGAATTGGGCATCTATTGGGGAGTGGGACTGGATTTTTTGTTCTTAATGTTTAGTGGACATGGGGTCCTATAATCCTATTTCACTATGTTGTGATGGACTTACTCCTAGCCACTGATAGCTGTTTTCCTTTTCTTCTTGGTGTAACATCAAGCAAAATTCAAGTGGTAATGTTATTTCTTTCTTTCTTTTTCAGTTGCTGAACAGCCATCAGAAGGCCTCATCGGCCCCTCAACAAAACATCAGATTAGCAAATTATGGACTATAATCAGGAAATATCAGCTGCCTGTTGGTTTGATTGCTTTGATCGCACTTGGTTGGCAGAATCCATTGGGTCTTTTCATCAACGTTTTGCTTATTCTCTACAGTTCTAGGCCTAGCCCATATTCAATATACTTGTTTCTTCAGGAGGTTAGTCAAATGATTATGTTATTTCACACGGAAACACATTCATAATTATGAATTTATGGTGCCACCATTTAAATATTGTAGCACCTTGTCAGATTTAGTTATGCTGCTCAACATATTAACTCCCAATGGGGTATTGTATTTTCCTGGTGAACTAATATAGCTTTAAAATGTTTCAGGTTCGTCATGGAGAGATGCATCAAAATCGTGCATTTTGGAAGGAGGAGGTGAAGTTTATGCTTGTCTTTTATGCATATTATTGTTAATTTGTATCTCACTCGCATTACCTTTTTGCCCTGTTTACATAGTCATGATTCGTGAAGTCCCATATGAGCTTTAAAGCGATAGTGAGATGACAAAATTTAGATACATTCTTTCCCAGCCATATACTCTTTATATATGGAATACACAAAAATAGAAATCCCATCAATGATATTTCTACCTTAGATAAAGGTAGTTTGGGTTTTCATGCTTATAAGGTTTAGGTTTCACCGTTTGAGCCCCACCTCTGTAAGAATGTCTTTGAGGTGGTTAGCCTCATCAACCTTCCTCTACACATGATGGAGAATCACATTGCTCTTTTTTTCTGGCATTTGTTTTCTTCTATCCTGTGTAGTTTGAATTTCACTTCTCTTGTACCATTTGCTTCTGGAAAAGATGGTTTTGGGGTTTCCCTTTGAATGTTTTCTTCTCTCCTACCGAGATAGCTTTCCTGTATATTTGGAGTAATGATCTGCAAAAGTTTCCACGTGCTGTTGTGTTGACTTTGCACCAATTTAAACAGTTTTAATAACAAATGTGAACCCAAACTGACTGAAATAACAGAATATAAATGTCATATTCTTCTTGCCTTGGTTTACCTTGAGCATTCTTGCAGCTCGCTTTCATGGTAGAGCAATATGCCTATACTTTATTTAAGTATAAAGGTGCAATTTAAGTCATTACTGAATCCTAGGTAGAATTTCAATATCTTAGATATTAACTCTTTTGTGTATTTGAATTTGAATTTGGATTTACTTATTTGAAAATAGTGGTGATGCTTTACATGATCTGACATATTCACAATGAATCAGCGATTTTCATTTGCCTTTGTTTATTCATGAAGTGCACTCGTTATGTGCTTATTAATTACTGGCTTTTAACCTTGTGCATTTTTATGCAGGCTGTGCTTACAAGGAAAGTTGATACTAAAGATTACAAGCTCTTTTCCATTGGAACAGTTGAATCAGCAGACAGAGAAGTACTGCACGTCATTGGGATTCTGGGCAACTGGTGGATCTATCGTGCATCGTATGGGAAGTGAGAGGGGTTGGTATAGCATCTCATATTCTGAGGAGCGTTTAACCAACTAGTGTGCAAACATCAGAATGTTGACAGTAGATAACTAGAATATAGGCAGTTTCATTAGGCAACTATGGCACTAGATATTTTAAAAGCGATGGTGTTCAATGTAATTCTAAAATACCATCAGGGTTGAAAACAGGTCATTCTCAAGGGGGTTGTACTGGAAGGAGTTTCCACATCTGACTTTGTAAGTTCATTTGAAATATCTTATTCTCTTGGTCCAAGAAGACTGTTTCTTGGATGCATGAGTTAAGCTGAGAGTGAAGAACCGTAGGTCGTTGCTCTTGAAAAAATGAATTAAGCTGAGAATGCTGCAGTTCATTGCCGATGGTGAACTGAAACTACAATCATGTTGCATTTCAGTTCTCTGCAGTTGCTTCTCTAATTTCACTGGCTCTTCTATATCATGTTGTTATGATGGACAGGGTGTGCTTCCATCACCCAGCTTATTTTGTTTGTCCTGTTTGTGCATAATTCTAACATGCTGCCAATTTATGCCAAGAATATTAGAGTAACCAAATATTGAATTCATTATATTTCTCTTTTCATATGTACAGGAAGCATTTCATTCTGTCTTGTCTCTGGTTACATGGCTTTTGAGATGCTCCTCCTTTTGGTCAAAATCAGTATCCATCACGAATGTTCTCTTGCCCATTAACTATGGGCTGTGGCATGCAGAAGATGGTTCTTTTTCTTCAGTATCCTGAGGGACTAGAATCTGCGACTACAGTGTCAGTGGATGAAAGAATGGAATAAATTTCTTTTTTACTCTTCACACCTTTTGCTTGGCATCATGATCTTGATCTCGTGTGTGCTTTGGTACTCATCAGCTTCATGGCAGCTTCAGGTTTCCTGGGAGATAAAGTGATGCTACGGAATCAGGTGAAGCAACAGGGAAGGATGGTCATTGGTTCAACCGTGGGAATGGAATTTTAGAAAAAAATAAGGTAAGAGTAAGTAAGACAAGTTCAATCTTGTCTCCTCATTTCCTTTAGTTTTTTTAAGGGTTTCTTTTGTTATTTTCAGGTCCAAGGTATTTCGGTATCTATTTAAGGACCTGACCAATAGCTCCATACCATAGCTGAAACTTCATTGCTGTTCCTAATACTGGTTAGGGAACAGAACCTGTTTGTGATGGGTGGGAGGAAGATTGGAGTTGCTGTGGACTTCTCGTCATGCAGCAAAGCAGCTCTGCGATGGGCATCAACCAATCTTACCAGGAGCGGTGATCAGCTTGTACTTATCCATGTCAATAGTTCCTATCATAATGAGCAAGGTGCAGTTCAACTGTGGGAACAGAGTGGTTCACGTAAGTCTCTGTTTCGTCTTGAAATCTATAAAAGCATTGAGTTGTGTTATGCGCATGTTTCATAGTTATAACACTAGTCTTGGTTGGTTTGGAATCGATGCAACTATGAAGGATCATCTTTCCAACCAGTTTAACTTGCTTCTGAAATTGTTCTTCCGTCTGTATTTCAGCGCTCATCCCTCTGGCAGAGTTCTCAGATCCCCATGTCGCCAAGACATATGCTGTGTCACCCGACAAGGAAACACTAGAAATCCTGAATCAAATGTCGAATCAGAGAGGGGTACGGGTTATCCTTCTTTTGTTTTTACACCTTCCTATTACCCTTGAAAGCCAGGAAATAGTAGTTGTATTGAGATTGCTCACTGTGCCCTTGATACTAATTGGCTGCACAGGTTGAAGTCCTTGCAAAGATACTCTACGGTGACCCTGCAAAGAAGCTGTATGAAGCAGTTGACCTGGTTCCCCTCAACTGCTTGGTGGTTGGAAACAGAGGGCTAAGCACACTCAAGAGGTATTTAAACACCTCTTTGTTTTATCTGATCACAAAACACAAAACCTTCATACGCTTGAGAATCGTGGGACGGTGCATGATACCAAGTCAACTTAGCCGTGGTACCTTCCTGATTTGAGCGTTGAATGGTGTATGTTGCCTCTGTTCCTTGATTAGATCATTCTGCCCTTGCATCTGAGGTTGTTCAAGGTTGCTCCTGAAATTAAACCGCGTATCTAGACCTCTTTCTTTCGCCGAAGAGAAGCGCATGATGTTGGCATGTTGGTAAAAAATCAAGTTGATCCTTTTACATGACCGTTAATTGTTTTTTTTTTCTTGATGCAGGGCTCTGATGGGAAGCGTCAGCTCCTACATCGTGAATAACGCGACCTGCCCAGTTACGGTCGTCAAGGAGAACATATAGCTCCTCAGTAGTTAACTGCTCTGATAGGAAGCAGTAAACTGCAAGAACAGACAGCATCAGTATCTAAGTATCTAACATATACAACAGTATAGCAGATTGAATAAATTGTGCTTGACATGCACTGGCAGTCACTCAGCTCAGCTGCCCTTGCCTCTTTACCTGGAAAGATCTTTCTTGATGTAAACCGTTCAGTATTTATTATGCATGTAATAATATAAGCGGGAACCATACGTGTGTTTCAGTATATCGTATTCTTGTTGTCAAGGGCTGTATCCTGTATGCTATCCGTTCTCTTTTTAGTTAATGAAATGCTCCACGACATTCACACTACCATCTGGGCAGTTCGCTGTTGGTTAGCACGTCAATATTCTTTTTTGTTGTAAACCTATTTTTTGGTGGAACAAATGCTTCCAAAATTGTTAGATCAATCGCTTTGAACATTTGCACCAGAGAAGTAGAATTGCCATGGGTGTAGAAATTCCACCATTTTCAAAATGCAAACCTAGCCGATTGGTTTTCTACACTAGCGTTCATTTACATTTTACAGTAAATTTTACTTTGGGTCATCTTTTGTTACCAAAATATCGGTAATATATTTTCATTCGATAATAAAAGGTGATATTTTACTTTACTAAACTAATTTGTCAAATATATTTTCATTTAATCACTATCCGTCCCATAATAAGTTTATTTTTAGCATATCCCTTTTATCCCAAAATAAATTTATTTATGAGTAATCATTGTATTGTAGTTTATAAAAGTATGGAATAGATAAATTGAGATTAGATAAACATACGAATAATTGTATTGAGATTTGATATAGTGAGGGTATTGTAACCTTTTAAGTTTTTTTTTATGTATGAAAAGTGTGAAAAACAAACTTATTTTTGGACAGGATGGAGTAGAAGACAGAACCAGAGTAAACTTTTGTTTTTTTTAAAAAAAATTAAAACAGAGTAAGCTGCCCAATACTTCCTCCGTCAAAAAAAATCTAATATTGATGTATCAGTACATTGGTTTTTTTTATGAGAATTGGTTTTTTATGGGACGAAGATAGTATTTTACAAGTGCGGCCGACTGACCGTGTCCTGTAATAAAAAGGAGTAAATTCCCTGTGTACCCCTGAAAACTCACTCAATCCCTTTCATACCCCTAAAATTTACCCGATCCCTTCTGTACCCCTGAAATTTCAATTTGATCCCTTCCATGCCCCTACCGTTACATTTTTCCATCATTTTACTGTTACGTTTGGTTGCAAATGTCTTTTTTTGCCCTTGATGCTTTAGGTTTAAATATAAGCTTCAAAAATAATTGAAAATTTTGTTTGAGTGCACATCGTGTGCATTTTATAAAACTAATGAGACTAAATAATTAGTGCAGAAAATTTTGACATAAATTTTGAAAATAAAATAAATGTAAAAAATTAAAAATTTTATTTGAAATTTTAATAGGACAATGGATTTTTTTATCAGGAGCATTCATAAAAAAAAATGTTGTGAACATTGGTATACCTATCTTTATATGAATGCTCCTCATTTTTATGACCTTTTTTTTAAAAAATAAATACGTATTTTTTTTATTTCATTATCTAAAAATATTTTTTTGGGATAAATAATGCATCGCACAATAAACTCATAACTATAATAGTCTCATGCGAGAAGCTTTTATATTTTTAATAATGTAATTCATGAATTTCTTTATTTATCCAAGGGTAAAATGGTCATTTTTATAGAAAATACACGGTCAACTAACGGTCAACTGACGGGAGGGGTATGCAAGGGATCAAAATCAAATTTTGGGGGTATATAAGGAAGTAAGCAAAATTCAGGGGTATAGAAGGGATTAGGAAAAATTTCAGGGGTATATAAGGGATTTTCTCAATAAAAAGAAAAGGAAAATAAGTGTTGCCCGTGTTCTCAGCTTCCTCCACTAGTCTACCGCCGCTGCCTCCTCCTCGTCTCCTCTCCTCTCACCATCTCACCATCTCACTACCCACACTGTTCCATGGGGGCCTCAAATTGGAGGCGGCGCCGGCGGCGAGGAAGGTATCGAAGTCGAAGCCACCGTCGTCGACAGCCATGTCTAGCGGGCACCACATGCTGTGGCCGGCTCGCCGCCCACCGCCGCCGCCGCCACCGCCACTATCGCCGGCATCAAGGGAGGCGAACCCTTGTTCTGGTGGGCCGGCCCACCAAGCCAGCCCATCAGCGGAGGCAACTGGTGGGCCAGCCTGACATCCTGGGCCCACCGTTCATGTGTCCCGCCTTGTCAGTGACAGCCTCCCCCCCTACTCTTCAAATTCTCCTGGGCTTCGCGCTCTCGGTCTCGGGTGGTAACGACCATAACCAACTCACCCGCTCTCGCAGAGTTGTTTCTTCTCCTCGCTCGAGGCTGCAAGAAAATCAAGAACCCGATCGCCACGTCGAGATCAACCTCTCTCCAGGCCGGCAATGGACGGGCGCGCCGGTTGCTGCGTCCGCTTCATCGGCTGCTGCCTCGCCGCCGACGGTGACGCCGCCCTGAGCCAGAGCGCGGCCGCGCTGCACAGGATGGCGTCGGCGTTCTTGGACGCTCACGGCGAGCCCTTGGTACTCCTCGACCACCGGGTGCTCTGCTCCCATGGCGTCGCCACCGTGGGGCACAGCCAGGCCTTCGCCGCGGCGATGAGGCAGCGCAGAGAGGAGATTCCCCCTGCCCCATTCAGGATTCTGCTGCAGGAAGAATATGTCGGGGTAATCCTTGAAATTTCGTGTTTCTTTACTTAGCACGCGTTCTTGAAATTTACGTGATTCTTGATCTTTATGCACGGATCCCTTTGATTTCTCTGTGATCCTTCGCAGCTCAGCATCGAAACATTCTTTGTTTGCTTGTGCGCTCCCCGTTGATGATTATGGATTAATCTCAGGAATAATTTAGCATGCTATCTGTTCATAATGGTCATCATGTATATATGCGTGGTGATTGATCATAACTTCGTAACCAATTCATTGCATGCTTGCTAGTTGCTACTCTACTCATAAGTCGTTTCTGCAATCTGTAAATGTGCAAGCAACATTCGGCAGTTGACTCCAAGTGTTCGCACTCACCAGCTAAGATTCTTGAATCTTTCTGCACTGGTCCGTTCAAAATTGTGCACAATCCTTTGCAGCACAGCTAATTCGAAACGATTTTGCTTGCATGCTCTTGATTGATGATTAAATCACATGAATAATGTAGCATGTTAATCTGTTTGAAGTAACCATTTTTGCATGGCATCTGATCAAAATTAAATCATTGCGTGCTTGTTACTAATAAGTCGTCTCTGCAAATGTGTTAATGCGTAAGAACAGTGGGCTGAAGTGGCGGCATGCGCCAATGGGAACAAGATTGTGGACAAGAAGTCCTGGAGAGCTTCGGTCAGGAACATGCTCGATGCTGTGTACAGGATGATATGTCAGGTCCTTGCCTCTGCTGTGAGATCTGTTTGGGCTATTGGCACCTATGTAAGTCCACCTCGATCTCTTCTCCTCTGCTGCTTGCATTCTGCTTAGCTGCTGCAAAACACAAAGGTGTTGCTTATTACAACCTCTTCAGTGTTCCTACTACAACTTCTGATTTAATTATGACAGATCTAAAAGTTGAGTCACCATGCTTTTTCTGATGGAGAGGAACAAAGTTAATGCATACCTCATGTATATTTTGCACGTTCTCAGTCTGTGGGGTTGGGGGGTAGCTGTTCATGACGTAAAAATACATCAAGTTTCTGTCTAGATGTTAATGCCAATGTTCATTTGCTTGTACCATTATACTGTTGTTAAGGAAATAAGAGTGCAATTTGATCATTACATTACTTTCCCGATAATGTAGAAGTTTTTCTTCTTCTTTTTTTTGGCACTGTGTAAGCAAGCATTGTACCAAGGTGTTCTCTTTATTCTATATATGCATTCATCAGTATATATGTAACCTGCTGTATCCAAATTTGAGTTATTGAATTATAAAATTTTTCATGCTCAACACCACAGTAGCATTAGACTTGGAAAATAATTTAAGGCTGGACTTTTTAACATGTTCATCATCACAGATTCACTGGTCCTCAGTCACTGGCATGGATGTGAACTCCTTAATTTTGCAAATTGAGTCTATACCTCCCCTCTGGCCCTCGTCATAGTTGCACCATTATGAACTAATATTAATAATAGGAAAATGCTCATTAATTTTTACTTTGCTTTTCTGAGCATTTACTTTTCTCAGTCAGCTGGTGGTCTTCTAAATAACTTTTGCTTTGTTTGGTTCTGAAATTATGTAAGTACCAGTGAGCTGAAATTGAGAGTGATTTACACGGAAAAAGAGCTACACACTGACATGTACTGTAGTGTACCTAGCATGCACTTCAGTAGCTAGTATGTAATGTACCAGTTGATCCATCTTAACATTTCCTTGGGTTAATATAACATGTGTACATATGCAGATGCTTCCTCTATCAGCTGCAGAGTTTTTCAGAAGGAGACTACCCGCATCAGCTGTGCCAGAAAAAATTAGCTGGCGGGGTGTCATTAGCACTTTCAGATTTCAAATCTTCCCTGGTATGTTACTTACTTATTGTCGACTCCCATGAAATGAATGAATATAGTCAATACATATTCTGTGTTTGGCTGTTGACACACATGATGATGCATATACATGCAGATACCTGCGCCATAGTAGCATGCTCAGTCTGTATCGAGGCACAACACAGGCTCGAGTTTGAGCGCCTACACGGGCAAGGCACATTCATCCTCGAATTGCCTGATTCCACCAGGAAGCTGAGAAGATTCTGCCTGGAGAGAAAAGCTTGGTTTAAGGGTAAAGGGGCTCATATCGATAGCCTCCTGTCTCTGATCCAGGAGACTGGTGGAGTGCCCGCAATAAGTACAACGAACACAAGAAGCAGCCTCCTTCTGCCCCTTCACAGCTATGACTACTTCAGCCTCCGGGGGTGCTGGACAAACCTGACACCCCAGCAGGCTGCACAGCTGATCTTCACCGGTGGTCCCTGCATTGGCAGTCTCTGGGTTGATGGATCCTACACCAGCAAGCACCACTACAGCGATGACAACGATGACGATGAGGAGGACATGCTAGTGTACCGTGGCTGTGATCCCAAGAAGAAGATACACCGGGATAAGGAGACAGGCTTACATGCCGTCGTGTGTTACGCGTACCTCTTCATTGGGAAGGAGCTGCACATCCGTGTCCAGGACAATATGCCTATCTGCAGTCCCCACAACTGGATCCTTTTCCAGGCGTTTGACATGTTTTACACCCTACGAGTCATGCCCTTAGATGCTTCAAGACTGTATGATCCCTTGGTATGACACTTACAGAGTAACTGACGATTGGTTTAGCCTATATATGTATAGTGTGGGTTCAAGAATCATCTAATTTGCCATCTAGTTCAACTGCCTTACAAGGTTTTGTCGTTTTTGCAACAGTAGAAGATGACAGTGCCGCCGAAGATTTCACAGAAGATAGGCAAAGACCGAGCATGGCTCCATGCCAACCTTCGTCGGCTACATGAAGCGATGATGATCCAGAAAGGGAAAGAGAAGGTCTGCTGAAGTTAGGAGCTTGCTGGTGAGCCGGTTTTATCTCTCTTGAAGGCTGTGTTCGTTCATTCTGCGCCGCTGCTCTCTTCGTCAGTATTAGCTGACTGATTGATTAGTTGTAATGCTGAATGGCGAGATGGTGTCCCCAGCATTTTGTAGAAAGACCTGATCCATCCTGTTTACGCCTTCAAGTAAACCTGGACGCTAAGCCTTTTGTCCAGAATGCATGACTGTGTGCAGACACACAATGGATCGATTTTCTCCTTTTTGTGTGTGTGTGTCGTTTCAGTCAAATTTTGGGCGTCAGGGCTGTTTGAGATTTGTTATGTGGTTTTGAGGCTTGCCTGTTTTGATTGCTACTTTGAGTTCCACGAAGTGATGAAGTAGTACATATTTATTTTATTGTGTTCTTTTTTTGCCTCTTCTGTCATTTCAACTTTATCTATGGTGATCATCTGACCAAGTACTTCTCTAGTTGTCTGGTCAGTTAATTTTTTTATTCCTGAAATGTGCTTACTTAAGATTTATGATATTTTGTGAATTGTGATGGGGTAGTGCCTATTTCTATGTCATTTTTGGGTATGTCTCGAAGAGATTTCTGTGCAATTGTACTGTACTGTGACTGTAAGTTTGAGCTTTCTTTGTGGGGAGCACAAAGCTTTTGTTAACCATGATTCAAAGTTTTTGTTTAGATGTCTGCAGTTCGAAGAGATCTGGTAAAGGATCCCATTGAATTTGAGTAGCTACTGATCAAATATTGCAAACATAGGAAGGATAACTCTAACAAGTTCTGAAATTTCATTCCCTGCCAACTTCAATCATTTTCCTCCATTGTGTTTAGTTCACAGCTTCTAAATGAGTTGAAAATAGGAGTACCTGCCATGCAACACTCCGAAATGAGTGGGCACTTGGTTCAAATTAAACTTGATGTTTTTTTCCTGAACTTACATGAAAGCTCGCCCTGTGTAATGCATATTCAGGTGGGCACTTCAAACCCCAGTGACTCAAAACAATATGTTGGCTTTTATATTTTGTGGTATAGTTTAGTATTCCCTCCGTCCCAAAATATAACAACTTTTGCCCCTCAGGTTTTGTCCCAAAATATAACAACTTCTCCACCAGCATTCTCTTTCCAACTCTAAAACTCCTTATATTCTGGGACGGTGGGAGTACTATTTTTTACATAGCCAGTAGCCACCACTATCTAATTGATATTTATGTACAGTAATAATAATTTCTTAGTAGCCCTTGTCTGGTGCTGCACAAAGTTCTCATAAAAGTATAGTAGATCTCCATTATAACAAAAAAAAATTGAGGGAATTCTATCATGATAAAAGACGATTGGTGTGCATTCCTGGGAGAAAAACAGGTAGAAGAAGCGAGTTGTTTCTTCAAGATTCGTGCTCGCGACGACATGTCCTCATCATGTTCGTAGACGGATGGACACACTAGTGGTATATATTTTCAGATCAGATCAAATTTGTTTCCTTTTCCGATTCTGTTATGCCAAGCGCAACGCAATCCCCCCATAAACCCCACGCCCGATCCACGGGTTCTCGTCGATCACCAAGAATTTGAATCTCCGGTAGCGATCGATCGACCATTGATGGGATCTGCACTCTCCTCCGCCGCCGCCGCGTTGGACTCGGCCATCACCGCCGCCGCCGCGGTGCCTGGGGAGACGGTCTTCCGCCGTCGCCTCTCGCGCACGGAATCCGACGCCCGCTTACAAGAGTATTCTTTCCGTTTTATATTATATGTCATTTGACCTTTTTTTTAAGTTAACTTCTTTAAATTTAATCAAGTCTATAGAAAAATATAATAATATTTAAAAAAAACATATTATTAAAATATATTCAATAATAAATACAATAAAACTGATTTGATGCTTTAGAAGTTGTTAAATTTTCTCTATAAACTCAGAAGTTTAACTTGAAAAAAAAAATCAAACGACTTATAATATGAAACAGCCTATGCTAATTAACCGTTAAATTATATTTTATGAAACTCTATAATCATAAGTGTTAGTACGTGTCAAAATAGACGTAATTGTTTTTTTTTACAAATAATACCATAATATATGAGATACCAGACAATATTCCTCATAAGTAAGGTTACCAGATTGGTGCTTCGACGTCATTATGACGTTGGAACGGTGTACCGTTTTCTGTTAGGTAGTGTTTGGTTGCAAGGATGAGATGGGATGGCATGAGATGAATCCACTTTTAGGGGTGTTTGGTTGAAAGGCGAGTGGGATGGGATGGCCCTTAGAGAGGAATATTCCTCTCAGATCCGGGACGAAACGGTCCGCCAAAATCGGCCGGACCAATCCATCCCACTTCGATGGAGAGAACGGTGTCAGCTCTCGCAGCCTCCCGCTCGGCTCCGTCGTGGTGCCGCCACAGCCGCCCATCCCTCCTCCGCCTGCTCCCTCCCCCGGTGCCACTCCGTCCTCCTCCGCCTGCTTCCTCCACATCCGCGATCGCCGCCGCCACATCCGCGACCGCCGCCTCCTCGTCCGCGTCCAACCTCTGCCTCCGCGACCGGCCTCGTCCGCGATCGCCTCCGCGACCGATCGCCGCCGCTCGTCCGTGCCTCGCCTCGCCTCCGCGACCCGCCTCCACCTCTCCTCCGCTCGCGCCGATGAGTTCCTCCGTCCCCATTCTCACCACTCGCTGCAAGCTAGCCGCTAGGAACAGACGGTAGTAACGGTCCGTGAAAAACAGTCAATCCCATCTCACCTCAATTTCTTCTACCAAACAAAAATAACTATAACCATTCTATATCACAAACCAAACACACAACTAAAACCATCCCATCCAAAAAAAACTGGTTGGTCCCCAAACCAAACACAACCTTAGAGTGTATTTAGTCCCAAGCCAAAATTGGAAGTTTGACTAAAATTGAAAGTTTTAAAAAAAAGTTTGAAAGTTTATGTGTGTAAAAAAGTTTTGATGTGATGAGAAAGTTGAAAGTTTGAAGAAAAAGTTGAAAACTAATTAATGGATCAATCAATCGACATTGTAGGATGAGGCGAAGAGACGCGAGGGGAAGAGTACCCATCGCCGCCGTGAAGGGCCTCGTCGGCGCCGCCCTCCGCCACTACAACGCCAACAACAAGGCCGGCGCCGGCTTCATCCCGCTCGAGCCTTCCATGGCCGCGTGCAGGGCCTGCTGCTGCGGCCCCAAGGGGTTCACGCGCCTCGTCGGCTTCTGGGCTCGCCGCCGGAGGAGCGGCACGCCGCCGCCGGGGACCTCCTCCTCGGCGGCCGGTCGCTGCCGCCGGAGGAGGAACACTGCGCCGCCGCCGGGGGCGACGCCCGATTGCTGCTGCTTCTACGCCGAGCTGCACTTCGACCGTCTCGGCAGCCTAGTCGTTGATACTTGCATCATCGTCGGTATAAAACTACACCCATCCATCTCATGACCTAATTAATTGTTTTGATTTTTCTTAAGTCCAACTCTGATCAAATTTATTGAAAAATATAGCTACATTTATAATAATAAGTTAATTTCATTATTATAACATTAAATAAATTTTGATAGTATTTTTCTTTGAAAATATATAATCTATAAACTTAGTTAAATATAAAGAATTTTTTAAAAATAAAAACGACTTATAATATAAAACGGATGTATTAATTTATAGTGTATTAACTCACAAGGAAAATTCTTATTTAACGCACTTGACTATATATACTAATTAATTGTTCTTTGTTTGTCATGTTAAATTAGGATCATACTACCCCGCTGTTTCAAATTAATTGTCCTTCTAGTTTTGTCATAAGTCAGCAGGTCGTATCTTGGACCATTAATCTCTAAAAGTTTGTATAGTATAAAATCATCTGATTTACCTGTGTTGTGTTTTGGGTTTGGTTTCCAAACTGGGTAATGAAAAATTTACTTGTAAAAAAAATCATTAGATTTATTGTTTTAGCTCTGCCCCTTCTCGCTGTTAGGAGTTTGTGTTTGTGTTTAGCTGCCGTAGTACAGCTTTCTTTTTCTCCCTTCACTTGGCATAAATCGGTCTGGCTGATTGCTTGTGTAACAAATTTTTTTTTAATATATTGACGTGTAATTTTTTTACACATTCGTGAAAAAATATTTTAGATTCAACGTAAGAAATATTTTCATAATATATTAAAAAGTTTGATTAAGGGTAAAGCTAGAATGCCCAGTAATTTTAGAGTAATTAAAGTTGTATGGTCAGACTTAAATTGGAACTCCATCTTATTACATAATCGATCATGGTTAATTAACTTAAATGTTTTTTTTTCTGGCATTGTTATCAACAGGAAAGCCACCTTCTCGGCAGGAACAATTGACAGACAAGCAACCACGACCCAACAAGAGTGAGTAAAAGTTTTCATACAAATTAAGCACACCTCATGAAAGAATTAATTCAAAATTATAACCTGCTGATTAATTTATCCATTTTAATCTTCCCTCTTCGTGATAAAAAAAATTGACAGAGAAGAAGCAATGGCGTGAAATGGAGGAGATTCGTGAGTTTTGCCCCAGCTACGAAGAGGCTTTACAGTTAAACCCCACTGATGAAGCTGTATCTGAAGAAGAGTTACGCCACTCACACTGTTGCTAGTCGACTGACCGACAGAAGCAAATTTCACATTTACATTTGCTCGCTATCTAGTATCTAACCGTATTCTCTTCGGTTGCTATGTAAGTACATAACATGTGTATAGGAAATCCTCATTTATGATTGTATGCAATTTGAGATTTCTTGTTCTGAATCTGGCCCCCGTCGTAGTTCTCTTCGATTCCTATGAAAATTGTATTTTTATGTGAAATTTCTCTGAATTGTGTTCTTAACATGGACTCGATATGTAGGTGATATTCTGTAATTATCTGGTTATGATGAACACTGCATTTTGTGTTGATTATTTGTGCACAATGAACATAATATGGAGAGGAGTTTTTGGAAATATGAGGCCTTGTTCAGTGGATTGTATAGGCCTCGGCCCAAAATATCGGACGGGCCGGGATTTCGGCCTATCCAAACTAGCCGGAAGGGTCAGCATACCGTCTCATCCTGGCCGTCCATTTACCTGATCGGATGGTGGGCACGGATCTCCAAAGCCCAGCTAGATCTCACCACCAATGGCGCTTCCGTTCTGAGTCACTGACGAGGTGGGCCCTTAGGTGGCGCTTCTTCTCCATGGCCCTGATCGCCGCCAAGTCCGGCGGCGGCGTGCTCGCGCAGCGCGGCGGCGGCGGCGGCAACCTCTTCGGCCTCGCCGCGGCCTCCGCCTTGTCCGCGTCCACGTCCACGGCCGCCGCCACGACGCCTCAGCGCATCTCCCACTACCTCGCGCACCATCCGAGAGCGACATGGGAGGCGCTCTCCGCCGCCTTCCCCGCCGCCGACCACGTCGACGCCGTCCTCCTCTCCCTCGCCAAGCACCTCCACTCCTCCTCCTCGTCCTACTCCCCAGAGCTCGTCGCCAGGAACGCGCTCACCTTCTTCTACTGGGCCGCCTCCTCGTCGTCGTCGTCGACCCCCCACACCCTCCGCGCCTACTGCCTCCTCGTCCACCTCCTCTCCCGCGCCGCCCTCATCCGCGACGCGTCCGTGCTCCTCGAATCGGCCATAGCCAAGCACTCCTCCTCGTCGCCCGCTTCTGCCTTCTTGGACGCCTTCTTCGCGGCCTACGAGGACAGCGGCACGGCCGCGACGACCCGTGGACTCCACCTCCTGGTGCACGCCTACGCGCGCGCGCGCCTCCCGGAGGAGGCGCTCGAGGCCTGCCGCTACCTGGCGCAGCGCGGGGTGGTCCCCTCCCTGCCCGCCTTCAACGCCGTGCTGCACGCGGCCCAGCGCACCGGGCGGTTCGGGGTCGCCTGGGAGGTGTTCGAGCTTATGACGCTGAAGCGGGTGTACGCCAACCAGAGCACCGTTGAGCTTGTCATCGGCGTCCTCAGCCGGGAGGGTGCGCTTGCCAGGATGGCTGCACTCGTAGAGAGGATTCACGGTAAGAAGTGTGCACCAGGCGTGGTGGCACACGTCGCGCTCACGCTGAAAATCTTCGAGGAAGGGAGGACTGAGCAGGGGATCTTGCTGCTCAGGAGGATGCTGCAGAGGAACATGGTGTTTGACAACATTGCCTACTCGCTGATAGTGCATGCCCATTGCCAGGCTGGTGATCTGAAGTCCGCATGCGAGCAACGGGATGACATGGTTCGCCGTGGCTGTCGCCTGAATTCGTTCGTGTATACTTGCCTTATCAGAGTACATTGCCGTGCAGGCGATGTTGATGAAGCCATGCAATTGTTTGAAGAAATGATCTCTATTGTGTTGAAGCCGTATGATGCTACATACAGCCATCTCACTGCTGGGTGTTTCAGACAAGGGAGGATGAAGGAGGGCTCGGAGTACATGGACAAGATGCTCCATCAAGGTTCTGTGCCGGATATTGGCACTTGCAATGATATGCTAGAGGCGCTTTGCGATTCAGGACATGTCAGCAAGGCAAACGAGCTGCTAACGGCACTGATGGACAAGGGGTTTGTTCCCGATCAAAACACATACTTGAGGATGACCAATGGATATGGCAAGGTTGGTGATGCTCAAGGTATTATCAAGATTTATCATGAGATGGAGCACAGGGGGCTTAATATTGGTGTTGATGTTTTTAGCTCCCTCATTAGGGCCCTTTGCAAGTGTGGAGATCTCAAGGAAGCTGAGAAATTCTTGGCTATTCTGGAAAGAAAGCTGTTGGCACCAACTAGTGAAATATATGATCTTTTGATCAGTGGTAACTGTGAGAAGGGTAACACTAAGAAGGCACTTTGGTTTTATGACAGGATGATGACAGGGAACGACAAGCTAGTCCCCTCTGCTGATACTTTTATGATGTTAGTGAGAAGAGTTATCAAACCAAAGTCTACCTGTTCCCCTAATTGCTGATCTCCCAAATAAGATCTAATTGCATGGGGAATTGATGGGAGAAAACACAGGAAATGCTATTATTACCCAACATGATTTGTCTTCCCATCTCTTCTACTCTATGAGAATGCTGTGCTGCAGCTGAGGTAATAAATACCTTTTTTTAGTACTCTTTTGATAGTTAAATTAAAACTTATTCTGCCAAACCTAAAATCTTTAGGCAGCAAACGTTTTGAAGGAAAAATTGCATGGTTCTATGGGTTCTGAACTCTGAAGCATGGACATTTCATAGTGCTTTACCTTGTGCCATGTATAGAAAAAGTATAGATGAATAAGTTTTTAGTCCCCCATAAAATTGGCATGTTTGGAGTATTAGAGACATCAGTTTTTTTTTTCGAGGAGACATACTTCAAAGTATAGTAGAAAACCATGCACCTCTTCGTAAGTTCATATTGCCGAAGTGAGACATTCCATTCATAAGATTGCAGTGGATTATCTCCACAGAAAAGTACAGTTATTTACGCATTAAATAAAAATACTATCTGTATCCTGTACCTTCATCTAAATTCTAGTAGGACAATGCTTTAGCATGTCTGTATAGCATTTGGAATTTTGGATTAATCATCTCCTAAGATCATTTCTTCGGCTTGAAACATTGTTACATCTGTTACAGTGCTCATGCCGCCTGGTTCTCCAAGCAAGAGGGCCAAGGAGGGGACGCCGATGTTGGAGCGTTGCCTCCCACATTTCGCCGTTGCTATTGGCAGCGTCAGCTCAGATGTGGTGCAGGCAGCTAGTACTTACTGCTGCACGGTTGAGTCCCCGTCACACAAAGTTTGGCACCATGTCTCTCTTTTAGCACAGTGCTACCAGCCAGCTCCGAGGTAGCAACAGCAACAGCATTTGCAGTGCCAGATTGATGTGCAGGTACCCACTCTTCCACTTTCCCTGCTCCTTAACTGGTGAAGATGTTTCATTAATTCATTAGCACTAAGCTTGTCTAATCCACGATACATGTCTAACACCATATTCTTCCTCCATAGTGCTAGCTTGCATTTCTACATGTCACTTTTGACTGTAAGCATGGCGAGAAACTAAATTGTGTTTTTGTCTGCTCAGCTTTGCTCACGCAGGAGCAAGCAACCAAGAACGGGAGTACCGGAGCATGTGAGCTATGTCGTCGTCGACAGCGGCAGCGTGGCGCCGGGCAAGATCGCCGGCGCCGCCGTCGCCAGCCGGAGCCGATAAATAACACAAGTACGCAGTACTACTACCTCACTAATTTTGCTTCTAGCACGTCGTTTGCTCATTCCATTTCACGGCTGTTATATACGCTTAAAAACTGATCTGCATGCAAATTTACATCTCGTAATCCCTGTCAGGGTTTAGTATGGTTAAGTGTCTCTGTTGAAGGTTACTTGTGTGATGCGACTACTCAAGTGATCTGTCTTTGATCATGTCCCGGAAGAAAACGAGACCGATTTTGACCAGAAACCCATTAAAAGGCTTGCTGAAATTATTTCTCGTTGGCGCTTTCTTGCCGTGTAATTAGTGCCGTGCTGCGGTTTTTGTCCGTAGTTGTAGCAGCGATTGGGGTGGCTCCCCTTGACGCTCTCACAGTTGCTTTCGGCATGCCGAGATGGCTCGTTCGACGACAATATGATTGCATCAGAGGCTGGGGCTTGAGAATCGCTGTGATGCCCTCTTATTTTATCTTTTGTTTATTCTTTTTTCTCTCAGTTTTTTCTCTATAATTCGAGAGCGGAAAAAACCCCCCGAAAAATAGTTTTTTGCAGTTCATGTCTACCTGCGAAATTCCCCTGGTCGTCACTGTACTGTGGAGTATGTAGTTAAACTGAAAAAGGAAGCAAATTTATTGTTAACAGTTTGCACTATTTGGCTATGCAGTAAAAGGTTGGTCACTCTTCTGTCATAACAAATGAGCAAATCTCTTTTTTTAGGAAAGAGATTAGTGTACGTTACCGCATTATTTGTTGAAACCTCAGGGAAGCATTGTCGAAGATGATAAGAGAAGGTATAGCTATGTTAAGATTGAATCAACTCAATTGACAGATGTACTAGCAGAAGAAGTCCATAAAGATTTGACGAACTAATCTGAGCGTCTCAAGGTCAGGAGAATCGACAACTGGAGAACACGCACAAACCTGATCTTACACGAGCAAGTTCTTTTTTATGGGTTATATACATATGGAACAAACAATTGAACACGGCTACAAGTATATGGAAAATGTAGAATACGTATGTATACGAGTATATTGCTAGCCACACACCGCCATACTTATCAAGAACACACCCAGTAAGAAGAATCAAGTCTTGAGACTTCGAGAGCAGAGAATGAGACATGTTAACACACACACACACACACACACACACACACACACACACACAAGAAGAAGAGCCAAAATCTGATCATACATACAGTCGCCACCATCATCAACAACAATCTCATCAGCAGCCTGCAAAACTCTCTGAATTCGATTTGAGAAGAAACGCTGCGTCATCGCAAATTGTGCAGCGGATTGGAGCCCGTCGGCGCCAGCCTCTTGTCGGCCTCAAATCCGCCGCCGCCGTGCGGCCGGAACCTCCTCGCGTGGAAGGCGACGGCGGCGGCGGCGAGACCGCCCTCCATCCTCCTCCGGTTCCTCCGATAACTCGACGCAGACGCGCCGCCACCGCCCATGGTGACGCCGTCGCCGGCGCCGGCGGGCTGGTGCTCAGGCCGCAATGACTCCGGCGAGCACGGCGGCGCGACATGGCCGGCGAGCAGCGAGGTCGCCCGCAGCGCGAGCGGGACGAGCGACACCAGCACCAGCATCTTGAGGCGCCTCGCGATCATCGTCTCTCTCCGTGCAGAGCGCGCCGCGCCGCGCCACGCCACGACACGGACGCTGCCGCTGCGTCGCGCGCGCTCGCGAGAGGTAGAGAAGGCGACGAGGCGTCGTCACGCAGCAGAGAAGCGGACGGGCGCGCGAGTGATCCGAGTAGTAGTAGTAGTAGACAGTAGCAGCAGGCAGCGAAACGGATTATGGCTTTGGAAAAAAAAAGGAAGAGATTTGTAGTGAGAGGCGTCCCTCGAGAAACCGTGAACGTGCTGGGGATTAAACACGGGATCTCGGTGTCACCAACCACACGTCCCTTGTCACTGTACTTGTGCGCTTTAGCGAGCGATAATAATTCGGGTCGATTTGACGCGAGAGGCGGACAAGCCGCGCGACGGAAAGGCGCAATGAGTGATCGTTTCGCCGGCCACCCGGTCGCCGCCGTGCGCCGTGGCGAGGCCATATGATGTGCGGCCGCTTGACCGGTCTCGGCCTCTCTCTCTCTCTCTCTCTCGACTGTCACACAACTCCGTATAGCTAGCTAGATCTCGCACAATCACATGACGTGCTCTCTTGGGCTTTGTCATTTCCCACGGACACATCCACGTACGACCCTTGCTGCCATTTCTGCTGCGAATTTCAAACCCACTCTTGTCTGAAAAAGCTCCCAAGATTTGGAATTTTTGGATCGCCAAATGCCGCTCATCCTCTCACGCCGTCATCTGCAAATGCCCCAGGGGATGGATGGAATTAACGTTCTGTGCGTTGTTGCTCGAGCAGTGACACTGTAGAATACAGTTGGAGCAAACAGTTGGTGACGTGACGCTTGCTGCGAGGTGTAGTACAAGACCACTACTAGTAGTAGTAATGGTAGTACTCGTAGGCTGCATCAAGTGGTGGTAGCAAAGGGAGCAAAGATCGATCAGTACCAACTGAGAATCAACCCAAGATCGATCAGTTCCATCGCACTTGACCGATCGAATCCCATGATTCCATCTCAATCTTTATCTCTCACCTTTTTTTTATTTTCCTTCCCTTAGATCTTTTCCGGCAAGAGCTTTTCAGTGTAGCAGCAGCAGTTGTTCCTGTGCAGCAACTACTGTTCCAATAGCAGCAACAAATGCTGACACTTGGGTGACATCTGGTCCTGGAGTTACTATGCAATCGGGTGACAGCGTCAGTACTAGCTTAAGCACCAGTAATACACTCTTAGGCTGTGATTAGTTCAGCGCAAAATTTGGATTTTGGTTGAAATTGGAGATGATGTGACTGAAAAGTTGTGTGTGTATGACAGGTTGATGTGATGGAAAAGGACCGAACTTTGGATCTAGATACAGCCATGCAGCTTGTACAGACTGTTACAGTACAGGATACTGCATCATTAATTATTTTCAAACTAGTCTTGGACAGGAGCTCTGGCAATAATAAGGTAGGAGTATATGCAGGACAATGGTTTGGTACAGTACACCGCTTCAAAGAATTTTTTGACAGGAGCAATTGTAGCAAGGCAGGAGTTGCTCCCACCTTCATTTCCTATATTGCCCCCATTTGGGTTTTCATACCGTTTTGGTAGGATTTACCACTACCCGGTGGTCACGCAGTTACCGTGAAAACCGCGAGGTTTTAAAAAAAACTGAGATGGTTACCATGGTAATCATGCGGGGTTTAGTAAACCCTGTCCCTGATGCATCACCTCACTATTTTTCTATGTATCTTACTACCTAACAAGCAGTTGGTATTCTGGTAATTGGCAAAATGACAAACAAATACATGTGCCAATAGACAGGCAAAACTAATCATGTTATGCATGAAAAATGGAGCAGAGACTCTCCAATAGAAAACTTCTTTTTTTTTCTATATTTGCTCATCAATCTCATCTCTCTTTGCCACCTATAGATGTGCAACAAGGATGGGCTCACCTCACATAATGCTTACTGTATGTACAAATGAATACCACCTCGGCTATAGACAACAATATGGCTCTACTCAATTTGGAAAATTCTCATCCCCCTTAGTTGGGCGGCTCAAGAGCTCTAATCAAATCAAACACATTTGTCGCAAAGAACGAATATCGACACCGATCACCTCGGTCCAGAGAGCTCCATGGCTTCCAAGCCAAGGGAGGATTCGTCTGCCGCAAAATCCATGAATTTTGGGGGTAGAAGCTCTGACGAAACGGATTTCGGTGTGTCGACGTTCTGTGATGCCTCCCATTTCTCCGCGAGACCGTCCCCTTCCAGCATTCTGATCACCTCCGACATTCTGGGACGATGAGATGGGTAGTATTGTGTGCACAGCAAGGCCACCTGAACCATTTCCTCGAGCTCGACCCTGTCATAGTTGCTACCCAGGTCTTTATCCACCATCATGCTCAGCTGCTTTTCCTGATGAAGCTTCTTTACCTGGAACAAAAACTCAAGTTATCAGAAATGCTGCTCATGATAACCGCCTTTAAGAACAAATTATACCCTTTATCAGTCCTTTTAGATCTCAACTGGTTTGAAAAGAATATGCTAAATTATGGTGGATGTCCACACTAGATAAATAGAGATAGATATGCATCTAGTTTCTCAAGAACATTTTTTCAGCTTATCTGTTCTGCTAGGGAAAAGAAGCTCCACTATCTTGCACATCAAATCTTATCAATGCATGTACTCAACAAAAAAAAGGCAAAAAAGATCCTGAGAATGACATACAGACTTGTCAAAAAAAAGCTCTATGACGGACGAAACAAAAGGACATATCACAACAAACTGAGTGGACATATAAAGCATATTTATGGCCCTTGGGAGGCATTGAAGGAGAGATGTATCTGGTACTGTTAATAATGAGATATTACGAGGAACAAGGTATTTGGTGTACCAGAAATCAACATTAGAAGATATTTGTCTTTCAATACCTCCAAGGATGGGGAAAAAATTCAAAAGTAATTTAAGGAAAAAATTTCTCTGTTTCCAAAGAAAAAGTGAGTAAGCATATAGAGAACACAAAAAACATACCCAATCAAGCACTCCTCCTTTCTGATTCGCTAGCCTTCCAAAGTCCAATGCCTTCTGACCAGTGATCAACTCAACCAACAAAACTCCAAACCCAAAAACATCCGTCTTCTCCGATGACTGCCCAGTTGACAAATACTCTGGAGCTATGTGCCCTACTGTCCCACGTACTGCAGTGGTAACATGAGACTCCCTATGATCCAAAAGTTTCGCCAATCCGAAATCTCCCACAATTGCTTCGAAGTATTCATCAAGAAGCACATTGGAGGCTTTTACATCACGGTGAATTATTTTTGGATCACACTGTTCATGCAAATAAAGCAACCCTCGTGCTGTGCCTAGTGCTATCCTCTTTCTCCTTGACCAATCTAGAGCTGGCTTGCCATTTACAAGTTCTGAAAAAGATAGATAATGTTTAGATGCCATGTAGCATAAAACAGAGAAGGTTAATTTACTTGCAAGCTACTCAGATAATGTTCCATTACATCCGCTTTTATTGAATAGTAGTATAGCAATAAAATCAGTAGAACTAGACATGCCAATTGGATGGGCTTAGGATCAGTTCACATTCCATATATGGTACCAGTGCAATGTATTGGATGAACATATAAACACCTAAATCAATCAGAGGAGCAGGGATAGGGTTTTAAGTTAATTAACAAAACGAACTAATACCAGCGTAAGTAGCATACTTAGTGGCAAATTTGCTCGACAGTTATGACAGATGCGCACGAGAATTTTACATCTAAAAAATTATGGTTGAAGTTCATAATCATGTTTCTCCCTTGTGATAAACTCGTCTATCTTTTTCTTCAACTTTTTTTTTAAGGATTTGAGACTTAGGACAAGTTAGCGCCACAAATACATATATGTATACACATAAGATTTACAAGCATGGACTTACCCCGCAACTGAGAAGCAACACTTCCATTTGGCATATAAGGATAAACAAGTAATCTTTCGTTCTCTGTGGTGCAGAATCCAATGAGTCTAAGGAGATTCCGATGAACAGCCAAGCTTATGACTTCAACTTCAGTTTGGAACTGAACCTCCCCACCAACAGCATTATAGTCCTTCAATCTTTTGACAGCAACAATTGCACCATCACGTAGAAAACCTTTGTATACTATTCCATACCCGCCTTCACCTAAAATATTCTTTGAGTTGAAATTATTGGTAGCTGCTCGAAGCTCCTTAAAGGCATAACGCTTAAGATGACCCAAACATACTTCTGGGTCATATTGATCTGCAGATAAGGTATCAAGTATTACTGTACTGGAAACCGAAACAACAAAATATGTAATCTGGAAGAGCATGCGTAGAAACATAGAACATGTTAAAAGATCAGATTAAGCCCATAGGTGCAAAAGAAGACATGTCATGCTCTATCCATGGCAAATCAGCATACCGAAGGTAACGGGGACATCATGGTTCTGAACTGCACCAAAGGTTTTCCTAAAAGTACAAACACGCCTAATATAGGGGAATAAAGCTATCTCTCTTTACAGTTGGGCCCAAGAGTAAATTTAATACTTGTCCACTAAAAAAGCTTGGCCATTTATTTGTGTATGATGTTAAAGTAAAAAAGAAGACAAGCACCCATGCATTAACATGTGTAAAATCCCAGAGGCAACTCCACTAGGAATCTTTCAGCTAGTAAATTCAAGACATATGGCGTCTTTGTACAGAAGAGAATAATCAAGGTTCCCTTCATGACTAAGTAAGAAACTGAACATATTAGGGCATGGCCCAGGTCAAGGACTCATTTAAGTCATGTACTTCATAATCATCTAGTAATGTTGTCTTGGGCAGCTTGCATGATGTTAGGGACACTAGTGTGCAGCTTTATGAAACGAGCTGTTCATACAAATTCAGTTCTGTTGGGAGCATGGAATCTTGTCAGCAAAAACCCATATGATCACAGGTGCCTCTTTGTTATGGTCCACTAATCAACAGAATTTAAAACTTGCTACAGATATCACATAGTACATCACGGAAGATTAATGCAATGCTCAAATTTTGCAGCAGAAAGGGTCCTTCCTTTTTTAGAATATTATACAGTTTCAGTAGAGGTAATCATTCAGCTTGTGCAAAGATCAATAGGTTATTGAACCACTAACATTTCTACAACATGTTCAACCACATGGATGTCCCATGTAAATTTGCTATCAAATTGAACGCTGTGAAAAATACGCCTCAAAACTCAAGTAATGCAGAACATTCAGCCACTGTTGTAGTGAAGACATCAATTACTATCGAAATCTAGATAGAGTTACTACGGGAACAAAAGCGTGCAGAAATGAAAAGAGCATTACCATTTACATCAAAAAAGATCTGCTGATTGCGCCTATGCCGCCACCAAAGAAGCATACTGACTATGATAGTTGCAAATGCTACCGAACCAACAGTGACTCCACAGATAATAGCTATACGGTGGCTTCTTGCGATGCCTTGTTGTGGCTGAGCTGAGGAAGAGGAAACAAATATGAGTTGCACAAATAGATAAAACAATACAAAAGAGCTCAATGATGAACAAAATCTCACTCTTAAGATCATCTGGAGGGTATGAAAGTGGATCCATCGATACAGAAGAGCAATTATCTCCAGACTTGACACCACAGATCATTGGATTTCCCACAATGCTGTCAAATAAGTATAATACCAAAAATGCAAGGATAAGACAGTAGCCTACAGCATGCAAATAGAGCATTAAGTGAGAATTCAACTGTTCAAAGGGGTAGGGGATAAGATGAATTTACTTACTTGAAAGTTCTTGAAGAAATCTTTGGCAATGGACCGCTCAAATTATTGAATGAAAGATCTCTGCAACACAAGACCAATTCAAGGTAACTATTAAGCATACCAACGAATGATAAAGACAAGAATAACAAAATGATCAAATGATTTTTTTTAAAAAAAAAAGGATTAAGAGACATACACTAGAGCAAGGCCATTGATGGCGGCTAATGAATCAGGTAGAACTCCAGATAAGCTGTTGTTGTTCAACTTCCTGTAGCAACAAGAGGAACGGAAAATGACTCAAAATATATTGCAGCAGGCAGTGAGTGAGGACTCAAGAACCAAAGAAAGAAATCGTACAGATAGTTGAGGTTCTTGAGATCGCCAATTGAACTCGGGATACTCCCAGTAATCTGATTGTCTGACATGTCAAGCGTCTGCAGCATCCCCAACCTGCCTATGCTGGCAGGAATAGTGCCAGATATTGCATTGTTCTGTAATAGCCTGTAGAACAAGGAGGTTGAAACACTTGTAATACTTCTTGAAATGCCATAGGCAGCACAAACAAGGCCGGATCAGTCATCAGTGACAGCTTACACAGATTGCAGCCTGGTGAGGTTCCCAATTCCGGGGGATAATTTGCCTGACAAGCTTTGGCTGGGCAGACCTCTGCAAGCAAAGATGATACAACAAGATTAGCAGCCATGGCTGGTGCTCGCCGAAGGCGGCTGCGGAGGAATGAACAAATGGGCGGCTGAACGGACAGCGCGGAGACGTAGCCGTCGGCGGAGCAGGTGACCATCCTCCAGCTGCAGGGATCGACGGAGTTGATGTCCCAGTTGTCAAGCACGTTGTAGGGGTCTTGCAGCTCCGTCTTGATGGCCATCAGCGCCACCACTGCGAAGGAAACAAAGCTCAGCTCTCCACCAAATCTTAGCAACAAACAGCTCAAGCTTGGTAGCCACAGAAACAGCATTTGCGCTTTGTTCAAAGCCAGGAGGATTGTCGCTTTGCATGAGAGAGTCGCTTGCTTTGTGAATCGAGATTGCCCCCCAAAAAGAACCAAATCTTTATTATCAAAATTTCACTGGATCCTCTTTAATCCAAAAAGAACAGACTTCTTCTTTTTGAAATAAAGGCAACAAACAGATTGAACAGACATTATAAAATGAGAGCAGCGGCAGCATCGAAAAGCGTTGGATTTTTCTTGGGATTCTTAGATAGAGAAGGCAAGAAGCGTTACCTTCGTAGTTGATGCCGGCGGGAGAGAGCGTGGCGGTGGACGACGGCAGCAGGATCACGGCGAGCACGGCGGCGAGCGGCGCCGCCCACCACCGCATCCTCATCCCACAGATTCGCCCTCCTCTCTCCTCAACCAAAGAAACCCAACACAATTCCACCCCCACACCAGCAGAGCAGCTGCAGCTGCAGCAACACACAACTCCTCACCAAACCATCTCCCCACCTCACCAACCCAACCCAACCCAATCCAAGAACACAAACGACGACGAGATGACGAAGCGAGATGGTCACAGATACAGAGCAGAGCAAGCAGAGGCAGAGAGAAGTAGAGAGAGAGAGGGAAAGGGAAAGAAACGGCAGGGAGCACCGGCCTGGGCAGCCGCTCCGACCCCTATCAATCGATCCTCCCCTCCGCAACACGCCGCGCCGCTGCAAAACCGCCAAAAGAAAGAAAAGAAAACAACTTTTTTTCGCTCTCCCCCGACACGGATGCGCGTGCCTACGCTGCCATCCGTCCATCACCGCGCGAGCGACCCCATCATCACCATCGTCATCTCTCCAAATTTTTCCTCTTTACCACTCACCAAGATTAGATTTTAGCAGCTTAGGTTAGTTAGCGCATTGTTTGTTTCTTAACACTATTGTTAAGATTTTGTTTTTGTTTTTGCAAAGCTTTTGCTTACGGAAGACGGCAAACGCCAACCATACTGATGACAAGAATGCTGCTCTTCTCGCTCCAAGATTAGATTACCACTAACAACCATGTAATCATCTTGAACACTGTAGTAAAATACAGTAGAGTAGTATTCTGTGAAGATTATAAAAAAACAAATACTAATGTTCAGGATTGGGGCCGGTTTGCGGGTTGTCATTTTGGTGCGAGGAGGGGCGCTAATGGCAAGGCGCATGTTCATCTCGGCGCGGTGAATCTAGCAATATAAAACAGAATGATGGGGAGGATAAAAGATTAGTAAAAAAATTTTAAAAAAGTTTTAATCTTGAGAGGAGAGGAGGATGGATGGGCAAAAGCTTTGCATGCTGGGGATCACTGGCGAGTCACATGCTCACCTTTTATTTTGTCTCGTCCTTTCTTGTCTCGTCGCTACTCCCAGCCTATCCAGCAATCTCTGTCACACTGTCACCCCTCCTTTCTCTCTCTCTCTTCTGGCCCTACAAACGGTATAATTGTAAACGAAAAATAATTTGTGAATAATATATATATATATATATATATATATGTTTTTAACGATCTAAAAGCAAATACTAAAAAATAAATTTCGATAAAAAAAACTCTAAAATTAACTCAAATTTAAGGTTAAAAATTTAAATTTTGTCTGATTAGTATAAGAAAAACGAAAAGATGATGTTGTTCTTCACTCTGCTACTCTACCTGTACTCTATAGCCCATCAGTAGTATAGGAGTAGAATCTTATGCTCATTAACACTCATCCGGTTCTTGTTTATTCCAACATGCTGCTGCCCCTCATTTCAGAGCTCGATTCATGCTGTTTTTGAACCCAGCAACTTCAGAAAAAAAAAACAGTTATACTATCTCTGTCCCATAATATAAGAGATTTTAGAGGGATGTATCTGTCAAGATTCGTAGTGCTAGGAAGTGTCACGTTTCTGCAAAATCCCTTATACTATAGTACGGAGGGAGTATCAATTTCACACGTACACAAAAAGAATTATGGATTCATGGGTGGTATGGTAGTACTGTTCCCTCCGTGTCATCTAGCACTATTCCTATTTAAGTTTTGACCATTCGTTTTAATGAAAACATAATATTTAAATCGATATTATATTATCAAAGTTAATAACATACTTCTTTTAACTTAGTCGATTACATACTCGCCCTATAAAAAAATCTTACTTCCTCCGTTTCACATGTAAGTCATTCTAACATTTCCTAAAATATAAGAGATTCTAGCATCGATGTTATATAACTATCTAGATTTATTAGCATCAATATAAATACGGGAAATGCTAAAATGATTTATATTATGAAACGAAGGGAGTAGTTATGAATCTGGATATATATTTATCCAGATACAAATACATAGTTAGGATTTGCTTTTCTTAGGACGGATGGTGTATTGAACATAATATTCTCATTCATTATAATATAATTATTAAAAAAATAGGAATCAAAATTATAACAATAATAACCATCAAGGGTGATAAATGAGTACTTTTTCGGATTTTTTTAAAAAAACTTTTAGCTGCATCATTGCACGCACTGTTGCTACTGTTACGGAGAGGCTTGCTGAGGTACTCCTGTGTGTGTGGCAGTATGGCGTTTTGAGTGAGCTGGAGATGGGTCTGAAATCTTGACCTGGAAGAGAGGCCCTCCTCAATTATGGCTAATCATCCACCATGATTTCCTCCTACTCCTACTCCACTCTGCAGCAACCGTACAGAAACAATTCGATCTGCAGGGAGTTTTCATTTACTCTGGGCGCGTGTTTGTATCTGAATATCTGATGGATTTTTCGTCCAAGGCTATGGTTAGCATGGGCGTGCACGCATATTAAATTCTTAATTACGACATCAATGTCCTTACCTTGAGGTTATGTCTAAATCATGGTGTAGCATCACGGGGCTAACATGAGATTAGGGCCGGCTTAAAGCGTGATTGGCTATCACTTAGGCACAGCTACAAATTGTAGGGAAGAATTTCAGGTGTTCAAGGCCTCGGCCATGGAAGCAGCCACAAAGTCATTTCTCTTTGTAAGTTAGTAGCAATAGAGTAGGAGAGCATATATCACTCCGTAAAATTCGCCAAACTATATCAATTCCAAAATAATTGTATATCTGTTTTTTTACTAAGTCGAATATACATCTTTATAGAGAACGGTGGTAACATCTACCACGTTAAATAATATTTAATAACAATTTAATAATGCGTATTTGATACCGTACATATTTTTCATACGTAACATCGATCAATATTAGGATGGTTTGACTTAGGAAAAAAATATGGTTATTTTGGAATTGAGGGAGAAAGTTCTATTAAATAGAGAAACCGAAATAGGAATGGAAAATTCCAACAAATTTCTCCCTTTTGTTTAGATCAAACTTGGATTAAGAAGGATTTGTAGAGTAATGATCGCAGTACAATCTATCAACCGGTCCTACCATTTCCACGTGTGTTTGCTTCAGTTGCTCTAGCCAGACTAGAACGACCGTGACACACTATTTCTGTTTGTGGGGACGGGACGGCCTGATTAGCCGGTAGGTAAAGCAGCACTGTTGTCGGTTGGGGCTCACTGGAGGACGGCACTATTCACATACCCTCAGTAGCATGAAATTGTAAAGCAACAGAAAATGATAGAAACTGACACAAAAAAAGGAGAGAAAAAAAACATCTGAATTTGCGCCCCTTCATGTTTCATCAACCTCTCAGCCTCTCTCTAATCTCAAATCAAAAAAATAATGGAAGTTTAATTTTTTTTAATCTAATTTTCTGCACTAGCACTAGTACTTGTACAAGAGGAGCCTGGACTACGAACTGGGTGATCCGGACTCCCAAGAGCATCTTGGTTTGTTTCTTGTTTGTTTGTCGCTTGGGGTTGGAGACGGTGCTCTCAGTTCAGAGCAGTTTATTCTAGGCAACAGTATTGTACGAAGCCGACGGAATGTTGTTACTCTACTCTCACTCACTACCCAGAACAGTGATCTGCTGCTCCTCGGGTGCAGAGGATTCCGGCACATTGTTTACAGGTGGCAAATACATCCAGCCACAACCCAACAACGGTCTACGAGGCACGCCCCAGATCTTAACCCAAACTGGCAATATCTTTTTGTCAATTTGAAATGTTGCATCTGGAACACTCCCTTCATTTGACATGAATTCGTATAAAACTTGTTGCGCTTTGGACCAGGATTTCTGATCTAGGTTCTAAGGTACTCTTCCAAAATATAAGGGATTTTGGTTGGATACAATGTATCATCATGTCCAGATTCATGGTATACATCCCATCCACCCAAAATCCCTCATATTTTGGGACCGGGGAAGTACTTAACTATAGAACATCTCCCTCAACGACGTGGGATAGTGGGAGAGGAAGCAATAGTGGCGGTCCTGGCTCACCAATAATCGGAGGATGGGGCAATTTTTTTTTCTTTCAATGGAATGGAATGGCTACCCATTTGGCTACACATTTCCTGAGCTACTAAACAATGTGTTTTCACAAAAAAAAACTGTCCATAAATAAATTTATTTGAAAATTGATTTAAATATATTTTTAACCTTATAATAGTTAACTCATTCGTCTACACTCTCAAATGGTTATCACAAGGTTATTCAGCACAAAAGAATGTACCCTAAAACGAGATGAGAACAACCAAGTGGAGTGGAGATGGTGATGATATTGGAAGAGAGAAGAGATGCCAGCTACGAAAGGCAAAGTGACAGGTCAGATAATCAGTCATAGCAACAGTGCAATCCACACTTTTAGAAAAAATGGGGGTGCATCTTCTCCAGCCTCCATCGCCTCAAGACAGGAGCAACGACAAGAGGCCAAAGGCTTTGGTTTCGAAGACCGTGGCAGGCAGGCAGGCCTCATCCAAGCTGTGCACCTCTCAACTGTTGGCATGTGAGTCTGCAGTACAAATCTGCTACGATCCCTACCCCTTCTTCTCTTCGCAGAATCGCAGTACAATCTTTTCCTATTTTAAAATGGCGCTTTGTGTAGATTTACAGCAGAGATGGAAATGGATTGGAGATGGACCTCCTCCAGATCCGGCCCATGGGCCATTTCGGGCATCGGCCCATTGGAAGGGCCTAAATGGGCTCTTGGTGCTCAGTTCTTCTCTTTTTGAGTGAACACCTTCCTCATCTAAGATGGCAACCGTGCCAAAAGGAACAGATGACAGAGAACAAAAGCATATACTAGTATGCTACTGCTTGCATTGCATTGTTCATATCTTCTGCTGCAACAAAAGATTTCAGATTCTATCCTGCTACTGTACTGCCATTCAACTTTCTGATCAGTAGGCATAACAAAAGAAGTATCAGATTCTATCCTGCTACTGTAGTAACCGTACTACCCTTCAACTGTCTGATCAGTTAGCATAATCTGATGCATAGACTGGAATATGTTGTTCCCTTATCTTTAAAGAGCTTGGTGATGTTGTTCTATTTAGATTGTTGAGAACTAGGATAGTGCACTGGTATATACATATTAGAAGTGTACCTGGATGAATCTATGTATGGTTCAGGATCTGGTTTAGCTCACTCCCTGCAGCTGCGGGGCTCCAATCTCGTTTCTTCTGATGAACAAAAGCTAGACCAGATTCTTCCATCCTTGGACACGCAGTTTCCAAGACATCCCTACAGAAAGATTGAAATTTAAGACAATTAATATGAAATATAAGGGCTCGATGCTTCTCTCACCCTCTCTTTTCCAACACATTTTCAGTCATATATATCTTATTCTCATAGCAGCTGCAAATTCCATAGATATGGCAAAGGAAGCTCTAATAGCACATCCAAGTGTATAATTGAAAACCAGGTTTACACAAGATGGGAAACAGATTACCGCAATGCTTTGGCGACTGTGGCATTTTGTGGATCCAACTTTAAGGCCCTGCGAAGCACATAAGAAGCACTGGCATAATCCTGTCACAATGCAAGCATTGTCAGGTGAAAATTGCAGGCAGTATAATCAGTAAAGCATCAAGAACTGAATCTTGAAGCTTTTTTTTTTTTTGGCATGAATTGCAATGGATTCTGTCCACTTTCTATGAACATGGATGGTACATGATGGTCACCTGTAGCAAAGAGAAGGCCATTCCTTGACGGTAATAGCCTTTCGCCCAGTCCGGTTGCATCTTGCTGCAGATCTGAGCATCTGAGAGTGCCTCATCGCCTATGCCAAGGTTTAACCAGCAAGCACTCCTGTTTGAATATAACTTTGCGTCGGTGTTGTCGAACTTCATTGCCTATTATCATCAAACATTGTTACTGTTTCTGTAGGTCAGGGGGGGGGGGGGGGTTCAGGAGTCTGAACTCAAAAGGTCAAGCTAAACCAAGGGAGTTGAAAAAGGGTACGAATATACAATATGTGCTCCCCAGTGGCTTTGCTTCAGTTACTCACAAAGCAGTATTTTGCACCTTTTGAACTGAAAAAACATTTGCAACCAAACATGAGCATGAAAAATCGGGAATGAGCAAAAGTTGTTACCATGCTGTATAGCAGTATTGCAGCATCGTAGTCCTCGTTGTTGAAAGAGGAGTTGCCTTGTAGTTTGAGTTCATCCTTCCTTTTACATGATGCATTTCTTGCCTGTTCAGAAAACTGATTAAAGTTCAACAGTGATCGAATAGTCCCAAGACCCAACTGCTATGACAGTGTGTTCAGCACCCAAGAGCTTGCAAAAATGCAAACTGATTCATGTGAAGCTAGTACTACATATCTAGTTAACAGAAATTTCACATACCCATTCCTTGTAAGCAGGATATTTTACATATCTGATGATCCCACCAACACTCCAATCTAGAAGAGTAGGTACTTGGTGGGTCAATGGCAATAGAACCTCAATGACTTCCCGTTCGGCATGGATTGCAGCAATTTCTATTGGTAACCTATCAAGCTGTTAAAGCATAAAAATACATTATATTTTTAAGAAAACATATCAGAAAACAAGATGATGAAACTGTAGGGAACAAACTTTGTGCACATGAGTTGACAAAAAGAACATAAGTATTGAGGGAAACAAGGGGGCTATATATATGCTCACTTCGTCTGGAATGTTTGGATCTGCCCCAGATTCCACCAAGCACTTGATGAATCCAATGGACCCGGTACGACTACATGCTAACAGCAGAGGAGTTGCTCCATTGAATCCAGCACCATTAACGTTAGCACCGGCCTAGTTCATGTGTTCAGCACAGTAGATTCTTTAGAAAGCACAGTAAATTCAGAATGATGCTTAAGGTATAAATGCCAGTAAACAGAATTGCAAGAGTAATGAAGTTACTGGTACAAGGAAGTAAAAAAGCATGGAGCTGGAGAAAAAAAAGAACTAAGATAATTAGCAGAAAATCTACCTGAATGAGCAACTTCATGCATTCCAATGATCCCCCCAAAAGTGAAGAAACCAACGGTGTGAAGACGATATTGGCAATCTTGTTGGGCTGAAAAATCCAAAAGAGATTTCAAACCAAAACTACCTGTTCTAATACGTCGTATTAGTAGTAACCAAACATCAACATTTGTCAGGATTGGAGCAATTAGCATTTTAGGGAACCTAAAATACAGTAAAAAACTGTCAGGATTGGAGCAATTAGCTCCCTAAAATACAGTCAAGAATCAGCATCACCGCGTCCGCGTACATCAGCGCCGTGGTTCAGCAAGACGCTGACGACGGCGGCGTGCCCCCGTGCAGCGGCGACATGCAGCGCCGTGCCGCGGGGGTTCGCCGCGCCCACGTCGGCTCCCCTGAGCAGCAGCAGCTTCGCCAGCTCGCGATCCCCTACAAGAACACGTGGAATTTGCAAGCACACGAGCACAATGAGACGCTTGGTGGTACAATGCATGGCGCACATGAACCGCGACGCGACGCGACGCGGGCGCGGCGTCGCACGTACGCACCGTTGTAGGCGGCCCAGTGGAGCGGGGTGTCGCCGCCGTTGGGGTCCGGCGTGGACGGGTCGGCGCCGCGGTCCAGGAGGTAGGCCGCCGTTGAGGTGTGCCCGAACGTGGCCGCCAGCAGCAGCGGCGTCTCACCTGCGTGCGCCGCGGCGTCGAACACGAAGCACGAAATCAGGCGCTCCGCGAGCATAGACGAGACGTGCGAGGAACGAGCGGCGGCCGCCGGCCGGGAGGGGGGCGCACCTGAGGCGGAGAGCGCGTCGACGGGGAGGCCGAGGCCCTCGAGCAGGAAGCGGCAGACGTGCGTGCGGCCGTTGGCCGCGGCCAGGTGCAGCGCCCCGCGGCCGCACCGCGATCGGACTCCGCCGGCACCCTCGCCGCCGCCAGGCGCCGCCGCGTCCACCTCCGCCGCCATCCCTAAAACGCAGCGCATGATCCAGCAGGTTAGCCAGGAACGCGGCTGTGAGGCACGCACGCAGGGCAGCACGCACGTACTAGCGAGGTGGTGGAGGTCGCCGAGGACGGCGGCGCGGAGGAGCGCGCCGGCGCAGCGGTAGTAGTAACATTGCCGCCGCCTCTCTTCCTCCCGCGCTTCGCCGCCGACGGCGACGCCGACGCCTTGGGTCACAACGAAAAGCACATGAAAAAACACGACGCGTCGCATTCATTTGGCGGGACAAATCACCCAACGGAGAGCGCAATCGTACAACGCGCACCTGGTGCGCCGGCGGCCGGCGCCGGAGGAGGAGGAGTCGCCGCCGACGAGGACGGGCAGAGCACGTTCATCTCCGACGAACTCTGACGAAAGAGGCAGGGGAGAAGGGAGCTTCCAGGAGAAGGAAAAAAATGGCGGTTTCTGGGGAAATGTGCCCGTGCTTGCGTGCAGGGGGTACACACCGAGATCAGACGGCGATGAGACGCGGGCTTTGTTTATCCTAATGTGTGTTATACATACACAACTTTTTAATCACATCATATTTAATTTTAATTAAAATTTAAACTTTGCGCTGAACTTAACACAACCTTAGCTTATCGTGTCATGATGAAAACGTCACGTCACATTTAATGGGAATGAGAAGGCCGAGGCCCACGATTGCAGTAGATGGGCTGAAAACTTTCCGGCCCATCCAAACTAGTAATTTCAGTTTCAGATAAATAAAATTAAAAAGAATTTGCCCCGTTCAGTAATCAGTCCTGGTTCCAGTCCAGATGTACCCGCATGGATTTTTCCTGCAGAATCGTAATCGTCCAATGTTTCAAATAATGAGGTGCAAAATTGATGGGATTGTATAAATCAGGGATGCAATGATCACCTCTTCTTTGTAATGTGCTAATCTATTTCTGCATGCTCATCAGTCATCAGCGCGACACGTGCAAAAAGCAGGATAACAATACAGGTTCTCAATCACAGCAACAATGTACCGACGAATGCCATATATTGGACTGTACTACAAATTTGTCCATTGATGAGAAGGGCAAGACCAAGACACAACAGCTAGATCAATGAAGCTGTTGGTCTTAAAAAATTTTTAGGAAATACCAAGAACAATATGACTCCAGGAATCAAGGATGGGGCAGCAGTTCCATCCATACTAGTTCCATGTAGGAGTACTTTGCATTTACAGATGTAGCCATGTAGAAAGGAGGATATACAACTGAACAAGCACACTCAAAGAAAACGAACGGACGAATCTAGGCGAATTCTGAAGAAGAAAACGTACTTGCTCTCTTTACGCTTCCATTGGTGACATTCTCACCCGATACGAACGAGTACACGACAATGCAATTATGCAAACCGTTCTCTCTGGTCCGACAGCCCATGCCCAAGCCAGCACGGCGCCGAGCCGCCGACTCGCTGACGACGCGCCGTGGGGCGCCGGGCAGATTGGCAGCCGGCATGGCCATGGGCGACATGGCTTGCTTGCTAGGCTGGTGGACACCGAGGCAGCTGTGGCTGACGGGGGTGGATGCACTCTCAGTATCCGTCGACGTCGCCGACTCGCCGTGGGGTCAGGATTGTTCGCGGGGAACCAAGGGGCCGGCGCTGAGCACGCTGGCTTATGGCGCGCCGTGGCTCACCGCCTGGAGAGCGAGACAGGAGGCGGCGGCGGCGTTGTGATGTCGCCGCCGTACGTCGGGGTCAGGCGTGGACGGGCCGGCGGCGCGCTCCAGGAGGTAGGTAGGCCGGCCGCCGCGTCTCGCGGTGTGGCCGAACGTGGCCACCAGGAGCAGCGGCGTCTCACCTGCTTGCGCGCGCGCGGTGTCGACGTCGAGGACGGCAGCGCAGCGGTAGTAGACTAGTAGTGGTACGCTGCCGCCTCTCTTCCTCCCGCGGATCGACGGCGACGCGTCAGGCTCCTGACCTGGAAGACAAAGACGTAAGTACGCGTCAGGCGGGCACGCTCGCATATGCATTTGGCCGGACGAATTAACCAACGGAGAACGTAATGCAATGCACACACCTGGTGCGACGGGAGATGGCGCGGAGGAGGGAGGAGGCGTCGCGCTCGCGCCGACGAGTAGTACGGACAATCCACGTTCATCTCAATGTGCGATCCCCTTGCGGAGAATCCAAATGAAACGGAGGACAACTAATATATTCTTTGGAGCTGTGCCTGTGCAATGCATCGGTGCAGGTGATCTGATTGCTTATCGTGTCCTGACTCATTATGGACACGCCAGGTCACATTGAGGACGTTTAGAAGGGCTCATTTGTGAGGACATACTACTACAATACGGAGTAGTATGTGGTAGAACCGTACAAGCATACTACTGCAACATCCAAACGGAGAACACATCTCTCTTCTGAATTCTGTCGTCACATCTCCACTCCTATACGCTCAACTCAGTTCAATCAGTTGTCATATCTCTTCGCCTCAAGTTTCTGTGCCTTGGCACCGGACCTGTGTCACACATTAAGATAGTATTAATCTACTAGCATTACAGCATTGAGAAGAAGTAATGAAAGACAATCATTAACTGAGAAGAAGTGCATGCCAGTGTTGCAGCTCTATTACGGGAGAGCTTCATGCTGATTACGGATGGTCTGGTAGTGAATTTCAACATCCCTAAGCATCAATGGGTATGGTTCTGCAGCTGTTGCAGCAGAGACTAATTAAGCTCAACAACAATACCACATGCAAGAAATGCCCAAGCTTAGTCCTGCCACTAGTAGGAAAGTAAGTTACCAGCTATCCCCGAGGCTTGTAAAAGAATTTGAATGTAGTGGTCACGCTCAATCCGCATCATTGTCCTTTGAATTACTTCTACAAATAGCACTATACAATAACAGATACATGAGTCTAAAACCATACTACATCAATACCAGGAGGGGATTTTAATCCCTCGAAGAGATTTTCCCTCATGTAATTTTTTTTTCTCTCAAATTGACTTGAAATTTTGTGGAGTAGTGTGTATATATTTTTAAATGATGTTTGAACAAACGAGAGGATTTCCCCTCGAGAGTTTAAAACATTTTCCCTATCAATACCCAATAATAATAGTTGACTGAAAAATAGTAGTACCTCGAGTAATAATTTGTACATTGGGATTCACCATGGATCTAAGAGAGTAAATTTCAAACTCATTCCTCACTTGCAAAATCAGGTAAGAGACCTCGAACTGTGGAGAAAGACATCATAGTTAGTTAGCAGAAAAATAAAATATACTACCGAGTATTTTTATTGGTGAGATATCACCTGGGGCACCTGGGGCTCATGAGTGAGTACAGCTATAAAATCATCAGTTTCAGGGGTTCCTAGTGCATCTTCAAGTGGTATCATGCCTACACCAGTAACTATGTGCTAATCATAAGCTTGAAACCATACATCAGCATCCAAATAGATTCTATTTCCATCTTAAAAATATAGGTACCTTTAAATTTTTTTTACAGAATTAAGAATAGAGGTAAAATTAAATGAGAATAAATGTGATTGGTTTAGATGAGTAAGTGAAGAAATTACATGAAGGATGGTTATTATTAGTTGAGACAAAAAAAAAAGCATATTGAGAAGTAGCTATATTTTAGGACAAACTCTTAAATAATAAACTAAAAAAACAAATACCTCTTGTGGCTGATATGTGACGTGACGCTTCAACATCAGCATCTGGATGCTCAGACAATGGAAAGAAGTAGCCTACAATAGAAACCTCTATTATTTACAGGTTCATTAGATAACTATCAACAATTTATGAAATGTTCTTACCCATAATTGTTACTATGACAAGAAGTACGATCTCCACAACATTGAGGACAAACCCTACTCCAGAAGTGATCTGAATAATAGCATTATTAGTTAGTGTTAATTAAAATTATGCCCTTCACGGTTTTGAAATATACTACTAGTGTTCATATAATCGATATCATACCACCACAATAGGCCCAAAATTGGACCCACGCCACAATGTACGCCCAAGAAATGTATTGAATCCTATTTTGGCTACTGCATTATTGTATGAGCCAAAATGCCAAAAGAAAGATACAAAACTGTACTTTCACAGTTGTTTTGCATTTTGGTATATACAAAAAGAAAGGAAGAAAAAAAATGTATCTTAGGCATACGGTGTGGTATGGATCCAATTTAGGCTTAGTTGTGCTGGCATGGTTCCTAATCATGTGAATAATAATGATATATTTTAAAACTATAAAAGTTATAATGTCATCGATCTAGTTAACCCTTTTATTTAACATAAATCCACTGCTGCTAGCTAGTGTGCTAGAAAGAATAGTTATAGGTTTGTACCAGAGAAGTAGTGTGCTCAGGATGATCATGAAAAGTTATGATGAAAGTCACCAAGTTCGTTATACAACTTAGAATAAGGTCAAATCCAGTAGCAACTTTCTGAGATCTTTTGGGAACACTCCCCTGTAAAGAGAAAAAGAAAAGGGATCGGAGAGAAAAATCATTATTTACTGATGCCAATGCAACGACGTACGACAGAACTTAATACGAAAAGTTAAACAGACCAAAATATCATTCAGCAGAATATAGTGGCAAGACAGCAAACTAATTCCACCAAAACATCTGAATATAATCTTCACAACCTTCGATGGGTTTAAGTCCCAGTGCACAACAATGGATATGGCTGATAAGCATCCTATGAAAAAGGCTCCAAGAATATAACCCTGGAAAAATATAAAACATGAGGAAAATTACATGAAGTGGTTAACAAATAAAAGAATAAAAAGGAAACATACCTCTTTAGTGGCTCTTTTACAAGCACAGATACACATCAAGTAAGTGAATGTCGACATGCAAAGTAATGCATGCATCAGGATAAGAGCAAGGTTAAGATCCTTTTTGCTGGCCATTATTGAATACGTCAACCAAATTATGCTGTTAATTGATCCAGCCAACATGGCGGGGGCACCATACACTTCTATTGTCCTCTCAAAATTTCCTGTGTAGACTTGGTAGAAATATGGTACTATAGATAAAGCCACAGGGACCACCGTGCCAATAGATGATGCGAGCTTGACAATGGTCTGGTAAAAAAAAAAACTAATATAAGGGAACAAAGCAACTAATATAAGAAAACAACTAATATATTCTTTTTCTGAAAATATCCCGATTTTCATTAGCAAAGCAATACACTTTATCCAACCGATAATATAAGGGATTATTGTGCTCTCTTCAAAGAGATTAAGGATGGAAAAAAGAAAAAGAAAAGATGGTTGTAGGTAGGAGCCTAGGAGGGTAGTTAAGAACAAGATAGAAAAATAAATAAATTAGAGTTGATTGATTGAACGACTAGTACATTAACACTATTTGTATTTGAAGATATTGGAAGATTGGAGGGGAGAAGGTATTTATATCCTCCAGAACATAAACAGCGGCTTCTTAACTGGGGTAACAACGAACAAGCCGAAACATTACAGCATTCTACCTGACAACACACCCCAAGTTGTTCACAACTTGTAACAAGTATTGTACCGGTATAATTTCACTCACACATGATCAATGCAGAATTCACAGAAACACAATTATGATTATCTAGACCGACCAACGGTAGCAAATCCAAAACACAATTGATCGGGTGTCCCAAAGACCCATCATAAGTAACAAGGAATTCTGTACTCCGCATGCACGATTTGCTACTTTGACCGAAATGTGTACACCAGATAAAACCGATCTGCTTAACTATCACATCAAGCAAATTAGAACTAGTAATAAATGTAGAAGTAATATAATTGCAAATTAAAATTTACTCCTAGTGTTGTGTCCTGTGTATCCACAAGGGACAACATGCACTTACTCCATCACAGCATCCTATCAGACAACACCCCAATTTGTTCGCAATAACTTGTATTAACAAAGTACCAGTAAAATTTCAATCACATTACTATTGAATATCGATCAATGCAGTATAATTTAACAATAAGCAGGCACACTATTATACTATGTACTTCGTATCTACTATATCGGGCTTTTACTTCATCACAGCATCCTATACCTAAGAACACCCTAATTTGTTCACAACCTGTATTAACAAGTAGCAGTAAAATTTTAGTAAAATTTCAATCACATACTGTTGATCAGTGCAGCATAATTTCACGATAAGCAAGAACACTATTGTAGTTATTTGGAGTATTATACCGACCAACCAGGAAGTCATATGCATACTACAAAGGTGCCTAGGCCGAAATCAACATACTCCGGCGAGCCGCAAGTCGCCGTACTGGCCAGTGGCCACCGCCTGACGCCTCCACACTGCTGCGGTCACCATTCTCCTCTCGGAGGCCGGCTTCCCCAACCCCGCCGTGCCGCGCTACTAGGTCTACCAAATCGCCGAATCGAAGTCGAGGCCCAAATGGCCAAATCCCAACATGGAGAGGGTGAGGTGAGCCGTGAGCGTGCGTACCTTCGGTGGCGACGCCGGTGAAGGACCGGGAGGTGGCGCCGTGGAGATGTGCCGATGAGGTAGCGGAAGCCCGTCGCAGAGCGTAGGCGACCTGCGGCTGCTGCTTGCGTGGGGGAAGTTGTGCAGCGCGGGCGCGGTCGCCATAGGCGTCGGGGAAGGAGCTCCCGGGGGCGGCAGATGCGGGCGCGGCATCGGCGTGGAGGGCGGCGGCGAGAAGCGCCACGGCGAGAAGCGCCATGGCCAGAAGAAGGCCGTGAGCTTGGTGGAGAAGCCGTAGCCCATCGCGCTTGCGTTGCGCCTCCCACCCTGCGATGGCCGTGGCGAAACAATTTAAACTACCATTTGGTGGGGATGGGAAAGGGAGGGGCTTGCAAGTTGCAATGCAAGAAATTAGTACTACTAGTAAGAGAGGGGAAATGAAAAAAAAAAAATCCCGCGACTCCTGGCGGTGCTCGCTGTGAACGGCGTCGCGGCCCGCTGCAAGGCCCACGTACGATGGCCTGCCCGTCGGCGTACGCGTCGTGGTGACCACGCCACGCGCGGTCTTCATCAGCGCCAAGCGGATGGCGGCGGCGCGGCATGTGCGGGAAGGTGCCCGACCGCGTGTTGAACTCGACGCGCCGTGTGGCGGCCGGAAGCCGGCACCAGTGGACCGGGAGGAAGAGAGTCGGCGACACCATTACTAGCGCTGCGCCGCGGCGTTCCTCCGCGCCCGTTCGCGCTGCGGCCTCCTCGGGGCGCTGCACCTTGCCGGCCGCGGCAAACGGCCCCGCACGCACGAGTACACGACTACTGCCGCTTCCTGCTCGAGGGCCTCTGCCTCCCCGTCGAAGGCCGAAGGCGTCGACGCGCGCGGTTCACGCGGACGCGGCGCCGCGCGCCTGCCGGTGAGACCCCGCTGCTCCAGGCGAGTGGCGGCCACTCCCGGCCAGACCGCGACGGCGGGGCTATCTCCTGAAGTGGGGCGCCGCGCCGACCCGTCCACGCCGACGCCGGACGGCCGGACCCCTAAAGCGGCGAGAGCGACACCCCGCTCCATTGGTTCGCCCACAACGATGCGACGCCGCCCGCCGCCTCCTGTCTGTACAGCCCTGCGTCGCGCACTCGCGCTGGCGCGCTGCAGTTCATGGCACCAGCACCACCCCACCCCACCAAGCGTCTCTCATTGTGCTTGTGTGTTTGCAGGGGATCGCGAGCTGGCGAAGCTGCTGCTGCTCAGGGGGGAGCGCACGGCGAACGCCCGTGTCACGCCGCTCTGCGTCGCGCGCTGCAGTTCACGGCCGCAGCTCGCGACGCGACCGCGCGCCATGCATGTACGCTGCACGGGGAGCTCACGCTGACTACGGCGCCAATGGCCCAATACGATGTATACAGCGAGTTTCGGTTTGAAATCTCTTGGATTTAATTTGCAGCCAACAAGATTGCCAATTGTGTCTCACACCGTTGGTTTAGGATCTTTGGAATGCATGAAACTGCTCATTCAATTCAGATAAAATATTTTCAGCTAATTCCTTCAGTTCTTCTTGTCCGCTCCTTTTTACTCTTAATCTGTACCACTACCTTCATTGTTCTTGCAATTTTGTTTGCTGTCATTTAGACCTTAAAACATCGTGCATGATACTGAATTTACTGTGCTTTCTTTCAAAATAATTTACTGCGTTGAACACATCAATTTTACTGTGCTGAACACATGAACTACTCCGACTGGTGCTAATGTCAATGTGCTAAATTTAGTGGTGAACTTCTTTGAACTATTAGGTTGCCTATAATGTTGCCTTCATGTTTGGTGATACTGCTTTGAATGACCTGGTAAACGTTTTTCTTTTAACTCACTGGAGCACCGATCAATCGATCATCACCATGTTCTAATTTGCTTATTTCCAATTTAATCCGTATTGCAGCCTTCCAATTTAAGGAGAATAGGTCATGTTTGGTTCCATGGGCTAATTATTAGCCCCTAACTTTTAGTCCTGAATTAGCCCCTAAGGATCCAAACAGGTAGGTTAATTTAAGGCTAAAGTAAATTAGCCCCCTCAAAACATTAGCCTCTTTAGGGGGTGCTAATGGGGCTAATTTTCTGTGGGGACCATAAAAAAGCAGCCCCATTTCCCCCTCTCTCTCTCTCTCTCCACCTTTTAGCCCTGAATTTAAGAGTGGATTTTAAACTCGAGAGGATGTTTCCTCGTTATTTGCATATGTCACTCAAAAAGTTTTAAATGTCTTTTTTTTAAAAAAATGTATTAACATATGATATATTACAAATATGCAAGTTAAGATTTAACTTTTACAAGTTAAAAAAATATAAAACTACTAGTTAGTATATTTATAATCAAATTTATTTTTTTTGTTGTTGCATGTAAAAGTTATTACCTTGTATATTTGTGGAGTCATCTATCACATATTAATCTATCTTAGTTATTTTTTTTATAATTTTTAAGTGACATGTAAGCAATAGAAACTTAGCTTAATTCATCAATGCGAGATTATGTGATCGAGAGATGTACACAACCAGCACGGTGTCCGGTGGGGGGTTGGGGGGGGGGGGGGGGAGGGGCGCCAATAGATCATCTCATGATTGAAGATTACATCGATGTATATAACCATATATAAATCCGTTATAAACTCCAACATGATATAATTTTTTTTCTCGATGTGTTTCATGCGAAAACTTTTCTACATAAAAGTCGATATAAAAATCAAATAAATCCATTTTTCAAGTTTTTGCGTGTGCACTTATGATCATCATTGATACTCCAGTTCGAATGATTCATTCATCTATCATTCTTGTAGTAATACATGTAATCTCATTATCTAAGAAATATATCCATCTAATCTAATCACGTAAGGCGTACGTGCGCACAAGCCGTACCCAGATGGCGAGCACGTGGGCGATGATGACGAGGTAAACGCAATCCAAGGCAATGGCCACCCAGGTGACGCCAAAGCTGAGGCCAAGGCACGAAAGAAACACGAGGACGGTGGCGATCCCGATCCGCTTCACGCCGACGTCGAGGAGGTCCTTGAGCACGGCGTAGGGCGCGCGCTGCAGGAAGAGGTGCATGTGCATGCTCACCAGCATGAGCAGCGACATGTAGCCGCCCACAGCATGAGAGGCGTCAGCCTCCACAGGTCGCGGCGGACGCAGCTGGAGAAGGTTGTTGTTGGGACGTCCTCACGCGTGCTGCAGAATGAGTAGACTACCCCGCCGAAGCAGATGAAGGGAACGGATGGTGAGTAGACAGCCACAAACCACAACATCCCCTTGGCGGTCATCTCGCCGACCGTCGGCGTCGGTGCAGGCACCGCCGTTCATGGGAGCAGTTTCAAACTCATAGTCCCGGCCGTGAGATTGATCGGTCGATCGATATTCTGGCATGCAGTGGTAGATCTATGATCTATGGCATCATGCAGTGGCACAGATTGTTACGATATACATTCATGATGAGATCTATGATGCAGTTTTGTTTGATCCAACTAATTTTTCCTATCCCGTTGGTTGGGCACTACCTATAAGGGATGCATCGCCTGTGTACACCGCGACGCGCGAGCGCGGCTGGGCCCTGGCCGTACGTGCGCAGCGCTCGGCCCCGCACCGCGTCCCTCGCCGCGCGCCGTGCTGGTCGATCGTGTGCGTCCAGTGCCCGACCACGTCCCGCGCCGACCTCAGCTCCTTGGTCCAGCGCGTAGGTTGCCGGCCAATAGCGTGGGATCGACCTCATAGTAACCCAATAGGGCATTATGCCTCATATATTAACCCTAATACCTCTGGCCTAGGTTGGTGCTCAATGTGCTAATTTAATGGAGAACTTCTTTGAACTATATAGGTTGCCTAAAATATGTTGTTTTCATGATTGGTGATACTGCTTTAATTTGAATGACCTGGTAAACGTAAATGCCTCACGCCAGAGCACTATAACTCACTTGAGCACCGGTCAATTGTTCATCACCATGTTCTGATCTGCATATTTCCAATTTAATCCCTATTTCAGCCTTCCAATTTAAGGATAATAGTTTCTCCAATTTGAAAGTGGATTTTAAACTCTTGAGAAAATATTCCCTCGTTATTTGCATGCCACTCAAATAGTTATGATTTTTTTTTAAAAAAAAAAGGTTTGACAAGATGTATTAACATGTGATCTACAAATATCCAAGTTAAAATTCAGCTTTTATAAGTTAAAAAATATATAAAACTACAGGTGGTTAATGTATATTCATAGTCATTTTTTTCTTCTGCAACATGTAGAAGATAAATTTTACCTTGCATATTTACGGAGTCACCTATCACATATTAATCTATATTGTTAAATTATTTTTAATCTTTATTAACTTTTTGAGTGACATGTAAATAATAAAGAGCATAGCTTAATTCGTCGCTATGCGGGACGTGGTCGACATGCACACGCGGCCAGCATGGGGTGGTGGGGGGTGTGCACCGCGAACAATGTGTACGAGGCGGATCTACGCATTAGAGCAAGTTTAATAGTATAGTCAACCACTGGCTCCAAATCATATATACTCAATTTAATAGTCAATTCATACAATAGTTACATATAAATATATACTGCACTAGTAATATCTGGTCCCACTTGTTATATACACATTGTGTCTTGTAGTACATGATATAGCTGGCTACAAATCTGTAGCCCGCTACTCATAGTCTACTATTGTACCTGCTCTTAGTCAGGGTTGGTTGATCGACCTAGCTATAATTCATGTCGCCCCACACCTCCATGACCTTTCTATCTCATATAGTAGCCACATGCCATTAAAATTGGGTATAACAAGGTGTGAACGTCCAGCTGATTAGTCCGTCTTTTCACAACGCACGCACGCCGTAAGCTATAAATACGATATGTGTTGTGTTGATCAATTGCTCTTATCGAGTGAACATATCCGTTCTTCGCTATATCTATATTTTAAATATATGCATCCGCCAGGGCGCCGATAGACCATCACATGTTGAAGATTACATCGATGCAAGTATATAATCATATATAGGCACGATCGACCATCATTGATACTCCAGTTCGAATGATCCATCTAATTCTTGTAGTAACACACATCTAATCTCATTATCTAAGAAATATATCCATCTAATCTAATCACGGGAACCGTACGTGCGAACAAGCCGCGACCAGATGGCAAGTACGTGGGCGATGAGGACGACGAAAACGCAATCCAAGGCGATGGCCACCCTGGTGACGCCGAGGCTGGCAGCAAGGCACGCGAGGAACGCGAGCGGGATGCCGATCCGTGCCGCGCCGACGTCGAGGAGGTCCGTGAGCACGGCGTCGGGCGCGCGCGGCAGGAAGAGGCGCATGTGCATGCTCACCAGCGCGAGCAGCGACATGTAGGCCGCCCACAGCGTGAGAGTCGTCAGCCTCCACAGGTCGCGGCGGACGCAGCCGGAGAAGGTGGGGTACTGGAGCGCGGTGCACAACGCGTAGGCTGCCCCCGAGGTGGTGAAGATGGGAATAGATGGGAAGTAGACGGCCAGAAACCACAGCACGGCACGGTGTATGCCCGTCCTGGCGGTCGTCTCGCCGACCGTCGGCGTCGGTGCAGGCGCCGCCGTCCACGGGAGCACTTTCAAACTCATAGTTCCGTACGTGAGATCGGTCGATCGATATTAATATGGCAGTGGCGGAGTGTTACGCGCGGTAGATACCATATGTATAGGCATGCTGTTTTATTTGATCCAACTAGCTAATTCTTCCCGTCTGTTGGCATATGACGGTACGATTCAGTTTTAGTCAATGTATCGGAGAAGGATTTTCTACACCTATATGCTATAGCACCCATCATTTACATGCGACTCAAATAATTATAGAAAAAATAGAAAAAATTTAGTAATATCAATAGTGATGATATAAATCTACACACAAACATACAAGACTAAATTTGATTTACAACTAGAGAAACAATAATAATAAAACCAGACAGTAAATAGTACCCGCACAGTGTAGATAAAATTTGTTATTTGAATTTAGACTTGCATGTTTGTATGATGTCTTATATTATCATACTCCATCTTACCAAATTTTATAATTTTTTTATATAAATTTTTAAATTACATGCATAGCACCTAGGTGTAGAAAATACTTTCCTGCTACGTGTTCATATACAAGATTAATATATATTATGCCAGCATGTTGTCTAGCTCACGTGTATAAAGCCCGAAGAGATATTCCAGCCCATATATAGGAGAAACACTGCAACTCTACGACTTCGTGCAGATGCGCGTGGCCCGATCCTTGCCTTGATGCATGGCAGATTTGGCAGTGGCGCGGCTACCAGCGATTATGCGCCTTCCACGACCGGAGGCGCTGGCGCGCCTCGACGGCTTGCGGCGGGACGACCGCCGGTGGCGATCGACTCTTGACACATCGCTGACATATCCTGGCGGCCGCCAAGCGTCCAGTGCGGCCTACTTGAATAACTGATAGATCATCTCATGAATTGAAGAGGCAATCAATATTATGCTGGACAAGGATTTTCTACATCTATGTGCCGTGACATCAATCATTTGCCTGCGACTCAAATAGTTATAGAAAACTTTAAAAAAAAATTAGTAACATCGATTGTGATGATTAAGTCTATACACAAACATACATACAGGACTAAATTTGATCTACAACTAGAGAAACAAAAATAATAAAATCAGAGGTGAAGTGAATAGTACCCGTACAACGCAAATAAAATTTGTTATCTTTGTTTCTTTATATGTCGATCGAATTTAGACTTGCATGTTTGTATAGTGTTTTATATTATCATAGTTCATTTTATCAAATTTTATAAATTTTTATATAACTATTTAAATTATGGGACTGTTTATTCCTCATTTAACAAAAAAAACCCTTACTAGTATCTTGCAAATTTTAGACTATTGGATTGCTTTGAGATTCGTGCAAAGTCCACAGAACCCTAATCAGCTAGTTTTCCTTTTTCCTCCCTGCCACCGCACAAGTCGCTTGAGTGCTCCCCTCCTCTCAGCATCGCATGCCTCCTGCACCACCGCCGCCGCCCCACCGTGTCGCCACCCGGCCTCGCCCGCTGGCCGAAAGGTATCAACTGTGCTGGTGAGGCCCCCCGGTCGGCCCCCTCCCCCTCCCTCTCCTTTTCCTTAAGCCGGTGGTGACGAGCTGTCTTTCCCGTTGCTGACGGCGGGGCGCCACCACCGGCTGTCTCCTCCTAACACTCTTTCCGCTTGCCCCCGTCGCCTATACTGGCTCACCGCCTACTCCTGACCCCACGGCTTCGGCGGCGCCACCGCCGGTCTGCCGCCTCCCACGGCCATCCCTCTAAAGCCGGCGAACTTCCCCCTCTTCCTCCCACCCCTCCTACCCCCACCCCGAGACCCTTATTTGTCGGCCCTCCACCGGAGTTTTGGTTGTCGCCGGCGTCGGAGAAGCAACTGTAGCACGAATCACGAAGCACATCCAGCTAGCGGTCTAAAATCTGCAAGATTTGAAGATTTGAGTTCGTATTTTCTATCGACAGAAGTATAGTGATTCCGTTAAATTATATGCATACACCTAGGTGCCTAGGTGCCATGCACCTAGGTGTAGAAAATACTTTCTCATATTAGGCTAGCTATTTTTTTTTAGAACTTAGGCTAGCCATTACATCGACGCAAGTATATATGCAACTACGGTCGATAATCATAAAGTGATCGAATGAATAATGATTTATCTAATTATTGTAGTTATTATGATACTGTACATATCAATGTAATCTCATTGTCTAATCTAATCACCGGAATGCAAATACGTCCGAACAAGCCGCGACCAGATGGCAAGTACGCGGGCGATGAGGACGACGAAAACGCAATCCAAGGCGATGGCAAAGGTGAAGCCAGCGCCCGTGCCGACGCACGCAAGCCACGCGAGAGGGATGCCGACCCGCACCGTGCCGACGTCGAGGAGGTCCGTGAGCACGGCGTTGGGCGCGCGCGGCAGGAAGAGGCGCGTGTGCATGCTCACCAGCGCGAGCAGCGACATGTAGGCCGCGCACAGCAGGAGGGGCGTCAGCCTCCACAGATCGCGGCGCCGGACGCAGCCGGAGAAGGTGTCGTCGGGCATGGCGCAGAAGCAGAACATGTAGGCTATCCCGCCGAAGCCGATGAAGGGGATGGATGGGTAGTAGAAGGCCACGAACCACAGCACGGCACGGTGTATGCCCGCCTTGGCGGTCATCTCGCCGACCGTCGGCGTCGGTGCAGGCGCCGCCGTCCATGGGAGCAGTTTCAAACTCATACTTCCGTGAGATCGGTCTATATATCGATATATTCTTTCTGGCGTGGCGCAGAGTGTTGCGGTAGATGCCGTATAAATAGGCATGATGCAGTTTAATTTGATCCGAAACTAATTTTTCCTATCCCGTCGGTTGCGCACTAGGGACCATGCAAGGCTAATATGCCGGCGTGGCGGCGCCTCCAGACACCACGTGCGGTGCTCGACGACGATCTCGTCGGCGACCTTCTCGGAGATGGGCGTGCACGGTGGTGTGAGCCACGGCGCGCCGCGTCACCCGCCGCCGACGCCGACGCGCGCGGTGAGGTTGGGCCGGCTCGGCACGACGAAACGCACGGTCCAGACCGCCACGAGTAGGCCCATCATGATTCGGGCCGATTCCCCAAGTCACGGCCCGCTTTGGCACGAAGCTCGATGGGCCATGCCGTGACAGCCCAAGTCCCAGACGGGCCCGTCCGTACTCGCGACAAGGCTCGTGACGACGTCGCTGCTATGCGCGAGGAGGCCGTTGGTCCGTTCGAGTTTCAATTCTGACAGAAAAAAGGAAACCAAATCCAAACGAAATTGACACGATCAATCCTTCGTTCTACGATGCTCCCACATTGATTTTTCCTGCGGAATTGTACTTCTCAAAAGTTTCAAATAAGTAGGTGTAACTAATGAAAATATTGGATGTAGTGATCACCTCTTCCTTCTGTCCCTCCTGCATTCTCATCCTGATATGCTACACTGACTGACAATAAGCAAACACTAGGGCAGAAAGCAGGGCAAACAAGTTCAGTCAAAGCAACAATGTGGTTGAGAATGCCATATATTATTATATTGGACTGTACAGTTTTCTCCATTGAAAAGAGCAGGAGACAACAGCTGACTCAAAGAAGCTGCTGTCTGAAAAAAATTTACGAAATATCATCTAACCCTGAACAATATGGTTTCTAGGAATTTACGGTGAGCAGCAGCTCCATATAATTTGCATTTGCAGGATGCAGCAGGAGGGAAATTGTAACACTATATATGTTCTTGTTTGCTACACGCAGGTGTAACTCTGAGGAAACCATCTTTCCAGCAGAGATTGTTTTAGCCTCATAACCAGGGCGAATAAAGCATAGCAAGGGAAATGCATCACTGCTACCACCAAATACCTGTCATGGATACGATACAGTTCATCAAAAAATCAGTTTGTGGCACAAGAGGCTACAAGTTAAACAATGTGCGACGTATGCAAGAACCTAAAGCATTCACTATCAAGCTGTTTTTGCCAACATTTCGGTTCTGCGACCTTCTAATCTATTTATGGATCCCGCTCCCGCATACTCATATTTTAGGCATACATTGCGCTGAAATGTATCCCTCAAAGACAATCATGGACCAAAAACATTTCTTCTTTACACTATAAAATAATGCATGAGTGCATCTACACCAATTATTATTTCAAGTGTTTGCCCTATATTAACAGTTAAAATTTCACCCAATGTTTAGATTCTACATAACAGTACTGCAGTAGCTGCAAGTGTAAGAAAGTTATTTAGCACAACAGATATATTTATTTCATCAAGTAGATCATACCATACAGGAGCTTTAGGAAATGCTAAGTCCAGAAATGGGTAAGGCCACCTGAATAAAATGAACCACATAAATGCATCAAGAAATTTTTACTTTAATTAGAAAACAGGGAAAAGGAGGGAAATGTAAATCAAATATTACCAAATCGATATGCTAGCATGGATGAGCCACTGAACATTAACAAAAGCGCCAGTCCACAGCAAGAAATATGCGATTCTAAACCACGGGAAACGCTGCGATCAGAACATGGTGATTATCAGTGCTCCCGTGAGTTCAAAAAAAGAAGAAGAAGATGAAGAAGTGATTAGTGCTCTGGTGGAGGCATTTACCAGGCTATTCATAGCAGTATCACCAATCATGAACACAACATTTATAGAGTGTGTCCCAATCAGCAACTGCAATATGCAAGCAGAAGCAATTATTATGAAATGCAACTAACAATACTGATAATAGACCCAACTTTCTTCAAAAGAATCACACAAATAACTAATGCAACTTTCAAAGCACACTTTTCATGTACATGTCATACAAACATATAGGATATTCCCATATGTTGAATATAGTCATAGACTAGCTAAATATTCAATAGAGTTGGAGCCTTACTATAATATAAACATATTCTGTTCTTGCAGATAGTTTTGCAACAGCAAACACAATAATATAGTTCCATTTATGATATTTTCCATCAAACATAATAACCAAGAGAAATTGCTCCTTAAAAAGTTTGAATACTCACAAAATTCATATCATATTGATTGTAGGCAAGGAAAGGGTACAGGATAAACCAAAACACCAGATCTGTAATCATCACAGCACCTGCATTTGTCTGGATACAATAATACATGAGCTGAGAGTTGAAAAGCAAAATGCCGCGAAGTAATAGCATGCAAGAACAGAATAAATTTTCTTCCCTTTTGCTCAACCTCATAACATGTCTACAGTTCAGCAATTACAAGTGAACAAACTTTGTGCTCTAATGTGAATTGACAACAGTTGGGTCATGTTAACTAACCTGAAACATGATCTGGAACAGATAACCCCAAAATCCTGCAATTTCTTTGCCACCATGCATTTTACTGTAACAAGGATTTTTTATTGACTGATCATATACACTTTCCCCAGCTGGAGCAATGATATATGTGCCATGATCTGCACCAGATCTATTGTCGCCATTCTTGTATGAATACTGATAGCATCCATAAATTGAAAGCACCGAACCAAGCTAAAAACGAAAGTGTTAAGGAATCCATTAGTACATATCGAGAAGCAGGCCTTAAACAAACATATACAGTAGAATTTGCTCCATAAGAATCAATTGTTCCAGTTTTGCAGGCAGCATTATAGCACATGGAGCGACTGAGTCGCTGGTGCCGGTAATCATATGAGAACTGGATAACAGAAAGAATATAATAACAGTACACAATAATTCTCTACCAGCAAATCACATACCCCAAAATATAAGGTGACTAGCAAGAAGGTCCACCTGTGAAATGTACAAAACAGCCCAAATCAAACAATTTTCTGAAGATCATAGTTCAGTTAGAAATGTGCACATCTGCAAGGATGGTGAGTCATCTTTGAATTGTGATTACTGAAATTACTGCCTGGAATTAACATCAGGAAGGATGGTGATGGCTAGCTTACTGAGTGTAGTATAGGAAGACACTCCATCCATCGACGACGACATCAACCGCAAGCAGGGAGGCTAAAATGAAGAAAGACACGACGCGGAACGCCAGCAGCCAGCCAGGGTGGATCTGCTCAAGGCATGGTTTCCAGCAATCTTCAAGGTACACAACCCCGGATGCGGCCCGGGGCGGCCGCGCATCCTCACTGTCCTCGCCGCCATCGCCATTGCCGTCCTGTGAGCTCGGCCCCTCGTACTTCCAGATCAAGAAGCATGCCAGGACCATGCAGGAGTAGACCCAGACCGCGCAGAGCATGAACCTCCAATTGAGCCAGTACTCCGAAGCAGTGGTGTCGACGGCCATGGTTGATGATGGCATTGCTGCAGTGATGAGGCGTTTCTGCAGCCAGATTCATAATACAGGATATTACTACTCAACCATGCCTGTTCTTCTACTGCAAAATTAGATTCTTGCACCAAGATAAAGAGAGGAATTATTCTTGCCGACGAAGGGAGAAATGATCAGTACTATGATTCCTATCATTTCCAGATACAGAAAAGAAAAAGAAAAAAAAATCTACACTAGCCAGATGCTATATGTCCTGATACCCTGCAACCTGGAGCCCCCACGCTTGCAGATGGTAAAGATGCAATATTCCATTTCCATGATTCCACCCACACACAAAAAAAGAAACGAACAATACGAACACCAAGAAACACGCATCGGCGCAGATGAGGAGGGGAGGGAGGAAAACGAACCCAATCTCACCGGTGATTGGGTTCTTGTTCTTGACTTCTCCACTGCCTCTCCTTCTCCAACCTTCCTGCCGCCGCCGCCGCCTCCCTCTCTCCGTCGATTCCTCTCCCTCTCACGACCTCGACGCCTCCATCATCTGTGGCACGCGCACATCAATCAAGAACGTAGGCGAGAAAATCATAAATGCCGGACAGGAACACGGAGGAGGAATCAATCAATCAATCACTCACTCGCTTCTGATTTGGGCGAGGCGAGACGACAGAGAGAGATCTCCAGAGTCAAGCCGCACGTTGACTCCTGCTCTCTCCGGAAGCCACGTGAATGAATCCCCTCCTCCTCCTCCTCCTCTCTCTCCTCCACCTCACTCACTCTCGACCACAAGGAACGAACAAACCGAGAAGAAGCCAACCATCCAATCTCCACACATCGCGGCTCAGCTCGGTTAATCTTGGAGCTCCATCCAGCCACGCGCGGGCGGGTGATCTGGAATCTGGAGACGTGGTGAGCCCAGGTGGATCCAGCGACGCCTCGCTCTCACTGACTCGGACAGCTTCGACTGATGGCTCTCACTCGTTTTTTTGCTTGTACGGATTTGTCTTTGCGAGTAACCGATCCCTGTGGAAATCGTGGTCGCGTCCTCCTCTGCGTTAATCGTGGACGTCCACGTGTGAAATCGGACGGCTGAAACGGTGCCGTGACGTGGCGCTAAAAGAAATGGGAAATTCGAAATGTGGGGAGCACATAAATAGACTGCTTGTGTAGAAGGTAAAGATGCTATACGTGTAAGTCACACGAACTTGCATATTAGAGGTTTTGTTCTTTGTGACCTATTTCTAACATCTATTCCCTCGTTTTTCACTCGTACGGTTTCTAAATAGCTAAACGCTTTGTTTTTTAATAAATAGTTTCTATAGTAATGTTGCATGAAAAAAAATCACATTAATCCAATTTTTAAGTTTATTTTAGCTAATGCTTAAATAATCATGTTCTAATAGATCATTATGTTTTATGTAGAAAGTGGAGTTCATCCCATCCTCCACTTTTGAACGTAGCCTTACAATTACAAAACGGTCTATAGTATGGTGGGGTGTAATAGTGTACAACACGCAATGACATGTAACTTTTTTAAAATATAAAGAAACTTAGTGAGTCTATGTGTGTGTTTCTTCCTAATAATGTTTAGATATAGTTGAGATTCTTCAAATATGTCCTCTTATGGTTGCTCCTCATTTTATTAAAAATCATCCTATTTAAGCCAACTCCAATCACAAAAAACCACTTCAACGCAGAGTTATAAAATACATAGAAGAGACAAGAAATTTTACGGTGGCAAGAGTATCGTCTAAAAGGAGGACAGGAGGAGTCGTTCAAGAAAGCTTTGCAGGTATACTTCAACAAGGTGTTATATGTTTTCTATGCATAATTGGGTGATTATTATTTAAATGTTCTCTATATAACTTTGTCTCGGTTCTTGGTTTCTTGCAATTCCTAATGACCATGAAAGAAACTCACCTGAAAATTGATAGCAAATCATTTATCAGATATGAAAGAAGCAATAGCATATGGATTTTAAAAACTATTGAATTCTGACTCCTAGATCTTTTTGTGAGTCATAACTACAATGAGTTCTTGTTGTCGTAGGAATCAATTGTAATTTCAAAAGCAATTTTTGTTTACAAAATGCTCAATATCTCTTATAATTTGAATTTTGAACATTAGATCTCGCTTATTATTATCCAATCTTGGCTATATCCAAAGGGGGGAACGAGCCCGAAGTTGCATATTTACAATCACAAAACAGTCTATGATGGGCGCAATAGTGTACAATACGCAAGGACATGTAACTTTTTTAAAAATACGAAAGAAACTTACTGAGTTAATGTATGTGTTTCTTTCTAATAATGTTTAGATATAGTTGAGATTCTTCAAATCTGTCCTCTTATGGCTGCTCCTCATTTTATTAAAAGTCATCCTATTTAAGCTGATTCCAATCACCACAAAACTGCTTCAACACCGAGTTATAAAATACATAGAAGAGACGACTGTCTAAAAGGATCATAGGAGGAATCATTCAAGAAAGCTTTGCAGGTATACTTCAACAAGTGTTATATTTTTCCTATGCATAATCGAGTGATTATTATTTGAATGTTCTCTATATACCTTTGTCTCGGTTCTTGGTTTCTTGCAACTCTTAATCACCACGAAAGAAACTCGCCTGAAAATTGATAGCAGATCATTTGTCTCGATGTTAGGATATGAAAGTAGCAATAGCATATGAATTTTTAAACCTATTGAATTCTAAACCTTAGATCTTCTCATGAGTCATAATTACGTTGAGTTAACTTCTTGCAACTCCTAATCGCCATGATAGAAACTCACCTGAAAATTGATAGCAGATCTTTCTTTATGATGGATGGTAGAAGGATGAGGTTAATGTGTGTTGATTTATTTAGGACTTTGTCTCCCTTTCATTATCTTCCGTCCCAGGACATGTGGGAGCTAAGTCAAAGATCTCGGTGTTGTCGTGAGTGGTAGATAAACAACGATTGCAGTTTGATTTAGGGATCAGTCCCAACCCTGTGAAGCTTAACAGGCAAATAAAACGATAGATACTTCCGTGTATTGGGTGATGACCTTAATGAATCAAGTATTTAGGTGGCAGAGTTCTACGTAAGTGCTAAAATTCTTGAATACTTATTGCCCTGGCTTCCGAGTATTTCTTTCTTTTGCTATGGTGTTTGCAAATTACTATTTTAGGCAAGGATTGAGCAACACTTACTTGGTTTGTCTTGTGATGTGCGAGAAGGCACATGTTCGATCCCTGGATCGGACTCACGTGCTACCTCAACGGGATTTTCCCTCTTTCCCTAGGACCAATCCTTAGGATTAGTATCGAGCCTCCAATCTTTTCTTAGGAATTAGGCGTGTCCAAAGATCATGTACGAGTGTGCGTGAGCAAGTGACGATAGTCTCCTCTGACGTACATTATAGGGACGTGTCTATCAGACACGTGGGCCCTATCTATAAGGGACTCACGTATCTCTGACTTTAGATCAGGGAACTGCTTTCGAGTAGTGACTTGAGTGTGGTGTATTTGTGGGTTTACCGTTGTTTGTACCCTTTAAAAGAACTCTTTTCAGGTATGCACCCATTACGAAGAAGTCCAAGAATAAAGGAACTAAATGAGAAAGTGCAAGTAAATAACGATCAAGTTCCTGCAACAAAACCAATTGTCTTGCAAGACTCCAACACAAGGAAGCGGAAGGGAAAGCTTCCCATTGGTCAGGTAAACATACTATCTACACCCCCATTTGATTTATTTATATATAGTCATTTGTACCTTTCCTTCTTGTTTGAATTATGTTTATGGAGTAGTAAACTATTGTTCCAAATGTGATATGCTTGCTTAAAGACACACAACATTTTCACAGGCTTACCATCTCTACTGTGACAGTTTTCCCCCAAATGGTAGCAATGGAAATGTGCCCTCTTACTCTAATAATGTGACGCACACACTTTTAGTATCGTACATACACACAACTAGCACCCTTGTCTACGGTATATAAAGGTACTAGTTTGTGTATATACCATTTTTATCTACCGTATTAAAAATGTGGGTCCGCCACACCCAACATTGTGACTTCTGGGACCCATATTCAGCAGAAATGTCAAGCAAATTAAACCACTGAAACACGATTGGTAAATTATAATTAATTTTGTGCATTGCCAATAATCTGATACCGATAATTCTACTCTATTTTTTTGGCATTTGATAATTCTACTATTTGTAGGCAAGAGATAAAAATGCCCAAAGGACACCACCTCACCAGCTGAACCTGCAAAGCAGCAGGCAAATGAACATTGGTGGATCAGCTTACATGAGCCATCTACTTGGCATAAATCCAACGCAAGTCCATGATCAATTTGGCTTCTCCTCTGCATCCTTTGGCCAGTCCAGTTCCCTGCCTCAAAATCAAGCTACATATTCTGGAATTCTGCCAAGAGAGGGTCAGACTACTGCATACTTGTACTACCCATTTCTGTCATCATTCACCCCAGATGCATCAACTCCTTCAGGTTCAACTAGCAAACAAGGTGTGCTCTACTGCTCTTTAACCTCCATGTCCAATAATTTATATTTGATCTTTTTGTTAATGGAGACATAATTTCCAGTGAGATTTATTCGTTGCAATGATTTTTTTTTACAGTACATCAAGTTGTTTTGCAACATCCGTTGCCCACTAATCTATGGTCCGATTTTCCGATTCTGAGAAAAAAGAAATTTGTGATAAGATATAGGATAAGTGATAGGTTATCTGATACTATCCATACCCGATTCTGACTTTAAAGAAAAATGATACGGGAATACCATGATCCGATCGTACCTAACCCAATTTTGCCCTTGCGATTTTAATTAATAATTATTAGGAAGGATAACTATGGCTGGTGATACGTTAACCATTTCTAACTAATAGAAGAAGGAAATATGTTTTTTATTACATAAAACAGGTCACAAAAATCAACTATTAGGAGCACTATAAAAGAGATCATGTAAGTAATGTTTTGTTGGTTTCAACTGATTAATTAGGTACTCCTGTGGCCCATGACAACACCACAGAGCAGCTGAGGAAATTAACTGAGGCAAACACCATTGGTGGATCAAATCCAAGAACATCTAGCCACCTGCTAAATCATCACATATCCAGTGTAAGCTACTGAAAAATCCCCTAAAATTATACTCCTACTTCAGTTATTTTACAAAAAGAAAATATTCAAACTTTTTTACTAACCATTTGCTCATGACTCTTTCAGTTTTTCCCAGTGACTCCTCTTCCCAACACAAACCATGGCAGCTTGGCGCCACTGCAACCTCCAAGAAACGAGCAACCGCCATTGCCGCCCTACGTGAGCTCAGAGATCACCACCACCGGCAATCGCCCTGCCGAGAGCTTCTTCCAGCCGCCGCCGCCGCCGCCGCCGCGGCCTCTGGACACCGGCGCCGGCGACAACGACGACATGGCGGCGGTGGAGCGCGGGCCGCGGTGCGATCTCCAGACCGTCGACCTGCTCAGCCTGGTCGAGTCCGTGGGGACGCCGGGGTTTCTGGCCAACTCGGCGAGGGTGCTGGGATCGATGCACGAGCCTCGCCGTGGTGTCGCCGCCGCCGCGGCGAGCGGCGGCGCTGCGCCGCCGCCTCCTGAACCGAGCTTGGTTCTTGGACTGGGAGACGGCAATGGCGATGGGAGAGAGAAGGCGTGGTCGTACTGGAATAACTCGTCCGCCATGGCGAGGACCATGGAGAGGAAGCGGAGGTCGGAGACGGCGACGGCGATGGCGACGGCGACGCAGGCGAGCCAGGCTCTGCCGGTGAAGACGACGCTGGGCTTGGGAGAGGACGCCATGAAACGCCGTCCATGAAGCCGATGGATCCATCCATGGCGATCGCGTTGAGCAACAGCAAAAGCAAACCAAGGAGACGGCAAGAGAATCTTTGGTTGTGCATGCAAGAACATTCTTTAATTTGGTTCTTTTGATCATTAAACTTTGCAGAAGTTGAAATTTTGGCCATGATTGCTTAAGACATTGGCTTCTTCTTTTAATCTTTAAGCATTTCAGCAGTTACAATTTTGTCTTCCCATGATTTGCTTAAGACATTAGCTTCTCCGTGTGGCTCTGTGCATCCTTGGTTGGTGCAGGTGCCGAGAGTTTTGTTTTAATTGTTCGAAAACATTTGCTTCTTTTGTTATGAAGAATGTTGGATTTTGTTTTATCACTGTGTTTTATTATGAAGAATGTTGGATTTTGTTTTATCATTGTGTGGCACAGCTGTATTACTAAGTTAGTATGCTCTCAGTTTCATCTCTGCTTCTAGCCATGTTCATAACTCTGAAAAATCAGGGTAATATTCTCTTAAGCTAATGGAGGAGGTAGACCAAATCTGAAATCCTGCATTTATTTTTTTCTCTTCTTCTTTCATTGCCTGTGAATATATCATGAAAAATGTGCTCTTACACAGTGATTACAGAAACTCCGTAGGATCTGTTTTTATCATCTTCCTTGTGCACGTGGCACATTTCTTCAGTTTTTCTAAAATGCTGCCACTGTGCCATATGCTCTTCCACAATGCCAGAGATCTGGGCCTGTCTATATATTTTTATTTTTCAGAATATTCTGCAAGATAACATCAATGGTACTCAATGGACGTACAAAGAATTGCCAGAGCAGCTGCTATGTTGTTAACAAGTTATCTATGGTACATGTTCGGTAGGACGAAATGATCATCCAGGAAACTAGAGCCTACTGACAGCAAGAGCATTGACATATCAAAAATACAGTGTGTTGAATTACAACTTCAGATTTCCATACCCCTTCTTGATCTTGCCTGTATAACAAGGGAAGAAACAACTAAAGCCTATCTCAAAGTTAAAACTGTATGATATTGCCGTGCCGTGCTTGTCGATACTGTTTTTTCATTTCTTTCCATTGGCATAGGGGTACTCTGCAGGTGAGCTCCATAAGCCAAACAAGATGGAGATGTGAATGAATAGCAACAGCAGTGACGAATAGGCAGTGGAAGGATAGATATTCCAGCAGAGCTCCACAGCAAGAAATAAAATGACCCTGAGAGAACAAAGGGCGGTGATATAAGAGAATAAATCCAAGTGGTTTGCCAAAATGGTTCTGAATATGCCAACTGAAGTGGAAAAGGACCATGCAATAGTAGCGTGTTACCTCACAAATGTTGGAAAACGAGTTTTCCACAAAAGGAAAGGCAGTGAATAGAAGTACCTGCAAACGTGAACAGAAAGAAGTGCATTTTCAGCATTCACATCAAAACATTAACAGAAATACCTGCTCTTTAGAACTTATAGTGAGGGTGAAAAAGAACTGAAGTGAACTCAACTGAACTTACCAGGAATAAAATTGGTAGTGTAATGATCGTGCGCACACGATGCCAATGAAATTTCCAACAAACATGACCGTTACAATATCTGGATGGAAATTGTGTTTATCTAATTAGTTCAGGAAAGGAATTGGAGAAATTCTTTTTTCGAGTTTTATGTTCCAACATACGTTCTTTGTTAAGAGTTGACAGTTTGGGCTTGGCAAAAATTAACTGTCCAATTGATGTGGCATCTTTGAATCTGGAATGCAAGAAATGGAACAAGCCACCCTCATGCCTGTCAACATGAATACAACAATGTCAAGCATTTGTCCAACCAAATGGTTATAGTGAACCATTATAAAATGAAGCTAGCAGTAGTCCAATTATGCTGTCATCGACTAAATTAAACAAAAATGTAAATTTTCTGAAGATAGAAAATACTTGAACAAACACAGCATGAATTGACATGTTCAGATTGGACCATCTTAACATATAAATGTAAATAAGGAGCACTGGTTAAAGGGCCCATAAAGCTAGCATTGGAGAGTTACAAGCTTTTCCATAAGAGCATACATAGGGATGCAAGCCTAGATCATACAATAATATCAATACAATCGATCACAGACAACCTGAATACTTACTTAAGCCACTTGTAGTGTGCAAAGACCAAAAGAGTAGTGAGGTGAAGAACCAACAATGCAACAGCTAGCTCTTTTGATACAAAGAACTTCTCAGGGACAAATTTAAAATTTACAGACCTGAAAAAGATTGAAGTATAGGAAAAATAAAATATGTATTGTGCCACATATTCATATAGAAAACCAGTCATAATGCTACTCTTAGAATGATTCAAACTTCAATATTAGAGAAAGATGGTATAAGCACCAGAAATGGATGAAGACACGCCCAAGATTGAATGCTCGTGAGATGTACTCAACTGGATGTGATAACAAGAATGGCATACCCAACAAAACCTATAGATAGGAAACGTGAAGCATTAGCATCAATAGTGTGATGCTGCATATTCATCTAATCACTCCCTAGCTGATTAAAGTACCACAAACATTTTCATGTTTTCTTAGATCACAGTTTCAAAACAACCACCACCACCTTTTAATGCAAAATGTCGACTATGCCATAGATACAATCTGGTGTAAAAATGATTCATTATCAATTTACATTGATCAGAAAATTTATTATAATTAAACTGCCCAAAATTCTATTACCCCTATAGCCCTAATAAGGGGCAATTTAAGCCCTTGTAATGCAGGGGCAGCACAGGTAGATATACCATTTTGTTAAACCTAGCGGCATTACTTTGGCAAAATCTATTTATCAGATAAGAATAACTCTGAAGGAACTGCCAAGCATAGTATGGCCTGAATAGTAATGCATGTCGCTAGGAAAGCCCTTAACAAGCAAAGCATTTTTAGAAGTCGGAATAATGATAATATGAGTTTGCAAAACACAATGCACCTGTAGTGCTGCAGCCCCTAATAAAGCAAAGAAGACTCCTTTGATGCTCATGGCCTGTACCAAAAAAAAAAAAGTTAGGCTAGCTATTGGCATCACAAGAAGATACCAGTAACAAGCTAGAGGGGATTGTACCTTCAGCATCAGTAGTAATAACGATGGAGCAAAAAGAAGCACATTCATCTTAATGGAGACAGCTGCACTGGAGGAAGAGTGATTTCAGCAAGTTCTAAAGCAAATTGATAAGTATTAATGAAAATGATATCTTAAAGCACATGGATGCAGTATCATATTGTTGGTAATCACCTGAAAATTACTAGACCAAGGTACCACTTGTGATACATAATCAAAACCATGGCAGCATGGAGAAACGTCATAGCGAAACAATCGTTGAAAAGGCGGAGCACAAAGATGGAGTGAACCCTCTTTGACAAGCAAAGCAAACCTAAAGCCCACCTTGGAAGCTGTCAAAAATTATGGGTAAACAGGGAGGTTCAGAAATAACATTAGGCACACATCAGTCATGGAGGATGTTTAATACAACCCAAAATAGTTCCGCGGTTCGATCAAATTGTCCTGCTTGAACTAGCAAAGTGATCAGATGAGTATTGCTAAACTAAGAGCAAACCAGGAGAGAACACAGGCATCCCTACCACTTCAGTCTTGACGTACATCAGCAGAACAAGGCTAAGGTTCACAATGTACAGGACACCAAACAAAATCTGCAACAACTCATCAAAATTTAGCACAACTGAGCACATGAAGAAGGCGAGGAGCCAAGGAAAGAACAGAGCAGACAAGAAGACAATCGGCGACCTGCGCGGGGAAGACTTGGCCGGCGGTGAGAAGCTTGATGGCGGAGTAAACGTAGAGGAAGCCGGCCGGGTAGACGAGCGGCCCCGTGTCGCCCTCGATCTTGGTGTAATCCCTCTCCCCTTCCACAAACGCGTCCACCTTCTCGCACCCAAATTAGTTCGCATCTATATCAGCAGCGACCAAAAATCAAAGCCGAAATTCGCCAACGATCTGAGCTGATGATACCTGAGCCATGTACGCGTCCCAGTCGATCTTGGTATCTGCAGAATCGAAGCAAGCACGCAAGAAACCGTGAGGTGAGCTGCGATGGCTAGGAGGAAAGCGGAGGAAAAAGATGCTGGTACGCACACGGGACGAAGACGACGATGAGGGCGACGAGCGCCGCGTCGGCGAGCAGCAGGAACGCCGCGAAGTGGAGCGGCCTACGGTCGGACGGCGGCGACGACTCGCCGTGCTTGCCCACCCGCGCCATGGCCGCCTCCACAGCCAAGCTCCGGGCAGCTCGAGGTAGATCCAACCAACCAAGAACTCGAGACGAAGACGACGACGACGAGGAGGAGGAGCTCATCCGGCCCAACCCGAGAACCTCATGGGCCTCCGGCCCGAAGGCCCATCCGGATGCAGGCCCAGCTTGGAGAATGGAGATGAATTGGAGCCGAGTGCGCCAACTACCTCGGCGCCTCGTGGTTCTCGCGCCAACGCCGTCGTTGTCTGTTCTGCGTGCGCTGCGCGCGTCAGAGCAAGTTCAGTACTGTACTCATATGAGTTAATTATCTCTATTTTTTTTCTTCTCAATATCTCTCACATACTTATGCATTTTATGTATTTATCTTAAAATATACTCCCTCCGTCTCAAAATATAAGTATTTTTAGACTCTAACATAGTCTCCAAGATACTACTATAACCAATAATATCTATACAAGTAGGTTGTTTTAAATTAAAAGAGTTGCATATTTTGATAGTTTGTGTAATAATAAATCTAGTAACGTCAATTTTACATGATTAATTTTTTTATATTTTTTTGCTATTAATAGTCAAAGTTAAAAATGTTTGGCTTATTACTATGCTAAAATTGCTTATATTTTAGGACGGAGGAAGTATATGAATTGCTAATTCTTACATGAGTTTTATTTTCCAAATTTTTTGTCCTCCATATAAGTTAGTTAAATTATAGTCTACTACTCTTTTGTCCAAAAATATAGCAATCTAAAATAGGATGAAACCCATCATATAACTATGAATCTGGACATAAGACATTAAACTTATGGGACGGATGGAGTATTAAACTTACTCTAGCCACAGATGACATTTGTCCAGCCATTATTTTGTGTTAAATAACTTGAATCAGTGATCCATCCCACTCAAGCACATTTATTACTCCACACTCCATTTCAGAAATTTACGAAATACTCTCTCCATTACAAAATATGCAAGGATCCAAAAACCAATAAATAATTATTAACACCTCAATCACCTCTGGTAAATAAGTACGCATTCATCCGATGAGATTAGTGATCTTGAATGTGAAAGGTTAAAATATAGATTTAGAGGAGGGGGGAGATGTTAATTAATTGCATGCTTATATGTATACACGTCTTATATTATGTTATGAGACAAGAAAAATAAGTGGTTGTGTCCTAAAATAGGATGAAGGGAGTATCAATCCTAAATTCTGAAATGGAGTACATGATTAAATTAGTCGATGAACAATGTATTGGGGATGTATAGTGGCAATGCGATTGGGCCTGGCATTTTTCAAGAAATGGAAGAACTTTTCATATATTGATTTCTTTTAAAATAACTGTTGTAGATAATATTTTTTTTTTCGTTTTGGTTTGCCAAGCTCCTAACTGCTACTCATACCACATATCTTTTTCTTTACTTTACAATAGTTAATTTATTCGTTTATACTCTTAAATAGTATAGTAATCACAAAAATCATTAAAGTTATGCAGAAAGAGAAGGAAGGCCATTATTCACTACTACTCCCTCCGTTTTATATTATAAGACTTTATAGCATTATCTTATATGTATATAGATGTTAATGAATCTAGACACATATATATCTCTAGATTCATTAATATATATATAAATGTGGGTAATGCTAGAAAGTCTTATAATATAAAACGGAGGAAGTACTAATTTCTCTCTCTCTCCTCTCATCAGGGTCAGTTTCACAAACAATTTCTATCAAAGTTTATCGCTTTTTTGTCCTTGGCAGCCACCACCACCCTGCACGATTCTTATTCTTATCTCATGGTTTCAATTGCTCACCTTTTTTACTTAGAAAGAAACATAAAGGCACTGCACTAAATACAAATAGTATGACAACAAGTAGTTGGGTTGATACGTACTCCTACTAATAAGGCGTGTTATTATTGGTCATCAATGGCGTCTCACTCTGATGGTGACAATAAGCACTACGAGTACGGACTAATCCTCCGTCCTATTTTAAGTACAGTTAAGTTTTTATATTTAACATTTGACAATCCCTCTTATTTAAAAATTTATAAAAAAACTTTTAAAATTAAGTGAAACATAAAATACTATTCATATTTTATTATCTAATAATAATAAAAATTAATAAAAATATTAAATAAGACAACGGTCAAACAATATACATTGAAATTTATAATTGCGTGTAATATAGGATGGAGGGAGTAACCAGCAATGCACCAATGCATACTGCATAGGCAGGTCTTCAAATCTGAGTGGCGTTCGTGCTCCCTCCTCTTTGTGTTTGATTATTCGTTCCGGTGTGCGCGAAAGCGGGGAAGGAGCGGGGTACGCATCTGTACCTGTACGGGATCCCGGCGAGATTCAACCTTGCAACCTCATGTCCTTGTGTTCATGTGCTCGTACGATACGAAAATAGAATTCTGATACGTCTGTATAATATAGGGGTGAGAGGGTGCCACTGCCAACTGGTCACCTAGCCCAGAAACCCGGCAAGATGCAGCGCGCGGCGGCGGCCTCGCGCGCCACGGCATGGAGCACGGCACGGCACGGCGCCGCCCGCGTCACCGCCTCCGCCTCCTTCTCCGGCGGCGGCGGCATCGTCGCCGGTGCGGCGCTGCCGCTCCGTGTTCGCGGCGGCCAGCTCATGTCCCTGCCGCTGCTGTCGGGTGGCAGGGCGGTCACGGCGAGGGTGGCGGCGGCGGAGGCGCCGTTGCCGGCGGACGACGCCGACGCGGCGGCTGGGCGGGAGAGAGGCGCACTCGCGGAGACGGCGCAGCTGGGCGCCATGATCGTGGCGTGGTACCTCCTCAACATCTACTTCAACATCTACAACAAGCAGGTCTTCCTCCCCCCTCAAGAACCTTCTCCTTCCTCATCCTCGCCATCTCTTAACCCAATCAGCCATGGAGAATCTCAGGTGCTGCAGCCATTGCCGTTCCCCTACACCATCACCGCCTTCCAGCTCGCGTTCGGCTCCTTCGTCATCTTCCTCATGTGGGCGCTCAAGCTTCATCCCGCGCCCAGAATCTCCATTTCACAGGTGAGATGATTTGGTTTCTTGCAACCAACAATGGAGAAAGAAACATGTGCAATGTGATTGTCCGCGATTGCTGAATTCTTCTGAAATTTTCGGTTCTCGCCGCAGCTGGCCAAGATCGCGCCGCTCGCCGCCGGGCACATGCTGGGCACGGTGTTCACCAACATGAGCCTGAGCAAGGTCGCCGTCTCCTTCACCCACACCATCAAGGCGTCCGAGCCCTTCTTCACCGTCCTCCTCTCCGCCTTCTTCCTCGGCGAGGTGGGTGACACAATTCAGTGGGTTCCTGTCAATCGATTCAGAGATGAAATTGGTGCTGAATTCAAATTTGTGTTTGAATTGCAGACGCCTTCGCTGCTGGTGCTGGGCTCCCTCGTGCCGATCGTCGGCGGCGTCGCCTTGGCATCGTTGACTGAACTCTCTTTCAACTGGTAGAATCTGAATCTCTGACGAACACCATATATCTGAATGAATTTTTAATTTGTTCTTTTGTTGTTCCTGAAACTGAATGATTGTGGGGGAATCTTTTCTCACTCTCTGATTTTGTGGGATCAGGATTGGGTTCTGGAGTGCGATGGCATCGAATCTTCTATACCAATCAAGAAATGTGCTCAGCAAGAAGCTTCTTGGCGGCGAAGAGGTGAATTTTGTTCCCCAGTGATTACAGTCTCTCGCTTCTTTCGAAGCCGGTAATTCGATTCCTAACAGAGATTATCTTTTGATGCAGGAAGCGTTGGATGACATAAACCTCTTCTCAATACTCACTATACTGTCATTTCTGCTGTCTTTGCCTCTGATGCTGTTCTCAGAAGGGGTCAAGTTCAGCCCAGGATACCTCCGGAGCACTGTGAGTGTTTGAAAAATTCAGATAAACAGACACTATTCCCAAAAATATATGAACAAATGGAATGTCCTGTTTGGCTTGCAGGGCCTTAACCTCCAAGAGCTGTGTGTAAGAGCAGCACTAGCTGGCTTTTGCTTCCATGGCTACCAGAAGGTGAGGACTGAGGAAACAGTCACCTCTTCTTTGGCTCAAGAAAGATTTGTGCTTGATGATTCATTGACCTGTAAACAAAAGGATCATTCTGTGTTCTTTCTTGAAATTGGCAGCTCTCCTACTTGATCCTGGCCAGAGTGTCACCTGTCACCCACTCTGTCGCCAACTGCGTCAAGCGTGTGGTCGTCATCGTGGCGTCTGTTCTCTTCTTCAGAACCCCAATTTCACCTGTCAATGCACTAGGTACTGTAACTCTCAAAAAACTGGCTGATTTTCTTCAGAACTTAACAGCAGCTGAAAGTTTTGCTGTTCTTGTGTTTAACTAATTTTTGTTTGGATTTCTTTTTGTGCCAACCTGCAGGAACTGGTGTTGCATTGGGAGGAGTTTTCCTGTATTCCAGGTTGAAGAGAACAAAACCAAAGAATGCCTGAGAAGAGAGGACACGCTTAATTACAGTTCTCGCAGTTTTTGTTTTGATTTGGGATACATAGATTAGGCTTGTACATCGACGAAGAAAATGAGTTGGGTTCGGTTTTAGCACCGATTGTACTACACGACCTACAGTCTCATTTTTCACAAAATTGTAAGAACATTGCTGAATATTCTCAGATCTCGAGAGAAATTCATTAGTGTCCAGGCGCAAAATCAATAAAGCTATCACTTGAGTGTACGCTTGAGACTTGAAACTAACTTCGCTTCGAAGAGGAATACTGACGGCAAATGGGGTAATACATACATGGGCACCGCATGAACATTCAGAACATGGAAATAGTTCAATGTAAACGACGCTGGGGTAAATAATCTACAAGTCATATAAGGATTAAGAGTGCATGTTTTCGTCCAAAATGCATGCCTCAGATGGTTTGTTTCCACATGATCATAGCGGTAGCAGGTATAGATAGCAAGGAAGTCCGAGCCCCCAGGTCTGACAAACGACTAACACCAGACATACATTATCAAGTGCGCTACATCTGCACAGCAGAAGATCCACAGTCTTATCCTATGTTAGTTAAGTTCTGGGACACACTTTTGCTTCAGGGGGAGCACGCACGATAGTATAGTTTGGTAAGAGAACAGCTTCATCTACTCTGTTCGTCACCATCATGATGCTGTTTGCATCTTGCAGTTAGCACTTACCAGTTGGAGACACCAACAGCCTTGGACCCAGGATCTTCATGGTTGCGATTGCTTGGAGGACTCCTACTTCTATCACGAAAGCCAGCATTGTTTGTTCTGCTCTGATCGCTGCCTCGAGAAGAGCTATAGAACCTGCCATTTGCATGAAGACGATCAATGAAGCTACATAAATTAAGTATGAAATCACATTGCTAATGGGATATAAACTACCTAAAAAAGAAATATTAGTTGTCATTGCCAACAGAAAGAAACAAAAGGAGCAGAAAGTTATGCCTCCCTCTTGTTTAGACAGTTGGTGTCAGCTCATAGATAATATAGGTCATTCAGCTACCCAACTATTACCCAGGCCACTTAATAGCACAGCAGTATCAGAGAATCTAAGCTCTTCTGATTCACTTCATGAATTCAAGTAACTCAGTATGCATGGAAACAGGTGAAGGTTTAAGATGATGACGATTTGTTCTGTTTTTTTTTTTGTTGGGGATTTACTTCCTACAGATTTGTATTGAAATCCTAGCCAAGCAGGTCCTTCAAGGTTCCAAATATGTATCTGTGTCAAATGAAATTCAGGCATACCTGGCATGAAAGCTGAGACCATCACCAGGTTGATCGTTGTTGCTGCTATTATAAGATGCCAAAATCGGCAAATCGGTCATTCACTCAAGGATTGGACACAAGACAAAAAAAAAGTAACAGGTAGCAGACTTTCAACTAACCTGGCATGAAAGCTTGGATTGTCACTGGTTTGATTGTTGCTGCTGCTGTTATGAAAGCTGTATAATGATGGCTCATCAGGTATACATGTGCTTGAGATGACATGTAGTAGGATAGAGATTTGTTTTGTACCTGGTTTGGAAGCCAGAAGTATCGCCAAACTGATTGCCACTGTTGCTGTTATGGAAGCTGCATAGATAATTCATCATGTCGGTGCTAATTAAGCTCAAAGGCAGGATTCAAATAGGAACTGATACATACCTACTATGAAAGCTAGAACCATTCCCAGACTGACTGCCATAACCACTGTTATAGTTGTCAGTCGACCTTGAAGTATAGCCTGAATCATATCCTCGACCACCATAAGAGTCATCTGAAGATGCCCAGCGCCGTGACCTTCCACCATACCCTCCACGGGAGACCATATCTCTCAACTGTTGCGAAACAGACTGGTTTGCACCCTCCAAAATCTTCACGAGATCTGAAGCATACTTTGAATCCTGATCACAGAAGAATGTATAGGCAACTCCAGTCGCTCCAGCCCGTCCTGTTCTCCCAATTCTATGGACGTAATCCTCAACACCTGTTGGGAAATCGTAGTTGACCACAACTCTGTAACAGGAATATGAGAGAATTGTCAGTGAATACCATTTGAAGAATTACAGGTCATTAGTCGTTACAACATGCACAGGGACATCATCTTTATGCTATGGCCTACAATGAGATCTCAGCTCTACAAGTTGCAAAGAAGTCCCAACCTGATATCCTTTATGTCCAAGCCTCGGGCAGCCACATCAGTAGCAACAAGAATAGGGCATCTGCCACTTCGAAATTCACTCAACACAGAATCCCTCTCGGCTTGTGATTTATCACCATGAATAGCAGAAGCACCATACTGCCGTGCTAGGTTTCGAGCCAGCTGATCACACATCCTCTTTGTGGAGCAAAATATTATGATTTTCGATCCAGGTTCCTGTGACCTTAGGATTTGATCAAGCCGCCTCGATTTCTCCGGAGGTGTGATAACATCCACATACTGCAACATATAACAATCTGCTTCAAAATAACGAAACAAAGTCTGATCAACAAAAAGAAAGCACCATTTTCATTACCTGAGTGATTGACTTATTGGCAACCAGTTGATCAGTGTTCCCAATGTTAACTTGGACTGGATTGGACAGCAAATCTGAGGCTATTTTCCTCACCTCTTTTGGCCAAGTGGCAGTGAACATAAGAGTCTGTCGTTTGGGTTGTACTTGTTTCACAATTTTTCTTATTTGTGGCTCAAAACCCATATCAAGCATGCGGTCAGCCTCATCAAGAACAAGATAAGATACTTGATGTAGGCTCACTCTTCGCATTTCTAAAATGTCATTCAATCTTCCAGGAGTTGCAACCACAATGTCTGCACCACGCTCTAGATCTCTTAGCTGAGGACCTTTAGGAGCACCTCCATATAAACACTTCAAATAAAAAGGTACAATTAGATGACATCAACTTTATAGGACACAAAAACGCATAACAGATGAGTAAAAGATAGGAGGAACGTACAACAGACGATATTCTTGACGATCTCCCAAACTTTTTCGCTTCATCTTGGATTTGTGTTGCCAATTCCCTTGTTGGAGAAAGCACTAATACCGTTGGACCATCCCTTGAATTATGTTGAAGGCGCTTAAGAAGGATAAACCCTGGAATGAGATAACCCAGTGTTTTTCCGGAACCTGTCTTCGCCACAGCTACAATATCACGATTCCTAAGAGCAATTGGCCATGATTGAGCTTGGATAGGAGTTGGTGCAGAGAATCCCGCTTGCTGTACCTACAGAAACACACAGTCCATGACAGAATTGAGTGAAATGTGAATCCGACAGATGTGTAACCATAAGCCTAAATCAGTAAATGTACTAATGAAAAAGGAGACCGAGGTTTCGCATACGATTTTTGAGCTATAGAAAAACCAAATCCAATATCTTGCAGCCAGAGGTCAAAAATAACATATAAGAAAACTATTTCAATACACAGAAGGCTGGACAAGACAACAAACAGGTCAAACCTTGACATAGATTGTTGACTTGAAGAGCCTGCTGAGATGAACATCCAGCGTAGTTATCACATACGTAGTATGAACGCACAATGACCTCCTAATTTCTTTCGAGAAGGATACAAGAAAATGCATTAAATAGTCATGTAAATTGTGTGCACTTACCTCCCTTAGAATCTCTGGAGGGAAACCTGTGGACTGAAATGTCATGAATGGAGCTGGAGCCTCATTTCCCTAGTAAATGAAAGAAATGTATAACTGAGCAACATAGTATGTAGCGCCCAATAGTGATTTAAGAGATTGTAAAAGCAGTTGAACACATACGACAATAGTGATCTCGTGCTTAGCACGATACGCTTCTGGTGAGGTGCGGTCTCCACTGGCAGCCTCTGAAAATACATTCTGTGCAGGGTATACTCCAGCTGCAGAGCACGGCTGGAAAAATAGGAAAACATTTTATTTAATGACATCTAGGAGTGAAACAAAACACTGCAATAATTGTAATCACCCTTTAGGTATGACTGCATATTTGGTTTTTCACTGCATCATTACTCTACTACGCTACCGTACAACTCATTTTGTATTTATGGAAGAATGAACGTTATAAAACGTGTAAGTTGTAACTCGTGTCACCTGCGAAGAAGGGTTGCTCCTAGTATTTTGCTCAGTGAAAGGCACGTTCTGCGCATGACTTCCCGCCGCTTCCGTGCGCCGCTGAAAAATAGAAGCATTAATACGACAAACCGTTGCATAAGCTACCCTATCCATTGCGAATACTGAAGGCAGTTAGTTACACAGGCCAAAAGAAAACCCTAACTTTCTGCTTCTAGTTACCGGCAATCCTATTCTAGACCATATGCCATGATGATGCAAACGCAGTACGGAGCATCGAAATTACTTGATGCAGCAATGCAGCATTAACAGGTGAACGATAGGATAACAACGATAAGCGCACCTCGAAATGATCATTCAAATGATCATTCCTTGCCCTATCATCAGCAGGAGCAGCATTCTGCGTTCGGCTCGCTCCAGCCTGCGCCTGCGACTGAGGAACAACAAATCAATATAAGGAAATCTCCATGCTGACATTTATACCCAGGCAACGAGAGCAACGAGGACGAAATGAATCAAAAAAAAGGAGGGGGGATCATCGATGGGCTACCTCAGCAGGATCGCTGTTCCTAGGCCTCTCCGGAGGCTGCTGCGCCGGGGGGGAGGAGGGCGGCGGCGCCGTGGGGCGGTCGTACTGCACGGCCTTGGTCTCCGGGTTCCAGAAGTAGAGGTACCCGGTGTTGCCGTCGATGAGCCCCCTCCACGGCTTGGGCAGCGTCGGATCTGGCGGCGCGTACCGCGGCCCCCTCGCCGTCGCCGCCGCCGCCGCCGCCGACGCCATCTCCCAACCCAACCCTACCACACCCAAAACCCCCAACCCCAAATCAGATCAAAAAAAAAAAAACAAAAAACGCGACCACGCAATGCAATCGCGAGCAAACGAGCACCACCGAACCGATTAGCTCGTGATGCTCGTCGGTACGGGGGGGATTGGGGAGGAGGACGCGAACCCTAGCGAATGCGGATTGCGGCGGGGGGAGCGGGGAGGGGACGCGAGGAGATGGAGTGAATGAATGGAGCCTTCGCTTTGTTTTGCTCTCTCCTCTTTTTCTTTTTTTGGCGTCGCGTGGTTAAGTAGGGCGCGATGGGGAAAAAATGGAAAGGAGAGGAGAGGAGGCGGAGGGGTCGATGAGAAGAGAAGAATGTGATTATTGCCAAATGCCCAAGTGCGGAGGTGAGAATGGAAAAAGAGGGATGGGGGGAGGACGCGACAGGTGGTGGTGGGATGGGTCATGGGTGTGTAGCCGAGGAGGGCAAAAGGCCCCCGCCCCGTGCCAACTTGGGGGAATGGCAATCAAGTTTTTTTTTTCTACTTCCGGCCCAGCCCACATCACAATCAAGTTTATTTTTTTTTAAAAAAGAAAAATTGCTACGGTACTGAAAGTTTACTGTCTTTACTGCTAGAAAAAATACCGTAAAAATATGGTAATTAGCTGGAAAAAACTTATGTGTCTCTAAAAAACAAGCGGTTGTTAGATCATCGGGTAAAACATTAAGTTATAAATGATGAAAAAAAATCAGCAAATGAAACATTTTAAAAATTGTGACACCGTTCACGTGCACACTCACCCTTATCAATGCACAACCTACCCCTATAGGTATCTCTGAGAGACTAGACCATTATATTTTAATATTAACATAGTTAACACAAACACCTCACTGTTAATGGGTACGTCGTCTACCACTAAAAGAATAAATAACCAAAAATACGAACACTCTGCCAAGTTATTGCAACAAGGTTTGAATCCATATAATTTTTGCGTAGCATTAGCTTAAGCATTATACTCTGCTCTTGGACTTGACCTTGATACTGATGCATGTTTTCTGGCTATCCAATAGACAAAATTAGTACCCAGAAATATAGAAAAATTTCTAGCTGATGACGATCATCTAGGCAACCAACCCAGCCTGCATCGGAAAAACCACCCCAGCCTGCATCGGAAAAACCACCGACAAACAAGGATGACAGTCTTACTGATTTTAAGGCCCATTTTAGCAGTGTATTTGAGACTTAAAATTTTATTTCCCACTACCTAAAGCACTACTGTAGGTGCATGCAGAAACTGACCTACTTCCTTTGTGCCAAAATATACTCCCTTCATTTATTTTATAAGTTATTTTGATTTTTTTTCTAATCAAACTTATTTAAATTTAGCTAAGATTATAGAAAAATATAATAACATTTTCAACGGGGGAAGGTGATGGACCGCCTGCTGCCCCGATTCAGTCCTGATCACAGGGGGATTTCGCTGTGTCTGCCGCATGAGATGGACCTGGTGGATTTCTTTGTGCTCCAGCTTGGGTGGTCTATGCAGAGGATATTTACACAGGAGTATGTATGCTGTGGTAAGATATGTTCTAGACCATGAACCTAATTGCGGCCATGCTGATGATCTCATTCCGTAAAGTAAGCCGATCTGACTACAAACTCTTATCAACAATGAGATGTTGAAAGCAGTCGCTCCTATCTATTTACCTGCAATGGTTTCTATCATAATGTTTAACTCAGCGCAAATAGCAACTCTTGTCTCCACCGGTGGTGTACAGGAAAATGCTTGATTTTGCAATGATCCTGTAGCAAGTTTAACTTGTACTCCGTAGCATATGGTTCAGAGTTCAACTGCTAGAAAGCAACAACAATGTCAAAGTAGTATATACTTCTCTATCGACACACATCACATTAATGTCCATGAGTTAGTGTTACAAATTTCTCTCTGGCTTTGCTTTCTTTGACAATTCGACAAAGCGTCTAAATCTCGACCTTTCTCACATTACAACAACCACAACCTTGTATTAAGCAAGTACAACTGGCCGCCATTCAAAAACAAGTATGGCAGGCCGAACCCTCCAAGTTACCTCAAAGTTACCTCATCATCATCAAGCCTACAACTATGTTACTATTATTAAAAACATTTGTGCTAGTCATACAGCCCCTCTTGTTCCCAGATGTCCACAAGAAAATCAACCATCTCCTGCAAATTCATGATATAGTTATAAGCACTTGCCTCAAATGGGTAAATTTAACAGCAGTACATCTTACATGTAGAGGGATGGGCTGATGAAACGGCTTATTGGATCCAAGCAAACTCTCATAGGCTGCATTCCAACTATACAAGTAAATGTTTAGGTGAGCATGAAGCTTCAGGTTCAGCATGCATTATACTAAATTAAACACAGTAAGAAGCATTTGAATCCAACATCAATTTGAACAAAAGGAATGGTAGAAGAACAAGAAAAAGTATCCAGTTTATGTTTTGACTTTTAAGTGCGTGTTTTCAGAATCTTTTGTGAAAGATCAACAGCAGCTACCGAATTTGATGATATGTACTTATTATATTGTTTGTAAAAGGAATACCGGACTACACAGGGAAAAAAAATTATACATTAAGGACAGGATGCAAAAACAATGTGATATAGAACTTCAGAATTCATAACACATAATTCATGTAGAAATAAATAAATTGCTGTTGCATGGGCACATGCACCATAATACATATGGGTTAGGATAGGAAAAGAATTGATAAAGTAAAACTTTCATAATCGAGTATCGTTTGAAAAGACAGGAAAAAGTGAAAGAACCCAGCATAACAGAAATCACATTGATCAAAACAACCACCCCAGACTAATCTCAAACTTTGGAACAACAAACTCTAGTTTTCTATGGACTAGGTTGGATTCTGGAAAATATATATTGTCTAGCCCTTTTCTGCATATAAATAGGGAATCTCAAGTTCTTACCTCAATATTGGTTCGCGAATCTGTTTCGTCTCAGGTATTTGCCTTGTTTTCGCAGTCCAGTCCTTCCTAATCTCCTTCCAAAGAACAAGACCTGTAATAATATTTCAAACTGAGTGTGTTAACATGACAACTTGAACTTCTATATCTGTTTGTTGCTTAGCAAGAAAATCACTGTTCTGATGAGGCAATATGTTTATATTCAAATTCTCTGCAGATCAAATCTAGTACTCCCTCTGTTTACAAATACTTGGTTTTGACTAAGAGCATATGAACTTTTTACTGTTAAATTTTCAAGCAACCTCAAAATGAATAGGTTTATATGTAAGATATTACTACAGTACTTTGGATTATAAATCTAACAATACAACTTTGATGCTAAATACTTCTATTGTTTAGAAAATATTATTGGTCCAAGCTTGATAACTCGAAGTCAAAACCAACAGCTATTTTTTTAACAGAGGAAGTAGCAAAGTATACCAGATATTGTGCAAGATGGCGATGTGGACATGATGTTGCTGAATATGTATTAATTTTGATGAGAAACATAAAACAAACAGGACATAGTAAACCAAATACATTGATCATGATAGGCCAATAGGTACCCAATAAGTTCCAGAAATAGTGAGGTCATCTCAAGCCTTGGAAATTTTTAACACTTTATAGGCGAGCTAAGACCATGGATATCTATTTCAGGCGAAAGCACAAAACATAAGGATAATAGAGGCTGGTTGATTGGAAGGAAAATGTTTTACTCTATACACTTAAACAGGTTCCTTTGCTACATCTAAATTTCATTCCCACAACCAGGACATAAATAAATACCTAATTCCACCTAATATTGAAAGATGCCTAGTCAATGCCAATGGCAATGTGCACATGTAGCAAAAACATTCCATTTTAGCAAATATGACAACATAATTGGAAAAAGGAATTACCATGATTGACAAATTCAGTAGGGCCCTGACTGCTCCCCACTCCTTGCTGATCAAGAGCCCATGACTGTTCGACCTCGATGGTGGTTGTGCTCCAGAGTTCGTCCCCAATGGTGTAATTTTGGTCCGGAGTAATTAAACTCTTTGAAAGCTGTCCTACATGTCTCACAGCCTTATCACAGCATCCAAAACAGCCTCTGCTCTGTTCGCAAGGAGTTTAACCATGTCGACAATTAGCATCGAACAAAAACAATCAATGCAAATCTAGAAATCAAGAAACAACTGCAAACAAGAAATAGCCCAGCTAGACCAACTGACAATGCCCCTTCTACTGCCACAAGTAGTAGGAGAAATCAAGCAAGATTCCATTAATTAACACATCTATCATACAATCCGTGAGACCACATAAATACATAATATGCAAACAAAACAAGCAATCAACATTCGGTAAAAAAAAAACAATATGCCTACGACTTTGATTAACTCGCAATCCCCGCATAATTACGCCGATCTCCACAGTATGCAAGTATACGCAAGCAACAACGCAGTGGACTCAACTCGCTTAGGGCTCCTAGCCGGACAAAAAAAAAAGGGTAAGAACTCAATCGAGATAGGGTAGGGGGACCGACCCGGAGCAGATGAAGAGGCAGGCGGAGGAGAGGAGCTTCGGGATGCTCCTCCAGTCCCACCCCTCCCCCAAGTCAACACCCCAGTCCCCGACCCTCGACGCCGATCCGCCCTCGCCTCCGCCACCGCCACCGCCACCGCCACCGAGGGCCGCCATGGCGCGCGCCGCATCCACTCGCTGGCTCGATTTCGTCGCTACGAGGCGCCGCTCGCCATGGGGGGATCCCGACCGAGTCGAATCGAATCGAGTGGGGGAATTGGGCGCGGGTGGCGATTGATGGGGAAATTTGGGATAAGGGGAGAGAGGAGGAAGATGGTGAGAGGGAGATGGCGGAGATTGCACGGATTTGACAGAGTGCGCTGCGCTGCCTTTCCTCACCTCGCTTCCCCTTCGTTTTTCTTTCTTTCCTCTCGCTTTCCGCAATCCAACGACAGTTTAAGGTCTTTAAATGCACTGTTGGGTCCCACCATTGGGAGGGCGGGGGGGGGGGGGGGGGGGTGGGGAACCAAACCAACCAACCAACCACAGCGAGGCAGGTCAGTGCAGGACTCCAAGCGTCCAACCCCCCCCCCCCCCCCCCCCAACGATTAAAGATTTTGGCTGGGATGTGATTTTTTTTATTTTTTTTACTTTATCTATAGAAGTAAATTTTAAAAATGTGGCTTTTAACTATTTGCCACTTTTAAATTTGGTAAATAACTATTTGCCACCCCTATCTCAATGACATGTGAGTCCACATGTGTCTATAACATGTGGGTCCAGTGGCAAAAAGTTAATTGCCACATCTAAATGTGGCAAATGGTTAAATATCTCTTTAAAAATAGGCTATTCCAAAAATTATTTTCAGAACCTAAACCTTTTGATTATGCTAGCTCGTCTGACGTGACAAAACAATACTGACACGCCACACAGTGGGGTGACAATTTTGTCTGCCACGCATGGCCAAATAACACTGTCATGCCAGCCAGACAGCGTGATAGTGTTTGTTTTTCCAAACCAGTCCGGCCGATGTGACCAAAAAGTTCAAATCTTGAATAAGTTTTGAAAAGAGCCTATTTTTAAAAATAAAAATTTAAAAAGTTCAAAAAAACAAAAAAAAAGATGTTGGGCTCTCAAAAGGAGAGGAAATGAAATGAGTTCATATATCCCTGAATTGATGGAAATTTGTAGGAATTCAATCCGAAGGAAAGTTTCCTGCAACAGCTTTTTTTATTTAGAGAGAGAGAGAGAGAAAGATGCAACAGCTTTTTTTAGATAGTGAAAATGGTGTAAAGGAAAAATGAAAACTTGCTCCATGTGTTTGGAGGGGTTGCAAAGGATAGGTGAATTTCTTTGTATTTTGGAGTATCTCTACCGAAAATACTATGCATACGATCTATTTGTACAATCATTGTACAATTGCTAACAGATGATGAATGCCATGTGTTGCTTCGTTAGAAACAGCCAGAAAATACCATGGGATTTAGCTGGCACACGTTACGTCGTACAAGTATCGTACGTATAGCAGCTACTGTAGCAAGTAAATTGCAAAGGATAGGTGGAATATTCTGGGGGATTTCTAGCAAAGTAATAGCACATAGTCTAGTCACCATGTTTACAAAATCCTATCAGAATACCCATGCACTTCTTCTATTTCTCTCTAATAAAATAGTTCCTATCAAAATTTCCATGCATTTCCTCTGTTTTCTATTAATATTATATCTTGAGTCATGTGTTCCAAACGAGCCATAAACAATCACACCATCATAGTGAGAAACAAAGCAGGCCAAACACAGCATATGGGCTGGGAGCTTGTCCTCTGAAGTCTGAATCAACGAAACGATAGATCCGTTTCCTGAAGAACGATGATAAACTGGTAATGCCACAAACTGCATCAAGAATCAAGTTCAGATGAACACACGGTTAACCAGTATCAACAACGCTAAACAGTAGTGCAAAGTACAATCATGCCAATTACTTAGTAGTTCCCAACTTCCCATCTTACAAACGGCATCACAACTTCACAAGCATCATTGCATCCCCGATCTTCTTCCCAACTCAACCATGCACAGATACTGCACTTATTACTTTATGATTCACAACTGTAACAACTGCTATTCTGAAGAAATTCTGAACAACGGCCATACCATCTCGCCACCAAACTGAAGAAGTACAGAAGGACTGACAGGAGAAGCCAGCAGATTGTAGTGTAGTGCTTCCTCGTCTATGAGGTGAGGATGGGGGGCATGTAATCCGACTTGGCGCCGAGGACGCGGGCCCGTGTGTCAGGAAAGTACTCCATCCCGGGCAGCTCAGTCACCACACCATCGCTGGCGACGCCAATGGGGTAGCTGAGGAGGTGGCCAGGGAGGTCCTGCTGGAGGTCGTCGCTGGAGTACATGTCCCAGTACTTCTCCGCGATCCTGTTCACCTTCTGCACACACTCCAGGCTCTCGGGGCGCTGGAACACATCATCCAGCATTCCCAGGTGCTCGTACCACAGCGCCATCCGGAAGCCATGGATCTGGCCACGGGCTGGTTGCCTGGTCGCCAGATGGTATGGCTGGTACCCGCCCATGGCGATCTCAGAGTCCCTAGCGCCGTCCATCGACCTCTGGTTGATGTTTGCAGAACCGATGATGATGTACTCATCGTCAACTGAAAATGGAAGAAATGAAGTTACTAGCTTGAACAATAAGTGTATATTTTTGATAGAAAAAAGAAACCGAATAAGGAGATGAAGTTACTAGCTTGATCATTAGAGGATCTTGTTTATTTCTTTTGTTAAAAGGATTTTCATCTTTTTAGAACGACAGAATGCAACAGTAAAATCAGCTAAATAACCTACAATACGACATTATTTCTTTAAAAATAAAAACCTGTATTAAACAGAAACAGATTTAGAGAGCAGAAGACAATTCTGTCTAAAAAGATGTTACTTTAAGAGTAAAGGGAAGCATGACTTCAACTTAGAGCTTGACATATGCAATGCATATAAACTAATAAATAGACAAATGCAATACTTGGTAAAAAAAATTAACAAATGCTACATAAGTATGTAACTCATCTGACATGCTTTAAATGAACAAAAATTGCATAGTGAATGCAAATATGTAATATAAAGCTCACTCGGTACCTATCATCATTTTGGTGTGGACATAGATCATGAACCTCCTAGCTTCCTGAGCTCGGCTGTAATCAGTGTCAGCTTCTGGTTGTTCTTCAGGCTGATATTCCCCAGCCTGCTTCACCTCACGGTTACCCAAGCAGAAGAAAGTGAGGTAGTCCTTGGGGTTCGCTTCAATTCCCTTGGCTTGGAGAGCCTCTGTAATGTCAGTGTACATCATCTCCATTGTTCTCCTTTGCCAGTCCAGGATTGCCTGAACAGATCCACTCTCTGGAACACCCTCAGGCCACATTGGCACCACAACATAAACAGTGAACCGTTCCCCGGCTTCAATCTTACTGACAACTTTCAGTGCAAGCTCCTTAGGAATCAAATGCAGGGCACCAATGTCTTCAGGCTTGATGCCCTCGGGTTTCCAGGCATAGGAACTTCCAAGGAAGTATTGGTTCTCTATATAGATGAAGTTCTTTGCCCTCCGGATGGCATGTATGTATGCATCCTGGATGCTCCTGTCAATGATTTGATCCTTTCCGCTTACAAGCCCAGCTTTTGCAGCCTCCTCAGGGGTATCAGGGAACCCAAAAGCAGCACCACCATCAATGGATCTAAATAGCTGAACATTCCATGTTTCTCTGTCCTCTGGAAACATAACAGGAGAAGGTGGAATAATAGTGTCAGACAGATCCCTGAGCTGCAGAAGGAGATCCTTACCACCCTGCTTTCTCCATCTCTGCTCGAAATTGTAAAGAACATCCCATGCGATTGGCCCTTCCAGCCGTGAGTGAATATCATGCCATGGCTCTCTAGGTCCACCCTTTTTGATTGATGCAGTGGCAAAGTTTGGCTGGTGGAAGTCATCATGATGGGTACTGTCGAGTGTCCTAAACAAAGAATGGTACTGAGTGTCATACCTTCCATCACAGAGATCAAGGCCACCAACGAAACTGACTATCCTCCTTTGTTGGGAGCCCTGGTTTGGCAACTCATGGTCAACAACTACTATCTTCTGATGGTGTGTAAACATAGTTGAGATCGACAGATCCTGAACAATGCTGCCTGAGTCATCAGGGTTGCGAGGGCATAGAACACAGTTCACGTCAGAGCCATGGAAGTAATTTTCAGTTTCCTCATCATGTGTTGCCATCAAGCCATCCCTCTTTAGCAAACCAACTGAAGTCCTGTCATCCCACACAAGCATGAGGACCCGAACACCTTCACTGGCCTTCTTCTTGAGCAACTCCCCAAGGGTGACATCCCCTCCAGGTTTTGGACGATTGGAGTCCCTAACCAAGGTGATCTCAGTGTATACAGACCAGCCAGTGATGTAAATCAAATGTTGAGCATTGCTTATAGCATCAAAGATATCCTCCCAGCATCTGTGGGGTTCATAATTCTTGCCATCGGCAAGCGGAATCTTTGGAATGAAGTTGTCTGGGACATGAGCATCTTGGTACAAGGTAACTTTGCACCCTTGCCTCTGAGAGAAGAAGGTGTAAGGAACACCTGGATACTTGGTACTGCGGACACCCCTCGCCCAATTGCGATCCTTGGAAACATCGAAGTACTGAAGCTTCACATGGATCTTGCTCTCACCAACAGGCTCGCGGTTATTATCACAGATATCGAGCCATCTGTCAATCTCCTCTCCATTGAGAAGCTCTTGGACAGGCAGGTAAGCCCTCCCAATATTCGTTGCCCCAATAGGGTTATCAATCTTGACAGTGAAGATCACATTGGAAGCCATATGAGCGCAATAGATGTGGAACGACTCATACCAGCGAGGGTTGATGGGCTCATTGGTTATCATCCTAGTTCGCCCTACACGAGCTTTCTCCAGATCAATGGTAGAATACACCTTGGTGGCGCCTTTGCCGACACCCACAGTGTCCTCAATCCCCTCCACAAACTGTTGACATGAGCTCACGTGTTAGATCAAGAACAACAAAGAAGAAGACATTGCATTTCAGGTGATACAGACACACATAGCATACAGCAATAGATTTGTAGTAGGTCAGTTAATAAATAAATAAAAACTCTATCAAATCAAGATTTTTGGTGACACAAGCACACATCACACACAGAGAACTCTACATTTTTAGTAGGTCAGTTAATAAATAAAATTTCAGTTTTAGCTAATGAAGATTTTTGGTGACACAAACACACACCACATCACACACAGCAAACTCTAGATTCAAAGAAGTACTTGGGTCAAACAAGAAATGGCCAAGCATAATAGACCAATCTTGATAGAAAGTATCTCCAATTCTTGTCTACTACCTCTTTATTTTTCCTAATAATCCAGAATTTCCAGATCGTTTCAGTGTATCTGACTGTACTGTGCACTAGCAGATCAAATTCGGGCTCATGCAAACGCACACACAAGAAAGGGACAAAAAAGAAAAAGAGCAAGAGCAAAGACGAGTAGATTAAGGAGAAGGGTCCGAACCTTGCGGATGAACTTGGGGGCGCTTCCGCTGGCGCGGTGCGGGTTGGAGAGCGACGCCGCCTCGAAGATGGTGGCGTGCAGCGTCCCATGGAGCAGCATCTGCGCCATGGCTGCTGATTTGGATTTGGCTCCCTCCTCGCCCTACCTGCGCCCCCCCACACACACAATCAGATCGAACTTGAGGAAGGAAGACGAAGCAGCGACACTCGCAGCACAGAGTAGGGTTCTAGCGAAGCAAGCAAGCAAGCAGATCTGAGCGGAGAAGAAGCAAGCGAGCAAGAAGCTCTAGTGCGCTTAGCCTAAGCACACTGGGCTTACCGGGTGGTGATCGGCGGAGGGAGGCGTCTTCTCCGGGAAGGGAGAGGAGGATGGCGATGGCGAGAGCCGAGATGGGGAGAGTAGAAGAAGAAGGGGAGCAGATTGGATCGAGCGAGATTATAAAATTGCGGGAGAAGAGAGACTGTCCCGATCTGGATGCCGGCGATTTTTCTACTGAAACTTGCCCTGTGTGCGTGCGTGCACGTCGTTCCCGGTTTCCCACCACGCGTCGTGGCCACGGATCTCGAGCCGGGAGGAGGAGGAGGCGAGGTTAAAAACGGGTAGAAGTATCTGTCCGTCGCGGTTACTCCATGACCGCGACGTCGCGTCGCGGAGCCAGCGCCCGCGTCGTCCGCGCGTCTAGAAGAGCGCGGGGGCGTCGTCGTCCCGAGGTCGGTCCAAGTGGCGGTGGGGGCTTGACTTCCTCGGATCGGTTCGCTGGCTTCGCGGGCGTCGAGAAGGGAGAACATGGGTGGAGTCAAGCGCGTGCGTGGGCGGTGGGCGGGCGCGCTGTGCCGACGTCGCCGGCGGCGTGGACTCCAGGTGTTCGACGAAATGTGCAGCCCCACGAAACTGGCTGATGCATAGCTTATCCGGTTGGGATCACCAAGGTGAGGCTCGCCACCTCACTCGCTGTCATTTTCGTACGTGCACTTGCGCTTCCATTTGAGTTATTGATGAATCGCGACGCGCCACCTAAGTTGTTTTGAGCTCGTTGGGACATCCATCTGAACAGTATGTTGCAGTTGCACTAGCATCAACCGTCGGTCACATGAACGTAACTGTCAAATTATGTCCGAGCCTGCATTACCAGCTGTCTTGGATATGCCTACTGAAAGAGCCAGAGGGTAAGAGATAAAGGGTGTGTTTAGTTGGGGAAAAGAAAATTTTTGGGTGTCATATCGAACGTTTGACCGGATGTCGGAAGGGGTTTTCGGACACGAATGAAAAAACTAATTTCAGAACTCGCCTGGAAACTGCGAGACGAATCTTTTGAGACTAATTAAGCCGTCATTAGCACATGTGGGTTACTGTAGCACTTATGGCTAATCACGGACTAATTAGGCTTAAAAGATTCGTCTCGCGATTTCCTCCATAACTGTGCAATTAGTTTTTCTTTTTATCTATATTTAATGCTTCATGCATGTGTCCAAAGATTCGATGTGATGTTTTTGGGAAAAAAATTGGGGAACTAAACGGGCCCAAAGGTTGTGTTTAGTTCAGCGCAAAGTTTGATTTTGGTTGAAATTGGGGATGATGTGACTGAAAAGTTATGTGTATATGACAAGTTGATGTGATGGAAAATGACTGAAGTTTGGATCCAAATATTGGATCTAAACACAACCAAACATATTATACTACCTAGTCTACGTCCCAAAAAAAACATATTATACTACCTCCAGCCATAAATATTTGACATTTAAAATCAAACTTTCAAAGTTCTAACCATTAGTTTTATATTAAACTCCCTCCATCCTAAAATATAAGAACCTAGTACCGGATGAGACATTTCCTAGTACTATGAATCTAGACATGTGTTCAGATTCGTAGTACTAGGAAATGTTCCATCCAGTCATAAGGTTCTTATATTTTAGAACGGATAGAGTAATAAGTTTATAATATTATAATACTATTTTACGAGACAAATCTATGTACACCCTTGATTTTGTTTTTAAACTAAGCATTTGTAAAGTATTGATGTTTGGAATTTAAAAGCCGGACAAAGTTGTGCGGTAAAGAGAAACGACCAGGGGTCTTCCGACTAGCTCCACAAGGTGATGAGCTAGACGGCCTAGGTTTGAAGCCTCACACCTCCTAATTATTTGATATTAGGTCATTCCCTAATATTCGTGCTAAATATCTATGACCAAAGGGAGTACAAAGCATTATGATTGGGAATATTTGGGAACTGTTGTGCAGGTGTAACCGTGTATACACACTAGCAGTTGCATAGGTCCTTCCCTAATATTCGCGCTAAATGTTAAATATCTATGACCAAAGGGAGTACAAAATATTACGAGCGTTTTTTAGTTTGTGCGCTAAATGTTAATTATCTATGACCAAAGGGAGTACAAAGTATTATGACTGGGAATATTTGGGAACTGCCGTGGAGGTGTAACCATGTATACACACCAGTAGTGCCATCGGTTGAATAAGATCAGGTTCAGGTCAGCTAGTTTTCCTCATCTATCTTCAAATCGATGCACCCGTCAGTGCTGTAAGACAAACAACAACAACAACTAGTGTTTTCTTATCTTTATATTGTACTTATCACTTAATGTTGCGAGTCTTAGGACGTTAATACCTTTTTCCTTATCGCTTCCGCAAGAAGCACGTGTAATTCATTGTGGTCTATGTGAAGTGTTTTATATGTCTGTAGTGGCAGTCCAAACATATCAAATTTATTGGGCTCAGTTCGTTTGTGATGGTTCCCAACCTCCCTTCTCGATTTCCGTACGCACGCTTTTCAAACTACTATTTCGGTGCGTTTTTTGCGAAATGTTTCTATATGAAAGTTGTTTAAAAAAATCATATTGTTCCATTTTTTTAAAAAAAATTAGCTAATACTTAATTAATCACACCACTTATGAACCTTTGTCGCCAACTGTTAGTCATGTTCTTCACGTGTTACCGGCTTACAGCACACATCTCTTTTGTGGTTCCCGTATTCTTCTCAAGCAAACACTGAAAACACTACTCCACTATATGTCAGTAGGTCGCACATTTACAACACATTAGTTAATTTCGTGGATGAGGTTTAGTAATTATTCTCTGGATGGATATATCTAAAAGCTATTTTTTCTCAAGTCCAATTATCACATAGCTAAAAGTTCAGTTGCCTAACTTTCTATAGAGTGCGTTCTTCAACAATGAACACTTGTTTTTTCTTTGAAGAATCTCGAGATATATTTTAAGCAGTACATGTTAGAAATATTAGGTCAATAGCATGACTATCTTTCTGAAATTGGGGATAATTCAATGGCAAACCATGAGAATAAGATGTTAGCCATTTGGTACCAATGCTATTGATAACTGCGAAGATTTGATGTAATCATGTAGACTACCATCTCCATAAAACGAAGCATGCTTATTTTGGAGAACTATGTTCATGCGTCCTTCTGCAACAGTATGGTGGAGCATGTGGCTTGGCTACGCGCAACATGATATCTATCAGTGGAGGATTGAGTAGCTGCAGCCATCTTACATGGAGGAACTAACATTGAAAGCAACACATGCGATTCATACATGAAGCCTCCCATTTTGACACTGTAATTCTTGTGCAATTTGATGATCAGATAAAATATAAATTTATATGCAAATTGATATGCTAGCTGTAATCCACATATTTCAGTAGTGCATGATCCACTTGCTATTCCACTAAGATTGCAAAAACACTGAGCAATCGGGGGATAGCAGAAGTTGAGAGCCCCTATATAATGAACAATAAGGCCACAGGGTTGCCACAATTAGAGAAGTTCTTGTTAACTCCGATTGAGACCATGGCAATATCAGAAATGTCAGCTCTTTTCTTTCTATTTAGTGCTTTGCTAAGAAGTTCTTTGGTCCACAGTCAAGGATTGCAGATAGGGTTTTATGATAATAATTGCCCTGATGCTGAGGACATAGTCAGGTCTACCGTCGAAAAGTATTACAACAATGATGCAACCATAGCCCCAGGCTTGCTCAGGCTACATTTCCATGACTGTTTTGTTCAAGTTAGTTTCCTTCATCCATATAGTGTTAATCTGGATCTCATGTTTTTATGCCTGACATTTGTTTCTACCTGTTTTGTAGGGATGTGATGCGTCAGTTTTGATTTCAGGTGCATCCTCTGAGAGGACTGCACCACAGAATTTTGGTATCAGGGGGTTTGAAGTGATAGATGATGCTAAGTCCCAGTTGGAAGCCGTATGCTCCGGGGTGGTATCCTGTGCTGATATATTGGCTCTCGCTGCACGCGATGCCGTTGATTTGGTGAGAAACTCAGCTCCTGTGCAGAATTCCTGCTGAGAACTGTCGATTACCTTTTGATTAATTCAGACCTTAATAACTGAATTTCTTGTTTTGTACTTACTGCAAGACCGGTGGGCCAAGCTGGTCAGTCCCACTGGGACGGAGAGATGGAAGAATTTCATCAGCTTCAGATGCCAAAGCCTTGCCGTCTCCGGCTGATCCTGTATCTGTTCAGAGGCAAAAATTTGCAGCTCAAGGCCTGACGGACCGTGAGCTCGTAACACTAGTTGGTAAATCTTCCTCCATTCTTGCTTAATCATGCCCGATACACACAATTATATTTATCAATCAGTGAACAATTTGTGTCTCATTTTGTCATGAGCCAAACTCAGCCCTCCATTTGAAACAGATTATTAATCGGATGATTGCTGTGGATTATCTACTTGATTATGGTGATAAACAAAATATTTAAGAAATAAACTTAACATGTAACTTAGAATAAATAAATGGTCTATACAGTACTCCATCCGTTTTAGATTATAAGTCATTTAACTTTGGTCAAAGTCAAACTACTTTAAGATTTGACTAAGTTTATAAGAAAAATAATAACATACTCAACACAAGATAAAAATATTATAAAAATATATTCATCTATAGATTTAATAAAACAAATTTGTTATTGTAGATATTAATATATTTGTTTGTAAATTTGGTCAAACTTAATGTAGTTTAACTTTGACTAAAGTTAAAACGACTTATAATCAAACGGAGGTAATACAATATAATAAACTTATTTTAAGCAAACATATTTTTAGTGGCATGGAGCCTATAATTCGATGAAGTAGGTTTATACTCCACTGCTAATGCTAACCCTGTGTGTGGTTCACTGATCTCTGTAACTGTAGGTGCTCACACCATCGGGCAGACGGACTGCATCTTTTTCCGGTACCGGCTCTACAACTTCACGGCGACGGGGAACGCGGACCCGACGATCAGCCCGTCGGCGCTGCCGCAGCTGCGGGCGCTGTGCCCGCCCGCCGGCGACGGCTCCCGGCGCGTGGCGCTGGACCTGGGCAGCCCGGGGGCGTTCGACGTGAGCTTCTTCAAGAACGTCAGGGACGGCGGCGCCGTGCTGGAGTCCGACCAGCGGCTGTGGGGCGACGCCGCGACGCAGGCCGCCGTGCAGAGCTTCGCCGGCAACGTCAGGGGGCTCTTCGGCCTCCGGTTCAGCTACGAGTTCCCCAAGGCCATGGTCAGGATGAGCAGCATCGCCGTCAAGACCGGCAGCCAGGGCGAGATCAGGAGGAAGTGCTCCAAGTTCAACTAGGTGCAGTAGCCCAGTCGACAGTGAATTTTGTGATCGATCGAGTCACCTGTCCTGAATGATATTGATATATGTACACATGCTGTTCTTCTCCCAGTACTTCTGCATGCCAGGGCTTGAAGGCTTGCGTGCATGACGTGCATGTGTTCGAGAACCCTGTAATTGATTAGTGTGCACTGATGCAGTATTTTGGCTGGGGAAGTATGGTTGAGAATTTGAGATGCAGGTTTAACTGCATTTTTTTAAGACAATGAAATAACATCATGTGTTTGCTTCAAGAGAAGCTACAACCACCCATTATAAACATAATTAGCTCAACATAGAGTTGTTAAAAAAGTCTAGAAACTACAACACAAAATAAGAAATACATCTTAGGTTGAACTGCATGGGTTTTTGTTTTTTTTACCTATGCCTTGATCATTTCGCTTATGCATATGTTACCCGTACTGCTTATTAGCAATTAAAAAATAATTTATGAGTAAAACTTTTATATGTATGTCCTTAAATTTTATATAAAATAAACCATAATGAAAAAAAAACCACGAAATCAACTTTGAAATTTAAATTTAATTTTTGATTTATAAGCACAAGCGAAACGATGGTCCGTTACTTTTACCATGAAGTATAGGATAGAGAGTAATCAGTGGCAGAGGCAGCATGGGGGCTGGGGGGGGGGTCCTTAGACCTCCCTACCCCCTAATAAACCATTAGAGCCCCCATTAAGACCCCCCTAAAATTTAATTCCATATATCTATTGCAAGTGGGCTAAAATAGATTTTGTCTGAGATAGTTAGAAGACCCAGAAGGCTGTGGAGCCCTCACTATAATTTTATTCTGGTTCCGCTGAGAGTAATACATGATAGGATGAGTTTATTATTTGTGTTAGTTGATGGAGGGGACAGATGGTTAATTGGCGAAAAGGATAGCATTTGACACAAATGACAGGTCCTTGCCAGTCAGGTTGGATAACCCAATCACTCCATCAGTACTACTAGTGAATTGTGTTGTTGACTTGTTGGAAACATGGGAATAAAAGTTGTGAAACAGTGACATCACACAAGGGCATTTGGTCTAGTGGTATGATTCTCGCTTAGGGTGCGAGAGGTCCCGAGTTCAATTCTCGGAATGCCCCCGTAAATTCGTCATTTTTTTTAACCTTTTCCTATACGTCTCATTTCTTACCTTTACCATATACAGTGTCTTCAATTTTTTTTTTTGGTCTCGTTTCATATTTTACCTTTTCCCTATACAATTTCTTCCAATCCAAAAGGCATCTGTTGCATCATGCAAGTGTTTCGACTTGGAACCATTCGTTTTCGTGGATACGGACGCATATAATCAAATCCCATAACAATCAATCATGCTGTGCCTGTGCTTAACGAGGACAATGACGCTATTTATTACTCGTGGAACACGAACCACCACGAACCTGTTTTGCATTTGACAAATGCCACACACTCCGCGTTGCACTCTCAGTACTACGGACACATCACGTAGTAGGCCCCACTGTCGGCCACCCCACTCCCCGCCGTCCTCCTCCGATACTTAAAAACCGATGTCTTTTCTTTTCGAACATATCTAAGATTATACATAATTAAACAGGAAAAAAATCCACCTCCCTTCATTTTTTTATTTTAATGACTCTTTTAAAGAAAAAAGAAATCTACATTACATAATTAAATAAAAAAATTGTTATATATACGATCCAAACTATCCAACTCACGTACGACTGAATTTGATCAATGGTTGTAAACGGTTGCACTGCACATGAATATGTTTTTTTTATTGATCTATGGTTATATATCTCTAGTTTTATACGAATTGTATAACTGCACAGTACGTACAGCGATACTCTTATCTTTTTTTAAAAAAATGTTTCCTCTCCTCTCTATTTTTTTTTAAAAAAAATCTGCTGCCCTTGCTGCTTGCGCTAATCTCCCCGCATCAAAGAAAAAATTGATCTGACACTTGGCAGTTGAGCTTCTGATCCAGTAATCAGTACTGATCATCTCTCCGACTCACCAGTCACCACCACTTGTCCGGTCAACTCTCCAGTGACCTCGCCATCTCCTCAGCCATGGCTCGCCGTCGCCCACCACCGCAGCGCCACCACCACCTCGTCCTGCTCGCCCTCGCCGCCTTCTCCTGCCTCGCCTCCGGGACAGCGACGCCGACGCCGACGACTTCCTCCCAATCCCAGCAGCCTCAGCCAGCCGGCACGCTCCTCCAGCCCGCTCTCGCCGCGGACCTCGCGGCGCGGACGTGCTGGTACACGGTGCAGATCAAGACGAGCTGCGCGTCGCCGTGGCGCACGTCGGACGCGGTCAGCCTCGCGTTCGGGGACGCCTACCGCAACGAGGTCTACGCGGCGCGGCTGGCCGGCTCCTCCTCCTCGCCGCAGCCGTCGTCGTCGGCCGCGTTCGAGCGGTGCGCCACCGACACGTTCCGCGTGGGGGGCCCCTGCGGCTACGGCGTCTGCTACCTCTACCTCCGCCGCTCCGGCCGCGACGGCTGGACGCCGCAGTGGGTCAGGGTCTACGAGCCCACCTCCGACACCCCCTCCACCTTCTACTACGGCGACCCCCTCCCCAACGCCGTCTGGTACGGCTTCAACCGCTGCCCCCGCCTCGCCGCCTCCGCCGCGGCGCAGTGATGGTTTGCGACGTCGCCGGCGAGATGAGCATGATTCGACGACGAGCACGTAATTTACGGTTGGGTTAATGGTTGCGTGATGTGTTACGATGTAATGTATGATTCGGGTTGTGTGTGTTGTAAATTTGCAATAATCCAGAGATTTATCTTTTGAGTAATTAATAAGAACAGATCAGATTCTGATTCTGATCTGTATGTTTGTTAAAAGATACTACATTTTTGGTTTCAATTCTTTTGATTTCAGTGTGTTAAGCATAGTTTCATTTCGGTAAGGACTAAGGATTGCTGCTAAATCACGGCTAATGTTTTGCTCATCTTTCGATCAGCATCGAGATTTGTGCTTTAGTAAGCTCGTCGCGTTCCTCCGTAGTCAGGTCACCGGAAACGAGGAAGAATGATGACGACAATGGCTGGATCAACACCGAGATTAATGATTGGTACCTCTGAACTCCTCCCGGTTTAGGTGGATGAGTCTCCACTGCAGTACTGTCCTCTGACGTGGGTCATAGGCCTGCTGGTGGATGTGGGGTTTACATGTCAGCCACTCAAAGTTAGACCGTTAGATGTGGGTCTCACATGTCAGTCGCTCAAAGTCAGAGGATAGTGCTGCAGAGAATTTGTTTCCGGTTCAGATGACAATGCCAAAAGGATGAAACCTTAATGGGAGGGGATAACCTGGGTACAGGACTAGAGGAAATCGCTCTTATCCCCCAAAAAAGAAGTGAGCTTTTAGCTCATACCAAAAACAGCACTGTAAATCTTTTTGAAAGGTCTAGAAATGGCAAGTACATACAAAAATGGAGAAATGATTTCATTCTTTTAAATGCCTCAAATGCCAGTAAGATTAATTTATGATGAGGTTGGAGAGTATAAATGCCAGCAAGATTAGTGTATGCTTAGAATGGAAAGTAAATGCCAGGAAGATAGGTGTCTGCTGAGTAAATATGCTTTCTGGACTTGAGCAAAATACAGGCATCAAACATAGCAATACATCAGAGGGATCTTCACTGATTTCCTAAGATGCAGATTTGATATGTTGGCAGAATCATGGCAGTTAATGACACGGGTAATCCATAGTTGTTCTACAGGTGCCGGGTGTGTGTCTAGTGACCTTTGGATCGGCATTGAGATTCGTGCCGTAGCGAGCTCGCCGTGCTCCTACCTAGCGAATTATGGTTCAGGTCGCCGGAGACGAGGAGGAAGATGATGACAATGGGCCAGATCAGCATCAAGATTCATGCTTGGTAAGCTCTTCGCACTCGCACTCCTCCCTAGCAAATTATGGTTCAAAGTCACCGGAGACGAGGAAGAAGATGGCGACAATACCGGAAGGAGGAAGCCTTATAATGGAAGGGGATATCCCAGGTACAGGACTAGAGAAAATCCCTCTTATTCCCCAAAAAAGAAGTGAGCTTTTAGCTCATTCAAATAGCACCGTGAATCTTTTGGAAATGTCTAGGAATGGCAGGTACGTTGCATACAAAAATGGTGAAATGATTTCGTTTTTGTAAATGCTCAAATCACAGGAGCGTATAAATGCCAGCAAGATTACTGTAATGCTGAGGTTGGAGCGTATAAATGCTAGCAAGATAAGTATGATGATATTGGAGCGTACAATGCTTTCTGGACTTGAGAAAAATACTGTCATCATACTTATAGCAACTACATTAAAGGGATTTTCACTGCTTTACTAAGATGCAGATTTGATATGTTGGCAGAATCATAGCAATTAATGACACCGGTAATCCAGTTGTTCCACAGGTGCTGGTCGTGTGTTTATATATGAACTAGAAGAACACTTCGTCTTATCATATTAGGCCTAACCCAGTGTTGAGTTCATCCAAAGCTTGTCTTCAGTAGAGTGAGGACTCAGGGTGTTGTTAATCAGATTTGCACCGTAAATCATGGTATATCTCATTCTATCTACTACTGTTTGTCAGTTTTAAGTTATCTGAAGATTTGCTATTTTCTTTTCAAAGGTTATCTGAAGATTTGTTACTGACATTCTTATGAACTATGTTTTCTTACCTGACAAAACTTTGGAATTGCAGAGGATTTGGGTTGAAGCAAAATATACCTTTGTGTTGTTGCTCGTGTTGACCCGTTCGTCTGAAGCACAGAAACGGCCGTTATACAACGTCTTGGATTTCAATGCCACTGGAGATGGAAACACAGATGATACAAAGGTAACAACATAAGCATAAACACCAAGATTCTGAACTTCAGAGATGGTTGCCTTTGCTAAATAGCAGTGCTTCTTGGATTTGTTACCTTTCCATGCATCTTCTCTGCTGAGAAGGCGTTCCTGGCGGCATGGGAAGAGACCTGCAACAATGAAGGCTGGCCGATCTTGATCATCCCTGGAGGAAGGACATTCTTGTTGAAACAAATTAAATTCAACGGTTCCTGCAAGTCACCAATAAAGATACAGGTAACCTACATATTTGGTGACTCTGAACTGGTCTGAGATATCATACCACATAAGAAGCTTCTTTTTAAGCCGGTACAAGAAGCTAATGTAGCATGAATTCTGAATTGACATTCTCCAGATGGATGGTAACATTGTGGCACCAAACTACATTTGGGCATCAGAAGCAGACAACCTTATAACCTTCTACAGTGTCAATAACTTGACATTAGATGGAAATGGTCAGATTGATGGCAAAGGTGCCATCTGGTGGACTTGTTATACTGAAAAGGTAGACTTCAGCAAATAGCAGTAGCTTCTTCATGTATTCCCTGTAAGCAATCTGATGTATTCTTGTTTTGACAGAAATGCGTCTATCGGCCTGTTGTAAGTACACACAACACTTCCTTCAGTCAGTCTGAAACTAGTTATGTAGACACTGTTCTGTATGATTACTCATGCATGTATCTATGTGTATCAGATCCTGGCCTTTGCTGCGTGTAACAATCTATCGGTGACGAATATACATCTGACGAACAGCGCAGACAAACACATGACTGTGTACAGGTGCAGCCAGGTACATGTGCACAATGTCACCATAGTTGCACCAGGCGACAGCCCCAATACAGACGGCATAACCATGGCAATTTCTGATCATGTGTACATCTCAAATTGCTCTATCCAAAGTGGTAAAAAAAATCCTTTCATAGAGATCACTGTGTATCATTTGCATATCATCAACACAAATCACTGAAATGAATTGATGATAGACTCAAATGTGTGTGAGTGCTGACACTGGACAAATGCAGGAGACGACTGCGTGTCGATGCTATCATACACCACTGATGTTAACATCACTGACATCACATGTGGGCCTGGCCACGGCATCAGGTACAATTTACAAATGCACAACCATGAATATGCATGCTTGTGCTAGCTAAGTACTCGTCAACTTCTTTTTAGCAACACATGGGACTAACTTCTGACCATATCTAGCGTGGGAAGCCTTGGACGATTCGAAACGGCACTGGTGGAACGAATTACAGTATCCAACTGTAACTTTATTGGAACAAAGAATGGTGTGAGGATCAAATCATGGCAGGTAAGAACTAAGCAACATCTATGCATCTTGCTCATATATGTCCCATGCATGAATTTTTACTGATGGTTGCATACATATCACCATGTACATATGCTCTCTTTAAATAGTAAACAGGAAATAGTAATTACCCCTAATATTTGAAGTTATTGGATGAAGGGTGGAATGGGTCAAGCAACGGGGTTCATTTTTGAAAACATCAACATGACTGCAGTCGAAAGTCCCATTATCATCGACCAGTTCTATTGTCCCCAAGGAAACTGTCCATTAAAGGTGAAATCTACTAAACACATGTCATGTTCATTATCCACTCAGTAAATTCATACTCTAGAAAACAGGATGAAATATGCCTAAATCTTGATATTCTTGTAGGATGGTGGTGTGGCCATAAGTGACGCAAGATTTATCAATATCCGTGGGACATCCTCCGAGCAAGAGGCCATCAAGATATTGTGCAGTCAAAGTGTGCATTGCCAAGGCATCTACCTCAGTAATATTAACCTCTCATGGGAAAATCATACCGCCCTAGCAAACGCCACTATTTTAAATGCAAACGGAACTGTTGAGGGATCAGTGGTACCAAAAGTTGTTTTTTCATAAACCTTGGCAGCTAATGCTCCACGCTGTTACCATCTTTAGACATACTGCTATGTACAGTTCTTCCTTGGATGATTGCCTTGTAAACCAAACTAAGTTTGATTACAAACTCCTACTATGTGATGTATTAACAAAGTATCGATGGGTTGCGATTGGCATTTCACAATATCTCACATGACTCTGACTCCGAGCGACCAAACACTGCGTACCGGTTGTCTGCAACATTGTCGTACGCGAAGTCCCTCAGGAACCTAACAATGTGACACAATGAGTAGGCTTTAATTGCATCAGGTTACATGAACAAAGCATCTAGCTACTCAAATAAAAAACTAACAGCATCAGCTAGAATAATGATATTGTAAAATGGGTTAATAAATAGCACTTGACAAGCCATTTTGCGTGCAAGTTGAGGTGAGCGAGAGAGATAGTATACTTACAGAGGGACAAAGTTGAGGAAGGTGGCTAGCTGAGGAAAAGGCAGGTTGAGATACCCCATTATCCTCAGCACTGCTTCAGACTTGATGTAGGACCTGCACATCAAAAAATATTACTAAATTAGGATTATTACTAATTTTGATGTAGCACTTAAACTATTACTAATTTTGATCGATAACCGCTGATTTAAGTCCGATATAAGTGTTGGAGAGTGTGGTAGCTGCTTACCTGTCCTTCTCGACAAGAACCACACTCGAGATGTCATCAGGGGCTCTCCCTGACCTCTGAAGGAGCTTCCTCCCGGATTCGCTCTGCAACGGGATATACCTGATGCTTCTGTTTCATCGGAAATTAATCAACAGTGCGCATTAGCATTTCACTCTGTTGCAAAATTGCTCCTGATCATTTGCACAATTTCACAAGTCACAAACAAGGCCCAACCTGTTGGGGTCATGCTCCTGGACGAACCGGACGCCGCCGTTGCAGAGGTTGCACACACCTGCATCACACACACACGCAGAGATCAGTACATGCTGCACCCATGAACCCATCTTGCTTGCAAATCAAATGGTTGCAAATTTACTAATTGCAAAATTGTTTGAGCCTTGAGATGTAAGCGAGTAGTAATGGAAGCAAGCAAGGGAAGGAGGGAGTAAGCACCGTCGAAGAGCATGATGGGCCTTGTGTCGGAGGTCTGGAAGAACTCGGCGTCCGTGGCCGCCTTCACGGACTGCCCACCGCCGGTCGCCGCCGCCGCCGCAACCTGCAAGCTCGGCCGTGGCCGTGGCCCTCCCACTGCGGTTCGCAGCTGCTGCTGCTGCGGCGGCGGGCCGCGCCGGCGGTGGAGCGGCGGCGCGGAGAGCGGGCGGTAGCAGCAGGCGCTGGTCGTTGCCATCCTCGTCGCCTTCGCCTCAGCTCGGCTCTTCTCCTCGATCGAGTGATGCAGCCTGTAGCAGCTGGTGGTGGGATGCCCAGTTTAGTTTACCTTTCGCGAGTTCAGACTTCAGAGTTCAGTCTCGTCAGACACCTGGTGCACCTCGTGCTACGTGGCACATCCAAGCAGCTGATAAAATAAAAAAATTGACCAGGAAAAATCCAAGATTTTAACAAATTCTGACATCACCTGCTCTTGTTCTCTTCAAAAAAATGACTGGGACTGTAATACAAAATACACAAATTTTAACCAGAGGATGCGACTATCGCCCACAAGGTTGTAAGGAAGCAGGCACATTCAGGAAGCAAATCAAGGCCAAAGAAACAAATGGAAAGGCTGTCTCAATTGCAGACAGATTATCATTAGTCACTGGCAGCAACTGCATGTTTTAATATTTGACACACAAAGAAGCAACTGCATGTTCTCTTCCAAAATTTGTTATACACAAAGTTTCACCAAAGCAGCTGCTAATTTGGGCAGGAAAAATCCAAGGTTCTAACAAATCCTGACAACATACTTCATGTATTAACATTTGATATAGTACTTCTTTCGTCCAAAAATTATTTGAACAGCACAAATTTTCACCAGAGGAGCAGACTTGAGCATCACGAATGTTTCTGGGGGAAACAATGTTTGTAATTGTATCCAAACCATAGCATCATCAGATAATCACCCAAAAGGAAGCAGACAAATTCAGGAAGGAAATCAGGGCCAAAGAAACAAATTGAGAAGCTGTCTCAACTCAATTGCAAACAGATTATCATCAGTCACTGAGTTTACACACACTGCCATAAAAGAAAAACACAACTTAAACAAGAAGGCATGCCATCTCTAAAGCACGCAGTATTAAACAACAGGAACAAAGCACACAACAAAGGTCATCGCTCCTAGTCCTTATCAGGCCTGCTCCTCAGCTTCCGCAGCTTCCCTCTCTTCCGCTGCGGCAGCCATCAGCTCATCAAATTTCTCGCTCTTTTCTAACACTATCTCAATCTGTAGGAAACAAAGCTCTCAATCAGTTCAGGTTTAGAAAAAGAAAGAAAGAAAGCTCATGTTAAGAACAGGCTTTTTTTTTTTAACAAGAGAGAAATAAGTGGCTTTGGCAACTAAAGCCTGACCTTAGCCTTTTGGAGCGGGCGAACTCTCGATTCATCGTTTATTTCCACCGTAGATGTTCTAATCTCTACACAAGCGAAGGTGAAAATGGAAAATTCAGAGTAGAGAACAATGAATATTGTGGATTACTGCATGCCCACAACAGTAATGTTAAAACAGATAATGAGACAAAACAAGCAGTACAATCCTGCAAGGAAAGAATTTCTTACTCTTTTCAACAGCAAACCCGTTATTCTTAAGAATCTCCGCAACAGTTACAACTGTTGCAATGGCTGCAAACAAATCAAACAATATGGTTTGTACAGCCTTCAACAGTAGAGATAAAACCACATCTTGAAGAAAGGAAATATCGAACTACACCGACCAACCAAATGGGCTGACAGTCAGCACTCATCTAAGAGTTAAACATTTATAAACAGCTTCTTTTTTTTTTAAGAACAGTAAATAGTTTTACTTGACCAAAAGCAAAGGTAATGAAGAGTGGTGAAAGGGTGTCATGACTCATTTTATGAGTGGTTATGTACATATCAATGCGAGTACGAAACAAAGACCACCCGTTTAAGTCTTCAAGACCAACTATTGAACTATACACTGCTTCGCAAAATGGCATATCCTAGAACACAATACTAAGATTACCTAGCACACAAACGCGAAACAGAAAAATGCTCCACCTTGATAAAAATAGATTGGGAATCCAGAAGTCAATCATGAAACAACAGAGCAATTGCACATGCAAACAGTAACTTCTTGCATCGTTCGCATTCTCCCACAACCTAATAACTTCTAGGTCGAATCAACTCAACAAGAGTCACTCCTATTACCCTAAAACCCCCCGAATTAACGCCAAATCGAGACCAGGGATGAACAGGGAGAAGAGAGCGAGACGCACCCATCCCGAGCGCGGAGAGCTCGACATCGCCGTGCTGCTGCATGTACCTCTGCATAAAAACGAAACCAATCCAATCAGTCAACAAAAACCGCTGCTGCTCGCGGCTAGGGCACGGAGAGGAGGCGAGGCGGGTAGAGTGACAAACCTTGGCGAGGTTGACATAGAAGAAGAGTGGCTTCTTGGTGTTGGACACCTGGATGCGGTTGCTGCTGCTCCCGGCCGCCCTCCTCTGCGCCCCCTCACCACCACCTCCCGCCGCCGCCGCCGCCGCCGCGGGCTCCCCCTCCACGGCCAGGTTCCTCACCCCCTCGGTGATCTCCTCCACCGCCATCGCTCAAGCTACGCCGCTCGGTGGTGGTAGCTCGCTCTCCGCAGATCGGTGGTGGTGGTGGTGGTGGGTTGTGCGGCTTGGCCTCCTCTTCCTCTCGTCTTCTTCGCTTGTGGGGTGGCGTACGGGCAGGGGAGACAGGAGGAGGAATGGCTGGCTGCGCGAGACTGGAGGGCTCCGGCCCGTGCGCTTCGTAACCCTACTGGAATTGGGCCTTTTTTGGGCCGTGTATGGGCTGGGCAGTGGTGACAAGGAATAGGAAAAAGTACACCGAAGGTCCCTCAACTTGTCATCGAGCTACAAAATCGTCCCCCAAGCTCAAAACCGTATGCAACGCATCCCCCAACTTACAAAACCAGTGCAAACTAGATCCCTCGACGGTTTTGACCCCAATTTTATCCGACGTGGCGGCTGAGTCAGCGTGGGACCCACGTATACCCCACATGTCAGGTGCCACGTCAGCAAGGTCTCTCTTCCTCCTCCTCTCTCTCTCTTTCGCTGGAGACCGGGCCAAAACTAAAACCACAAATCGTCCAAACTGAATATTGGATGAAGACCAGGATGTTGCAATGGCAATTACAAGCAATTTACTTACAGCTTCAGTTCTGAATTCTGAAGATAGAAATTGAATCTTCTCAATTTCTGTAAATATTATCTACAGAGGCATAGTTACTGGTTACAAAGACTAAACTCTAAATATCACTCCAACTCTCAGCAAGCTCTTCGGTTGTCCAACTCCATGGCCACCATGGCCGCCTTCGCCGCTTCTTGGCCGCCGGCCGGTCGCGCGCCATCGACGTTCTTGGACATGGAGGGCACGGGCAGCGCGGCGGTGGCATGGGGGCGCGCTGGTTGTGGCGGTGGCAGCAGCAGCAGCAGCAGCAGCAGCTCCGGCGGCGGCAGTCGTAGAAGCACTGGTGCGAGTGGCTGCCACCGGCGGCGAGCTCCTGCGCGCTGTGCACTCGCCGCATGGGCGGCGGCGAGCTCCATCTCGCTCCGCGCGCGCCGCATCACCGGGGGCGCCGCGACGGGTGGGTGTGGGCGGCGCCGCTGCTGGACGCCGGCAGCGGCGGCGGCAACGTCAACGGCGGTGGAGATGAACACCCGGAAACTCGCGGACCGCCGTGTCGCCTGAGGCGGTCGTACTCGTCGCGCATGTGGGCGAGCTCCTCGTCGAGGCCCTCGTCGGCGAGGCGGTACCTGACCACCGTCACCGTGACGGTTTGTGGTTTTAGTTCCGCGGCCGCTTGATCCACGCCGCCTAGGTCACTGCGGTCCACTCCGCATGCTCGACGCCGATCTGCCTCCGCGAACTCCGGCGTCGTCTCCGCTTGCCGTCTGCCGCTACCGGCCTCGACGACGCTCCTCCACCCCGTTCCATGCCGTCGGAGGGGACGAGCTGTACGCGCCGCTGGGCCGGGAGGACGAGCACCCGTCGCCGGCGTCCTCTCTATCCGCCGCTTCGAGAGACCTGTGGGTCCCACGTGGACAAGAGAGGAGGCTGACGCGGACAAGCTGACATGTGGGGCCCATGTGGGTCCCACGCTGACTAAGCCGCCACGTCGGACAAAACCGGGGTCAAAACCACCGAGGGACCTAATTTGCACTGGTTTTATAAGTTGAGGGATACGTTGTATCCGGTTTTGTGGTTAGGGAACGATTTTGTAACTCAATGACAAGTTGAGGGGTCTTCAGTGTACTTTTTCCCAAGGAATAAGTCCACTTAAGGCTGTGTTCGGAACTTCCTGTTCCCATCCCCACTATCTCGATTTCCGCGTGCACGTTTTTTAAATTGCTAAACGGTATATTTTTTGCAAAAAGTTTCTATACGAAAGTTGTTTAAAAAAATCAAATTAATCCATTTTTTTAAAAAAATTAGCTAATACTTAATTAATCACGCGCTAATAGACTGCTCCGTTTTCCGTGCGGGGAGATGGTTCCCAACCCACAAGTAACGAACACAGCCTTAGACTCTCTTAATTAGTGACTGAAGCTAATTCGTATCCTGAATCGCAATGCCAGATAAATGGATCACACGCTATTTTTTTTTTTGTGTGAATGATTAAATGGATCCCGCATATTTTTTAAATTTCAATGCCACATAAGCGTCAAGTCAACACCACGTGGGACGAAGACTAGGTTAACACCACCACGTAGCGCCACGTTAGCGAAACCACACTCCAAAAACGTTGAGGGAGTTAAATTGCACCAGTTTTCGTGGTTGGGGGGTCGAGGTATCCGGTATTGCGGTTCAGATATATGAATCTGATTGAAGCTATAGTTGAGGGAGCAAAAGTGAACTTATCCTGGTGACAATGATCGGCCCATGTATAGATACGGAGCTTTTTGCGGTTAGAGGCCCACCCAATGTCAGCTAGTTAGGCTCGCGTGATTGCTGGACCGTAGGGTGTGATTCTGGGCCGGCTCATAAACTCAGTTATAATTATAAGCCAATTAAATAGGTAAACCACTGGGCTCATTTATACACCCTCAGTACCTGGACATTTGGAGACATTGTCATTTGTCAAGCACTCAACTCAAGCCACTCATGGCAACGGTTGATAATACTTATCGTTTTGGACAAGGGCACGATCTCTAAAAAAAACTTTGACCATTATTTTTCATTATAATATGTATAAAAGTGTTAACAAATATATGATCTTATTAAATTACTTTTTAAAACTAATCTATACATGTACATGTAGTCACCATATTTGAAAGATAAATATTTTAAAAATAATTTATAATTAAAGATTCTAAAGTTTAACATCACCCTTGTTCAAAACGACAAGTATTATCAGCCCGGAGGGACTACCATCTAGTAGCTTCTCCAACGTGAGGTTAAATCGATGTGCGCTAAAAGAAAATCAACCTCAAACGGAGAGTCTATCTTAGCTGATTATAGATGATGCCCCGCGCTTTGTTACGGGATATATATTAGATATTGTAGAAATGATGAAATAATTTGAATTAAAATATTATGAAAATGATTTGAGAATGATGATATTTAGCATGTGTATGTTTAGTTTTGAATGAAATAAATTGTAGATATAATTACTATATGCTTGTATGTTGAGCTTTATGTGCTTAATAGGTTGATGTGGCATGCTTGCATGTAGTTTTTACGAGTGGTAATAAATATTCTCTCCGTCTTAAAATATAAAAATCTAAGATCGAATGTTACTAATAATACAAATCTGTACAGCAGCCTATCGATAAGCGTTCAATGATAATTGCATTGACCTCTTCTAACAACAATTTGAGCACATGTTCTAGACGATGAAGATTCCATTTTTTTTGGTTAATAAAAAAATAGAATCAGTGTATTATGAAGCACTTATTTTCTAGCTAGGCCTTATTTATATCCCAAAAATTTTTACCTAAAAACGTCACATCAAATATTTGGACACATGCATGAAGCATTAAATATGGACGAAAAAACCAATTATACAGTTTACATGTAAATTGCGAGACAAATCTTTTAAGCCTAATTACACCATGATTCGACAATGTGATGCTACAGTAAATATTTGCTAATGACGGATTAATTAGGCTTAATAAATTTGACTCGCAGTTTACAGGCGGAATATGTAATTTATTTTGTTATTAGTCTATATTTAATACTTCAAATGTGTGTCCGTATACTTCGAAAACTTTACACCCAAATAACTAAATATACCCGAGAAAGGGTGCCACCAATATTTACATAATTTACTACTGTTTATTACAGTGGCCTCGAATTCTTAGGTATGGTAGCCCGTGAATGATTAGCATGCGCCCACAGGAAGCAAAACCTGAAAGGGTCGCTCTTCATGCTCAAAAATCCGGCGGTTTCCGAGGATTTTTGGCCATTCCTGCGTGCGCCGTTGTATCGGCGCTAATAATATGATCGCCTCTCCCACTTGCCGGTGAAACTAACTGTCACTCTGTCAGTGCGTGCAGGAGCCAATTAATATAACCAAGGGTTTAATCCGTATTAGTATATACAGAACGCGTTAAAATACAATGCAACTCTGAATATTAATCGTGTATCACACCTCAACAAGCACAGGGTGTGTGCATGCATTTGTATATACATTCAACGTAGCTGTCACTGGTGGAGAAACCCTTTGTAGTCCCGGTTCGTAACCCCCTTTAGTCCCGGTTTCCAAACCGGGAGTACCAATCCGGGACTGAAGATCGCTATCTTTAGTCCCGGGTGAAATAACCGGGAGTAAAGATCAATCTTTAGTCCCGGTTGGTAACACCAACCGGGACTAAAGATAGAGCTGACCTTTTTTTTTTGCATGCCCCTGTTGCTGCATGGTTTATATATATATATATATATATATAAACCATGCATATATATGTTTCAATACATATATATGCATACATATATATATATATATGTATTTATACATATATATGTTATGCAAATGCATATGTATATAGATATATATATGAACAAAATATATTTACATTATAGAAAATGTGTACACATGCATATAGAAACATATGTAGTCATGTATTAATTACAATCCATTATATGTCCTAGCTAGCTACGATTTCGACGTAGTAGTACTCGCTGCTAGCTCAGAAGCTAAGGACCGGTGAATTGTGTTTCCGTCGTAGTAGAATTCACCCTTGGGATCAAGGATTTCTTCGTTGATGAATCCCATGAGTTGTTCTTGAACCGCCGCGATAAATTCCTTGTGTGTGGTCAGGTTATCCCTCATGCGAATAAACTATATGAATGTATGAAATTGATTAGTAATTAAACAAGAAATCGCTACGTAATGAAATTTTGAATTTATTTGTACGTACATCGAGCTCTCTTGTGGTGATGATTTGGTCTGCAAGGCAGTGGCAATACTCGCACACGTAATAGCCGCACAAGTTAGTTCCCTGCTTTTGCTTTGCGCACTACAAATAAATGACAAACAACGAGAGATCTAATTAATATACACTTGTATGTATTTGAATCGGAGAAATATAAATGTAGAGCATGTGTACTCACAGGAAATTTGAACTTCCGCCTAAGTCTTTCTCTCCATTTGCCGCGGACCAAATGACGGAACCGATACCAAGCCCTACATGGAGTTTAAAGCTATGATTCGTAGTAGCAATTAACATAACAAGATTTTCTTAATTAACAAAGGAACTTATGACGGTACCTGTCTATAAGTTCG